ACGGCATTTAAACTAACCGCAAATTATTAACCTGCTTTGAATAAGTAAAGTAATCAGGTTTAAACATGTTCCCTTCATTCAGGTCATAGTGTGTCATGTGACATACTTTGGTACAATAAGATCAATTTGTGTATCCTCATCACTGATGAAAAATGTTTCCAAACAGTACACTAGCAAGAATGAGTGAGTGAGTGAGTTTGGTTTTACGCCGCTTTTAGCAATATTCCAGCAATATCACGGCGGGGGACACCAGAAATGGGCTTCACACATTGTACCCATGCCGGGATTCGAACCCGGGTGTTCGGCGTGACGAGCGAACGCTTTAACCACTAGGCTACCCGACCACCCCACACTAGCAAGAGAAAGATAACAATCACATATCCCCCTCACACATTGGGACCGCCTCCGTGGTCTAGTGGTGGAGCGTCCGCCCGGAGAGCGGAAGGTCCGGGGTTCGATCCCCGGTCGCATCATACCAAAAGACGTTAAAAGATGGTACTTGTTCTTACGCTGTCTGGCGCTCGGCATTAAGTGGCTAAAACAAGGACTGGTCGGCTCGGAGTCAGTATACTGTGTCTGAGTGGGGTATTCATGTTAAACTGCGGCATGGTATCTCAGTGAGCTAGCACTATAAATCGGCATCAGTCCGGGCTAGTACAAGCAGCCACACAAACACACACGTATATGCACGATGCTAGATAAGTGCAATAATCTTGGACGCGACGTTAAACCCAATTTCACCTCACCTCACCTCACACATTGGGGCAAATAATTGAGTATATACCTGTCATAAATGAGTGGCCCAGTCGTCTTAGGCGCTGTGCAGAGTTGCGCCCCTTGGGCACGCCAGAAACCTATGATTGTGGGTTCGAATCCCGGTTCGCCCCGATTATGTTTCCAGGTTTGTCAGCACCATACCCGTGCTCGTGGGTTTCACAGAAGTGGTAAACGTCTGAGACCTGCATCACTTCGGGCTTTCCTCCCAAATTAAGCTGACACGCCGTGATATAACTATAGTATTGTAAAAGCGGCGTTAAACCTAACTCACACACTCACTCAAACAAAACTTATATCCCTGCTACTTGAGAGGGTAGGACAAAAAACATATTTACATTATGAACTGAACAGAAACGACTGTCAATCATTGTCAACAGTAACTGATATATTAGCAGCAATAAAAGGACAAATGATGCTGTCGGTACACCTGGAACATTGACCTATCAATTTCCCCACTTCTGCCATATTAATGTCCGATGGAGTTGAGCCTGTCACATCTTACTATTACTATATTTGAACTGTATTCAATAACTTTATCTCTTTATGGGAAGACTGATTTCAGAACTACAGCGGATTGCTTGTTTCACATGACCTCGTGTTGTGCCCTTGTCCATGACACAGCCTACAACTATTCTCCCTGGGAATTCTTTTAGAATTCTCCAACATTTCGAGCCTATTCTGCTTTAGCATGACTTGCCTCAAGGCCTCCTGACCTCTATGGGACGTAGACCGGAAAAACCATGACGTTGCATTATCCTTTAATTTTTCAAATCCTTGTTGAGAGAATTTACATAAACTACCATGTAGCCTGATCATCTCACTATAGCATGAAAAGCCAGAACGTGCATATAAGGTGTGATGTCCTTACTCTGATACACCTGTCCAAAACTTTGTACCCAACCCTTGAATCTTTTGTCAAGGGTGATATACTCAGAAGGTTCAAACCTTTCTTTACCAAGGACAGTGCATATATTGGATAATTCACCCCACAAATGAATGATCTTGTAACGTTTTTGGTGATTTGGAATAAACTCGGAAAGATTAATTCTTTCAGAAATTCTTTTGTGTTCAGGTCCTGTGAAACCTCTGAAGAGAAATCTACCAGACTCCTTGTCATTTCTAAAGCGGAAGTCAATTCCACAGCTGCGAACAAATGTTTCAAACTTGAAAACATTTTTACACTTCTCTTTTTCATACCTGCTTGTACACCTGTCAATATTATCAAGAACTCTGAGGTATGAGATCAAATGTTTGACAAGCTGATCCGACAGCTTCAGACGCAAGTGCAATATATCCGGCACTATTCTTACAAGTGGCACGAAGTCAAACAACGGAGGTTTAACACAGTTGTACCTCTTACCCTTCCTGTTAACCACAGATGAACTTTCTTCCACAGTCCTTGTCCCCTGACTTACATCAGTAACTGACCAGCCCTTTTTTCATATCATACCTGTCTGCAGCAGGCATTTAGACCAAACACAGGAGAATCTTGAAGCACAAGAGGCTATACCAGAGACCATATTCAAAAACTTCAGATCTCCACCCAAGTAGTATGTGACGTGAATCCTAACATCTTGTACATAAGGGGGCGGTCGGGTAGCCTAGTGGTTAAAGCGTTCGCTCGTCACGCCGAAGACCTGGGTTCGATTCCCGACATGGGTACAATGTGTGAAGCCAATTTCTGGTGTCCCCCGCCGTGATATTGCTGGAATATTGCTAAAAGCGGCGTAAAACCATACTCACTCACTCTTGTACATAAATGTACTCTAATGCCTTGGTCTCGGTGATTACATCTTCAAGAGCCTTTTGTACATTTTCATAACTTTTATTTGCTGAAAACATTGCAAGTAATTACCCTTCACTGAGACACACTGCTCTTCATCTAGTATAGTGAAGCCAAAGTTGACAAGTTTCTTGCGCCTACCAAGATCAGTGCCATCACCTGTGAGTTTCACATTGACATTTTCGGTATCCAAGATTAAGCTACCTTTCCCTGATGTGATAAATTGAGAGATACGACTTGTAAGTCCATCCTTCCGGCTGCTGTACTCCTAACACATCATTGGGGGTACTGACTATGTTTATGTTGGCATTGTGCTCTTTCATTCTCTTTGTTACTGTGTGTGATCTTGGTAAAGTGGGTACAATCATAGACAACTCATGATAGGCCTTGTCAGAAATATTCTCAGAATCCTTTACAAATATTAACCCATCCAAATCAACAATGAGACCATCTTCCTTTGGAGTACTATCTTTTAAAGACAAAGATATCTGACTGCCATCCGACTTTTTAACTTGAACAGACAATGCCTCCATCTCATATCTACCCATGAATTCTAACGATTGTTTACACTCAGTTAACAACATTTTGTTTCTTCTATACAGCTGTGACCTTAACACACAATCTTTGGAAGATAGCACTCTAAATGGCCGGACTGACTTATTTGTTTGTCTTTCTAATAGAATTGCATTCAATTGATTTCTTTCTTTCTTCAAAACCATTTTCTGCGACTGGAAATGTCATAGAACAAACCAGATGACGTCACTATTGAACATCAATATGACGTCGACTTACAACGGATGATAAAGGCCCGTCGTCAAGCAATCTGAGGGCATTATCAAGTTACAGTGGCCCTCTCATTTCTGATAACATGCGGGTGGTTTAATGACGATTCTATCCATTTTAGCTATAATGTATATTTATCCAAAACTGGCTCCCACAGGCAGGAGATATCGCTTGGGTGAGATCAAGCGATATCTACATTGTACATATCTCTGCAATGAAATTGCATCACAATGCTTTTCAGACCATTGTGACGTCATTGTTACATGATGACATCAAATGACATCACAAATGGCTCTGCTACTGAAGCAGCACTTTTTAAGACACTGCTTATTACTGACTACAGACTGAAAAAGTTGGAAGTATGATGTTGCATAAAGTGGAAAAAGAGTTTTTCGACTTTAATCAACTCGTGTTGATATATTTGATATCAAAAGATAGTCGTGGGAGCTTTAAATCCGAGGAAAGTGTGACGTCAGTGAAATAGAAAGACTGGATATTCAATTGACTCATTATTGCTTCATGGAAGAGGCTGGTTTGTTGTTTCGCCGCACTCAGCAATGTTCCAGCTATATGACGGCGGTCTGTAAATAATCGAGTCTGGACCAGACAATCCAGTGATTGACAGCATGAGCATCGATCCACGCAATTGGGATCGATGACATGTATCAACCAAGTCAGCGAGCCTGACCACCCGATCCCGTTAGTCGCCTTTTACGACAAGCATAGTCACCTTTTACGGCAAGTATGGGTTTCTGAAGACCTATATATATATTCTACCCCGAAATCTAAATGGAAGAGGCGATTACTTTGAATGTGATAGTAAGATTTATTGTTTTATATTGCAATAAACAATATTCCAGCTTTAAGCAGTGGTCTGTTGACCCGTGAAGATCGGGGTAGAATAGGTCTTCACCCGTGCTTGCCGTAAAAGGCGACTATGCTTGTTGTAAAAGGCGACTATGCTTGTTGTAAAAGGCGACTATGCTTGTTGTAAGAGGCGACTAACGGGATCGGGTGGTCAGGCTCGCTGACTTGGTTAAAGCATGTCATCGATTCCAATTGCGTGGATCGATGCTCACGATATCCATCACTGGATTGTCTGGTCCAGACTCGGTTATTTACAGACCGACTTCATATAGCTGGAGTATTGCTGAGTGCGGCGTAAAACAATCAACCAATCACTGGTCTGTAAAAAAAAACAACACACACACACACACACACACACACACACACACACACACACACATGACTTAAACCCAAATTCACCTCACCACTATATAACTTTCGTTTCACTTTCAAATCTTGATCGAGACCTCGCCGTGTAAACATGCTGTTGGCCTACGTCGTGTTATAAGCCGTTCCTGTCACTCGTGACATTCCGACACATGTCGGTCGGTTACGGAAAAGGCCGAGTTATGTTATCAACAACGTGATTACGTCATGGGGATTCCCCTTAGACACAAACTATATTATTATGAATGCGCCCTAAAACATAGTGCACATGTATGTTGAACACTTTACCTCGTTCTCATCACAAACAAACTGAAATATATCGATAAACCTACAAAGCCTAAATAATATACCCTGTCACCATAAAGCCAACGTACAGTCTGTCCCACAGATGAATTTGAGTTGGCAGGCGGAAGGATATTGAAAAGTTAAAAATAGTATTAAAGACATCCGAGGCGTGTGTCGTTTACGTCTCCAACGGAAAAGGAAGTAAACACAAGGTAAACAACTGGCATTCTGTCAAAAACGTGTATTTATTGCTTAACGTTAGTTTGACATTCGACTTATCCAAACTATAGCATGCGTGCATCTGTTTTCAAACCTCCTTTGCATGTTTGAGGAACAGCACATAAATCCTACTTTCGCTTCATAAACTTAGTCAACCATATTGACATTCTTTCATGTATAAATCCACAATGCCATAGAAAGTGGTCAGTGTGACAATATATCTTTAATATTAAGAGACACAGAGGTACGGGTCTGTCCCTGAATTTGGGGGTGGGGTGGGGGTTGGGTGGAGTATGCAGACTCGGGTCTGTCCCTGTATGTTTAGTGTGGGGGTGGGGTGGTTGGGTGGGTGAAGGTACGATCAGTGCCATTCATCCCAGTCTTGGAATTTATTATTGCTTATAGCTAAAATGGGTAGAATTATCATTAAACTGCCTGCATGTTATCAGAAATGAGCGGGCCACTGTAACTTGATAATGCCCTCATATTGTTTGACGACGGGCCATTATCACGCCCGTTGTTAGGTGACGTCATAGGATAGGATAGGTGACGTTACTTTCAATAGTGACGTCATCTGGTTTGTTCTATGACTTTTCCATATTTGTGAAAGTGGGTCAGTGACATTCGTGTTGATTGCAGTAAATGTTTCAAACCCGATATTGTTGTTTCTTTTTATTTGATAAAAAATTCCATCCATTTTAGCTATAATAACGGTAACGCTATTTTTTTGGGCATTATCATTTGCAGAAGCCCTCGGTCTTTTCAACTGCCCTCCTTCTTCGGGCAGTTAATGGAAGACCTTGCGCTTCTGCAAATGATAATGCCCTGAAAAATAGCGTTACCCTTATATTATAGAGCCCACAACCATTTTACAAAGTTTTAATTATCCTACAGCTAGGTTTAGTATTATGACACAATCAAATGAGTTATAAATTAAAGGACATTTTCATCAATAAAATAAAGTATCATGGTGGATATGATAATACCGGTAATTCAATCATACTCATGAAGACCAAACATGACAGTGTGTGTGTGTGTGTGTGTGTGTGTGTGTGTGTGTGTGTAAATTATTGGTGGAGTGTGAAGTGGAAAATATCATGAATAGAACGTACTTAACAGTTCACTAATATTCTGCTGCAAAAGTCAGTAAAAATTCCCAATATGGAATTAGGATTTTCCTATTCATGTTTATCCTGTAGATATAGTTATGAATAATATTATGTCTTTGTATAGGGGGCTTGTATTGCACTATGTATATGGTGCAAGCCAGGAAGTTAAGAAAGTGGAAAACACAGGTTGGCCTCATTATATTTTTTAAAATCTAATAATTAATTATTTTTTTAAATATAAAAGATATTACTTATGTTTATTAATCAAATTGAACATTAGGTGTTTCACTTTTTATTTTTGGCTTCATATTTTGATATCACGATTTAGCAAAACATAATATGCACAGATGCAACCTTTTATTGAAAAATGCAACCTGACATTTATGTCAGGTTTAGGACTGGGACGGGTAACTCGGGTTAGTGTTTAGTCACATGATATTATGTTTAATGACAAAAATAATGGTTACACTACAAGTCACTAATGTTCACATTTCTTTCTGACTATGCACCCATTCCTTCTGATTTTTCATATGGTTGAATAAAGATGTAACTTAATTCAACTTCAGTGTATGAATGACCAGATATAGAGGTTATCGCGCGAGTGTGTTTGAGGATGGTAAATATCCTGCATTAGGAATAAACATTGTATTTAGCGAGCCTTGGCGAGCTAAATGCATAGTGTTTATTCCTAATACAGGATATTTACCATCCCCAAACACACAAGCGTGATAACCTCTTTATCATATAATGTCATTCTTTAATTCTGTGCTTGAAAATCGCTTTCCCTCTCTCACAAACATTACCGAAACATTGCGAGTTTTCCTGGAATGCGCACATTATTATTTATTACGTCACAGGGTAAGTGATGTGTCAGTCGGACAGTGACAGTAGCCAATATAGTTCCAACTGAAATATGTTTCTTATACAGTGGCGAAGCAACATATACGCAAAACAACAATTGTTTTTAATTGCCTTTCGTGGCAATCCATCGGTCTTTCCGCTAGAGTAACTGCCCTTTGTCCAAGGGAAGCTACTCTAACCCTAGTCTATGAGACGTTACGGCCACGGTCAGACCTTGTTGACAGTAGGTCTGTCCTGTCATAATGTAAGAAGTGTAGTCAGATGTACACACAGGGACAAAACGAAACAAGGTAATAATTCAAACATATTTCGGCCAAATCCAACTATTTTAATTTGTGGAGAAGGTTTCAAGCCGCAGAGGTCTACAAGCACAGATATGGCTACTGATCCCGCTTGGCTAGGCCTCGTGCCCTCGCAAAATTGTTTCAAAATTTATATCTCCAAACTTGCCAAAACTTATAAAATGCCTTAGTTATGTCACAGTTAGACACTGATTTTCAGTATTTTAGACTGTTCTTTTGAAAATGATAGCAATTATCCCTGTAGTTTATCCAGATTCCCGATGGTTAATTCTGACTCGATCGCCGAATCGCTGTGTTATGTGTAGTTTGTCACGCTTTCTTGTGCTTGACATCATCAAACTGTGGGTACTTCAAGATTATGTGCTGTACTGTCCATACATCACTCAAGTGAGTAAGTGAGTGAGTTTGGTTTAACGCCACTTTTAACAGTATTCCAGTTATATCGCGGCGTGTCAGCTTAATGTGGGAGGAAAGCCCGAAGTGATGCAGGTCTTAGACGTTTACCACTTCGGTGAAACCCACGAGCAGGGGTATGGTGCTGACAAACCTCGAAAAATAATCGGGGTGAATACATCACTTAAGCATTGTCACAAAACACTGTTGGTAAAAAATATGATGTGAAAGTGCCCTTCAAGCCAGGTAATGTTTTTTAATAGTGACATTAGTTTTTACCATGCCCTGAAGTGAGTGAGTATGGTTTTACGCCGCTTTTAGCAAAATTCCAGCAATATCACGGCGGGGGACACCAGAAATGGGCTTCACACATTGTACCCATGTCGGGAATCAAACCCAGGCCTTCGGCGTGATGTGCAAACGCTTTAACCACAAGGCTACCCGACCGCCCCTACTGTGATGAAAGGTACCATCAATTTCAAAGCCTGAGTGTTGTTAGCAGGCTGCAGAAAATCCCTGGCTGACCTGGAACTTGAGATGGACATGGTGTCGGATGTGAGACTAGCACAGGAGAAGCAGAAATACCAGCAGAGAATAATACGGAACTGCCAAGATCACAACAAGACACGCCCCTTGAATGTCGCCATTATTGGTAAGACTGAATGTGAAGGCCATCACAATGTAAATGACATCATGTGTTTTGCGATGTTTAGGTGTGCCACTCAGAGAAATGTGCCACAGGCCACTATTGGAAATGTTTAGATGTGCCACAGGCCACTATTGGAAATGTTTTGATGTGCCACAGGCCACTATTGGAAATGTTTTGATGTGCCACAGGCCACAATTGGAAATGTTTTGATGTGCCACTGGCCATAATTGGAAATATTTAGATGTGCCACAGGCCACTATTGGAAATGTTTTGATGTGCCACAGGCCACTATTGGAAATGTTTTGATGTGCCACAGGCCACTATTGGAAATGTTTTGATGTGCCACAGGCCACAATTGGAAATGTTTTGATGTGCCACAGGCCACTATTGGAAATGTTTTGATGTGCCACAGGCCACAATTGGAAATGTTTTGATGTGCCACTGGCCATAATTGGAAATATTTAGATGTGCCACAGGCCACTATTGGAAATGTTTTGATGTGCCACAGGCCACTATTGGAAATGTTTTGATGTGCCACAGGCCACTATTGGAAATGTTTTGATGTGCCACAGGCCACAATTGGAAATGTTTTGATGTGCCACAGGCCACTATTGGAAATGTTTTGATGTGCCACAGGCCACAATTGGAAATGTTTTGATGTGCCAAAGGGCACTATTGGAAATGTTTTGATGTGCCACAGGCCACTATTGGAAATGTTTTGATGTGCCACAGGCCACAATTGGAAATGTTTTGATGTGCCACAGGCCACAATTGGAAATGTTTTGATGTGCCACAGGCCATAATTGGAAATATTTAGATGTGCCACAGGCCACTATTGGAAATGTTTTGATGTGTCACAGGCCACAATTAGAAATGTTTTGATGTGCCACAGGCCACTATTGGAAATGTTTTGATGTGCCACAGGCCACAATTGGTAATGTTTTGATGTGCCACAGGCCACAATTGGAAATATTTAGATGTGCCACAGGCCACTATTGGAAATGTTTTGATGTGCCACAGGCCACAATTGGAAATGTTTTGATGTGCCACAGGCCACTATTGGAAATGTTTTGATGTGCCACAGGCCACAATTGGAAATGTTTTGATGTGCCACAGGCCACAATTGGAAATGTTTTGATGTGCCACAGGCCACTATTGGAAATGTTTTGATGTGCCACAGGCCACAATTGGAAATGTTTTGATGTGCCACAGGACACAATTGGAAATATTAAGATGTGCCACAGGCCACTATTGGAAATGTTTTGATGTGCCACAGGCCACTATTGGAAATATTTAGATGTGCCACAGGCCACTATTGAAATGTTTTGATGTGCCACAGGCCACTATTGGAAATGTTTTGATGTGCCACAGGCCACTATTGGAAATGTTTTGATGTGCCACAGGCCACTATTGGAAATGATTCAATGTGCCACAGGCCACTCTTGGAAATGTTTTGATGTGCCACAGGCCACTATTGGAAATGTTTTGATGTGGCACAGGCCACTATTGGAAATGCTTAGAAGCCTAACATTTGTTTGTTTGTTTGTGTGTTGTTCAACGCCGCACTCAGCAACAGGTTTCCAGGTTGTATCATTTGTGTTTGTAGGGCCCCCGGGAGTGGGGAAATCATCGCTGGTGAACACGATCGCTGCCTCATTTTCTGATGACACATGGAGAGAATATGCATATTCTGGTTGCCATGGAGATGCTAGTCAGATCACAGTGTTCACCAAGAGGTAGGAATCTGCTTCTGTTCTGTGATGTGACAAAATGAAACTAAGTCAACTATTGGACATTTTGGCCAAATCTTACTGTTTTATATTCGGGGAAAACTCCAAGCCTCAGGCATGAAGACTGCTGGGAATGTTTGAAGTTTACCAAAGTTGTACTTATTCCGGTCTTTTATTGTATATCTGTCTGTAATGATAAACAGATACCAGTATTGTCTGTTGACTTATTCTGCTGACAGACCTACCCACTGTATGAAAGATAAAATTAAATGATGAAAATTGAAACCTTTGACCCCGACAAACTATCTCAAGTCTTTATTCCAGTTTTCCAAAGTGCTGTCATGGCTTAAATGCCAAGTACAGCAACGTGAACCTCCCCACACTGATCGACATCGCGGGGCTAACAGATGAAGAGAGAGAGCGGTATGTTGAGTTGCTCCGTATTGTCTTCTATGGCCGTCTCCCAGAAGAGGAATCTCTCGCAGAGGCAGATGAATTCTACAAGAAACACGGAATAGAAGACCTGCGACAGAAATATGCCGAAAATGATGAAAAGCTGAAGGTTGATCGAATTATTTTTGTGTCGTCGGCGACACAGGAGGTCCCGCAGAACCTGATCGGCTGTGTCCTGCGAGCTGCCCGACCCTCGGGGGTCATTGACAGCAGAAAGAGAAGTAGGTCAACACAAGGTCCTTGCCTTGCTGAAAACAGGACAATGTCTTAACCTGTCATATACCGTATTCGACGTAATAAGCGCCCAGGGCGCTCTCAATATTAGAAATAGGGGGCTCGTATTTGAATGGTATTTTAATGAAAAGAAAACAGAGTTGAAAGATAAATTTCTTGGTTTATGCTGACAGCCTGAAATGTTTATATACGACTGATATATTTTTCCAGAATTTAATTTCCTATAAATAAGGGTGCATGACGAGTGCGTATTATACACAAATAAATAAGTCTTGTGTAGATTGATCAATCGGAAGGGGTGCTAATTGGGACTGTTCATTAGCCAATATATTAACAAATATCGTCGTGGGCGCTTATTGGGGTGGGGCGCTTATTACGTCGTATGCGGTATATGAAAATACTAACTTTAAATAATCAAAGCAACATGTCACAGAATCTCTGCCTAGCACATTTTCCTGTACTGTACCAGGGATTATCGGGGAATTTAAACTAAAGTCCTTGTAGTCAATCTGGTCGAACAATCATTTCTCATTTCTAGTTTGATCAAAAGTGGTCTTTTTACTACCTCTCCTTAATGTTATTTAGTGGAATCAAATCTTGTATTTACAGTTATCAGGTTACATTAAGTACTGCAGTCTGATTGGCCAGTGAATCAGAATCATGTGGTTATTGTCGTTTGATACCTCTGATTGACCATTGAATCAGAAGTGGTTATTGTGATTTGATACCTCTGATTGACCATTGAATCAGAATCATGTGGTTATTGTCGTTTGATACCTCTGATTGACCATTGAATCAGAATCATGTGGTTATTGTCGTTTGATACCTCTGATTGACCATTGAATCAGAAGTGGTTACTGTGATTTGATACCTCTGATTGACCATTGAATCAGAATCATGTGGTTATTGTCGTTTGATACCTCTGATTGACCACTGAATCAGAATCAGGTCATTTCAAAAGTCATGGTAGAATAACAGTTGTAGCGAGAACATTATGACATATCTCATTCCAAAGTGAGAATTTGAGAAACTTTGTTGAAGACCTCAGTCAGGCTTGGCAATGGGTTAAAGTTTTAGCAATCCCTGTGTTCGGTGTTACTGTTTTAGCAATTCCTGTGTACGGTGTGACTGTTTCCGCAATCCCTGTGTACGGTGTTACTGTTTCAGCAATCCCTGTGTACTGTGTTACTGTTTCAGCAATCCCTGTGTACAGTGTTACTGTTTCAGCAATCCCGGTGTACGGTGTTACTGTTTCAGCAATCCCGGTGTACGTTGTTACTGTTTCAGCAATCCCGGTGTACGGTGTTACTGTTTCCGCAATCCCTGTGTACGGTGTTACTGTTTCAGCAATCCCTGTGTACTGTGTTACTGTTTTAGCAATTCCTGTGTACGGTGTGACTGTTTCAGCAATCCCTGTGTACTGTGTTACTGTTTCAGCAATCCCTGTGTTCGGTGTTACTGTTTCAGCAATCCCTGTGTTCGGTGTTACTGTTTCAGCAATTCCTGTGTAGTGTTACTGTTTCAGCATCCCTGTGTTCGGTGTTACTGTTTCAGCAATCCCTGTGTACGGTGTTACTGTTTCAGCAATCCCTGTGTACAGTGTTACTGTTTCAGCAATCCCGGTGTACGGTGTTACTGTTTCAGCAATCCCTGTGTACTGTGTTACTGTTTCAGCAATCCCTGTGTTCGGTGTTACTGTTTCAGCAATCCCAGCGTTCAGTATTACTGTTCCAGCAATTCCTGTGTATGGTGTTACTGTTTCAGCAATCCCGGTGTACGGTGTTACTGTTTCAGCAATCCCTGTGTTCGTTGTTACTGTTTCAGCAATCCCTGTGTATGGTGTTACTGTTTCAGCAATCCCTGTGTTCGATGTTACTGTTTAAGCAATCCCAGTGTACTGTGTTACTGTTTCAGCAATCCCAGTGTTCAGTATTACTGTTCCAGCAATTCCTGTGTATGGTGTTACTGTTTCAGCAATCCCGGTGTACGGTGTTACTGTTTCAGCAATCCCTGTGTTCTGTGTTACTGTTTCAGCAATCCCTGTGTATGGTGTTACTGTTTCAGCAATCCCTGTGTACGGTGTTACTGTTTCAGCAATCCCTGTGTATGGTGTTACTGTTTCAGCAATCCCTGTGTTAGGTGTTACTGTTTCAGCAATCCCCGTGTTCAATGTTACTGTTTAAGCAATCCCAGTGTACTGTGTTACTGTTTCAGCAATCCCTGTGTTCGATGTTACTGTTTCAGCAATCCCTGTGTACAGTGTTACTGTTTCAGCAATCCCTGTGTACGGTGTTACTGTTTCAGCAATCCCTGTGTACGGTGTTCTCACGAAGCAGGACAAGGTGGGAAGTGGGGTGCTCACCAAGGAGGATTACGACAAACGAGAAAAACAGTTCATCGATGCACTGGGGCTTGCTGGGTCGCTCCACCGACTGCTGCGGTGCCGCAACTACTGCGACGATGTGGACCACGGCCAACGTACCGACACAGTCCTGCCTGAACTTGACCTTCCAGCCTTGAAGTTCATGACCCAGGTCTCCGACCCAGTCTTCGATGTCATCAATGAACGGGAGTCCTATGCTGGTAAGACATCTAAACCATGGTGCATGCTAGCAATGGGACAATACACCGACGAATTGGAGGATCGAGAGATGTTTTTACTTCTTGATACAAGTATCGATTACAGTTGCACACTAAGTAAAAAATATCGATGCTTATCTGTTTACTTTAATAAGTGTTACACCAAACACTAATTAGTTGTCAAAATCTGTGGTGAAAATATAAATATATTTTCAAATATAAATATTTTCATCCACTGCATCATACTTGACGCTGCCAATTTGGCCATCTTGTCTATGATATGAATCCGATCACGAGCATGGTATCATGGTACATATCGGATCACGAGCTATGTATCATGATACGTGTCGGATCCTGAGCATGGTATCATGGTACATATCGGATCACGAGCTATGTATCATGATACGTGTCAGATCCTGAGCATGGTATCATGGTACATATCGGATCACGAGCTATGTATCATGATACGTATTGGATCATGAGCATGGTATCATGGTACATATCGGATCACGAGCTATGTATCATGATACATATCGGATCATGAGCATGGTATCATGATACGTATCGGATCACGAGCATGGTATCATGATACATATCGGATCATGAGCATGGTATCATGATACGTATCGGATCACGAGCATGGTATCATGATACCATGATAAAACATTGGAACTTCATTGTTTAAATAGCGTAATTACGAGGGTATAAAATAAATCTTAGTTCATTAATCTTTACCATTTTCATAAATCGCTCAAATAACCGTGTAGTTACGACAACTGTACATAAAGTGCATACAGGGAGCCGGCTGTGTCCGGGTTTTTCATAACTTTGACAAATCATTATTTATTAACCAATCACAGCCTTGGTCGCACATTAGTAATGTACTGTCATCGATCGATAAAGTGAGAAGGTCGGCGATCGGACCAATTTTCTTCCGAAAAACTTAAAATATAACAACACTTATTTAGATTCTACATGTATAACATCCAGTCGTAAAATAATACAGACTACTTTGATTAATTTACACAAAGTATTGTTATTTTTTTACGCATGCAGTTTGAATCATCGTCCACGATCAGTGTTACATAGATCTACATGTCCCATGCCACTGTGAAATAATTGCGCCACTGTTCCATTCACTACCATCATTACGTAATGTAAACCTCAGCAAGGAATATCTGTACAACGCTCTTTCCTACACCGCTGGGTCAGTTTCTTGGACCCCGATGACAGCAGTATATCGAGGGATCACTGTATCATGATACGTGTCGGATCCTGAGCATGGTATCCTGATACGTATCGGATCACGAGCATCGTATCCTGATACGTATCGGATCACGAGCATGGTATCATGATACGTGTCGGATCACGAGCATGGTATCATGATACATGTCGGATCATGAGCATGGTATCATGATACATGTCGGATCACGAGCATGGTATCATGATACGTATCGGATCACGAGCATGGTATCATGATACGTATCGGATCACAAGCATGGTATCATGATACGTATCGGATCACGAGCATGGTATCTGGATACGTATTGGATCACGAGCATGGTATCATGATACATGTCAGATCACGAGCATGGTATCATGATACGTATCGGATCACGAGCATGGTATCATGATATGTATCGGATCACGAGCATGGTATCATGATACGTATTGGATCACGAGCATGGTATCATGATACGTGTCAGATCACGAGCATGGTATCATGATACGTATTGGATCATGAGCATAGTATCATGATACGTATCGGTAAACAAGCATGGTGTCATTATACGTCTCGGATCACGAGCATGGTATCATGATACGTGTCGGATCAAGAGCATGGTATCATGATACGTATCGCATAGTTGGTGTATCGTCCCACAAGCAATGCTGATTTTATAGTCCTAGCCCACTGAGATACCATGGCGCAGACCCGTGAAGATCAGAAGTACAATAGGTCTTCAGCAACCCATGCTTGTTGTAAGAGGCAACTAACTGGATCAGGTGGTCAGACTTGCGGACTTGGTTGATACATGTCATTGATCCCAATTGCGTGGATCGATGCTCATGATATCAATCACTGGATTGTCTTGTCCAGACTCGATTATTTACAGACGTCGTCATGTAGCTGGAATATTGCCGAGTGCGGCGTTAAACAACAAACAAACTAACAAACATCATATGATCGAAGTGTACCAATACTGAGAAACATGAAAACCCCACTCAGACACAGAATACTGACTCCGAGCAGACCAGTCCTCGTTTTAGCCCCTTAATGCTGAGTGCCAGGCAAAGTAACAAAAAGTACCATCTTTTGCTAGGACACAGCCAGAGATCAAACCCCCAACCTTCCGCTCTCCAGGCGGACACTCTACCACTAGACCATGGAGGGGTCAATATAATAGTAAATATCATGGTCAGAGTGAGTGAGTGAGTGTGGTTTTACGCTGCTTTTAGCAATATTCCAGCAATATCACGGCGGGGGACACCAGAAATGGGCTTCACACATTGTACCCATGTCGGGATTCGAACCCGGGTCTTCGGCGTGACGAGCGAACGCTTTAACCACTAGGCTACCCGACCGCCCCTATCATGGTCAGAAAGAAATGCACCCTTCCCAGTTCTTTGTGTAGCTTGTGTTTCTATGTGAATTAATATATATCAATGTCATTCCTTTAGCTTTGTGTTGAATTTTTCTTCTATGAAAATTGATTTTAATGCTTAACCTTCCTTCTCTACAGCTCATGAAAATAAAGCTGAGAGTGAAATTTTGCGTCGACGTCAGACACCTTCCGCTAACGATCAGTCGAAACCATCGACCAGAACACACAGCAGAGCAGGAAGATGGGCGAGAGGAAGAGCAAACAGATCACCAGAAAGAGGTGGAGGCAGCATCCTGGACGAGCTGGGCGTGTCCCACGATCAGGCCTTCTACATCATGGTGGCCATCGAGGCTGTCCTTCTGGCCGTCATCCTGATGTTCCTGATGAGGCCGCCCGTGGACATGGGCAAGTTACAAGGAGCGTGTAACTACATGAAGACGCACGACCAGAGCATCGAGGCAGCCACGATGCGGGACATCTGCGACAACCTCGGGAGCAATTACAGTGGGTTCTTCATGTTTCTCACTGCTCTCGCCTTCGTCGGGATCCGATTTGGCGTCAAGTATGGCTATGAACAACTTCAGCAAATACAGATCGATACATAGTTGCCGGTCATGGATGTAGAAATGTTTGCAGGACGGATATCTTGAGATTCCACAACCATTTTCTGATTAATGTTGAAATATTCTACATAGGTTCGTGTTTAGTTAAAGTAAATTTTAATTTTTTTGTCTGATTCTGTGAATTGCCATGACTGTAGGCATTACTCTTGGACAATTTTCAATAAATTTCATATTTAGCTAATCGGTTTGAAGGTCAAGTGGTCATAAAATGGTGTACCTGTGTCCCTCCTGCATCCGTGTCCCTCCTCCGTCGTCCATATACCTTCAAGAAACCACGGAAGAGGTTTAGATCTGATTTTCAATATGGTTGTCATGACAATTGTTTTCCCCCAAAAAATGAATGTAACGATGAACATGTGTGTTCAGTTTTTGCGATATCTTAAATTTTGACCTTGATTTGACCTCTGCACAGCGACCATACTGAAAGAAGAAACTTCAAAAAGCTATTACTCGAACCTTTTTATTCTTAATGTAATATTTGAGTATTTGGTATGTGCTCTTGGAACCGACCATTTGATATTTTGGTGAAATGTGAGCAACTGTTGTGCATTGCAACAATGAAATAAAATATTACATTCATTCTTGCAAATTTGGAGTGAGTGAGTTAGTGAGTATGTTTTTTACACTGCTTTTAGCAATATTCCAGCAATATCACGGCAGGGGACACCAGAAATGGGCTTCACATGGTGTACCCATGTTGGAACCGAACCCGGGTCTTCGGCGTGACGAGCGAACGCTTTAACCACGAGGCTACCCGACCGCCCCTGGAAATTTTTAAAACATTGGGGAAACTTAGATACTTGTATCCTACCTGTTAATACTTTAGTATTTCTGCACAAAACCTTTGCCGACATTTTGTTGGGTGGTTGTCTGTGTTAACATCTGGAACTGTTGACCACAAAACCTAGTCCATCTCCCCGAGGCAAGAGCGTCCGCTAGCCTTTTCATCAAAGTCTTGTTCCACCCTTGCCAAATCAAGCCCACTTTCCTGTGCTTCATATGATTGGACTATCAGAGAACGTTTCACAAAGTCAACATCCACATATGAAAGACCACTTCCTGTCTTTTTCATCTTTTGAACCCCTCCAACGATTGCTTGTTTTTGTGTCAGGGAAAAAATTGTGAATGTTTTCGTTATCTGATCGACGAGGTCACCATCTTTGTGAAGCTATACGAGATAAGAACAGCGATCTGATTGGATATCATGTGTTCCTTATAAGGGGCACAACTTATGATCTACACGGGGTGGCGCCATCGTCACGCCAAGAAAAGTGGCCTTGATGTGGCAAGGATAGAAAACTAGGCTTTGATATAGGCTAGTGGACAGGCTTGCCTTGGGGAGATGGTCCAGGTGAGCTACAATAATGTTGTGAAATGAAATGTTCTCCAGGTGACAGTCCCGACAATAAAATAAATTTTTTTGCTTATTTATTGTAGTTATTTATTTATTGCAGATAGAGGATTAACCACTGTGTTCGGTTGTTACCGAAAAGTCTACACATGAGTGATTAATCTGTCTCGATTAGAACGAGGCGTTACTGTCTTCTCATTCTGCAACTGAATCTGGTACATTGGGAAGCCGAAATTCTCTGATATATCTCCACATATCACACCCCTTCTTCCCCCACAAACTTTCTCTCGGTCACCAACTTTCAGAGATGTAAACATCGTCACTACGGTAATGTTTTGCCAGCTAGGGATTTCCTGTACTAGACGACCTCGGGTATCCCGATCCGAAAATAGTGCTGTCAATTATTTTTAGCCAGCCAATCAAAACACGATGACACAACTCTCCACTCTCAGCCAGCAAATCAGATTGAGTGAAAAAAAATAAACCACTGCTGGCGATTGAAGATCAAGCCCTGTTATGGGAGAAATCAATAAAAACATAAACACCATGTGTTGATTCAAGCTCCCATAATAATCCCAGGTCCGACCACAAACCATTTATTTTTTCTTGAGTTGCCCCATGAAGAAGACCCAGGTCAGAATAGGTCTTCAACAACCCATGCATGTCGTTAGAGGCAACTTACGGGATTGGTGGTCAGGCTTGCTGACTTGGTTGATGCATGTCATCGTTTCCCGCTTGCCTGGAGTGCAAATACTTCACACAAGTTCAGTATTCTTCAGGGGCGGTCGGTTAGCCTAGTGGTTAAAGTGTTCGCTCGTCATGCCGAAGACCCGGGTTCGATTCCCGACATGAGTACAATGTGTGAAGCCCATTTCTGGTGTCCCCCCCCCCCCCATGAAAGTGCTGGAATATTGCTAAAAGTGGCGTAAAACCGTACTCACTCACTCAGTTTTCTTCACACTGACTAGCGACTGGGACGGCTTTGACTGCCACCAACAGTGATTTTCTTAAACCTACTGCAGGAGGATAGACATAAGATATTCTTCTTCCACATACTTCCTCCATTTTGGGGGGCACGGGTGGCCCAGTCGTCATAGGCGCCGCGATTCGCTGTGCAGAGTTGCGTCCCTTGGGAATGCCAGAAACATATGATTGTGGGTTCGAATCCCGGTTAGCCCCGATTATGTTTCTAGATTTGTCAGCACCATACCCGTGGGTTTTCACCGAAGTGGTAAACGTCTGAGACCTGCATCACTTCGGGCTTTCCTCCCACATTGAGCTGACACGCCGTGTTATAACTGGAATACTGTTAAAAGCGGCATTAAACCCAACTCACTCCCTCACTCACTCCTCCACTCTGCCCTAGGAATGCCTTTGTCACCTACCAGAATGTCAAAGGTCACGGCCACGAGATAGAGGAAAATATCCCGACAAAGTTAATGCTTGCACTTTCTCAAGAACTATTACAGCACATATCATTAAGCTTAGTATATACCTTATTTAGAATGTGTCCCTGTGAAGATCCGGGGTAGAATAGGTCTTCAGCAACCCATGCTTGCCGTAAAAGGCGTTCAACAACAAACCAAACCAAAACCCTGTTTTCTGAATAGGTTTTGATAAGATAGTCAAAGGTCAAAGAACAGCGTTCGTTTTTTTTTTCGCTTCACACATTGTACCCATGTTGGGAATCGAATCCGATTGAACGCTTTAACCACTAGGCTACCCGACCGCCCCCTCATTACCTCTAAAGGCATGTAACTGTATATACTACTAAAACAAAGTCATTAAACAAGCCTGGGAACATGCATTAAACAAGCCTGGGAACATGCATTAAACAAGCCTGGGAACATGCATTAAACACGCCTGGGAACATGCATTAAACAAGCCTGGGAACATGCATTAAACAAGCCTGGGAACATGCATTAAACACGCCTGGGAACATGCATTAGACAAGCCTGGGAACATGCATTAAACAAGCCTGGGAACATGCATTAAACACGCCTGGGAGCATGCATTAAACAAGCCTGGGAGCATGCATTAGACAAGCCTGGGAACATGCATTAGACAAGCCTGGGAACATGCATTAAACAAGCCTGGGAACATGCATTAAACAAGCCTGGGAACATGCATTAAACACGCCTCGGAACATGCATTAGACAAGCCTGGGAACATGCATTAGACAAGCCTGGGAACATGCATTAAACAAGCCTGGGAACATGCATTAAACAAGCCTGGGAACATGCATTAAACACGCCTGGGAACATGCATTAAACATGCCTGGGAACATGCATTAAACAAGCCTGGGAACATGCATTAAACACGCCTGGGAACATGCATTAAACAAAGCCTGGGAACATGCATTAGACAAGCCTGGGAACATGCATTAAACAAGCCTGGGAACATGCATTAAACAAGCCTGGGAACATGCATTAAACAAGCCTGGGAACATGCATTAAACACGCCTGGGAACATGCATTAAACAAGCCTGGGAACATGCATTAAACAAGCCTGGGAACATGCATTAAACAAGCCTGGGAACATGCATTAAACAAGCCTGGGAACATGCATTAAACAAAGCCTGGGAACATGCATTAGACAAGCCTGGGAACATGCATTAAACAAGCCTGGGAACATGCATTAAACAAGCCTGGGAACATGCATTAAACAAGCCTGGGAACATGCATTAAACAAGCCTGGGAACATGCATTAAACACGCCTGGGAACATGCATTAAACAAGCCTATGGAACATGCATTAAACAAGCCTGGGAACATGCATTAAACAAGCCTGGGAACATGCATTAAACACGTCTGGGAACATGCATTAAACAAGCCTGGGAACATGCATTAAACAAGCCTGGGAACATGCATTAAACAAGCCTGGGAACATGCATTAAACAAGCCTGGGAACATGCATTAGACAAGCCTGGGAACATGCATTAAACCTGCCTGGGAACATGCATTAAACCTGCCTGGGTACATGCATTAAACAAGCCTGGGAACATGCATTAAACAAGCCTGGGAACATGCATTAAACAAGCCTGGGAACATGCATTAAACACGCCTGGGAACATGCATTAGACAAGCCTGGGAACATGCATTAGACAAGCCTGGGAACATGCATTAAACAAGCCTGGGAACATGCATTAAACAAGCCTGGGAACATGCATTAAACACGCCTGGGAACATGCATTAAATAAGCCTGGGAACATGCATTAAAAAAGCCTGGGAACATGCATTAAACAAGCCTGGAAACATGCATTAAACACGCCTGGGAACATGCATTAGACAAGCCTGGGAACATGCATTAAACAAGCCTGGGAACATGCATTAAACACGCCTGGGAACATGCATTAAACAAGCCTGGGAACATGCATTAAACAAGCCTGGGAACATGCATTAGACAAGCCTCGGAACATGCATTAGATAAGCCTGGGAACATGCATTAAACAAGCCTTGGAACATGCATTAAACAAGCCTGGGAACATGCATTAGACAAGCCTCGGAACATGCATTAGATAAGCCTGGGAACATGCATTAAACAAGCCTTGGAACATGCATTAAACACGCCTTGGAACATGCATTAAACAAGCCTGGAAACATGCATTAAACACGCCTCGGAACATGCATCAGACAAAGAAACAAGGTGTGGTAGTAAGCCTGAGACAGGCTATCCAGTCAGTGCTCCCATCACCCCCTGTAGGTACTTACTGAGACCACCATGTTGAAAATGAACACTTCAGACAACGACTGTGCAACAAACACAAACATTTATTACCACGATGTTCCTTCTTGCAAGGTCCATGTATTTACAAACATCTATGACGTGTCTGTCACAATACTCGGTACAATGTCGCTATATATATACCTTGTAGCTTTGTATCAAGTCTACATCAATATCCTGGGCTCATGTGCAGAGGTGCCAACAACCATGGTTGGAATATCTGGACCAACTGGCATCGCGAAAATTAATTATTTTAAAATAACATAATCAGCATTATATTTAAGCAAAACCTCAAAATCTGTCACCCTCCCCATCAGAAGCTAAATCTGTGATATATTTTACTGAATTTGGTCCACAATACCAACCAAGACAGTTGGCATCTCTGCATTTGGATCATCTCTGCTCTTTCATTTCAGCTGTATGGTTGAGTGAGTTCCAGTATTTCAGTTCCATCACAACGTGTCTGCTTGATGAGGAAGCAGGACCTGGTGATGCAGGTCTTAGACGGTGCCGACAAACCTAGAAACATGGTGACGTCAAACTGGGATTCGAACCCAGGATTTTAGGTCTCTGGTTGCGATGTATCAATACTTGAGGTCGGTATATCGTGACACTATCATCTCAGCATTCTACAACACACAGTCACAATCATCTCCATCAAGAAGTCCAATTCAATGTAGCATCATTTTTATGGCTGCAGCCAATCACAGCCCTAGTTGCATCCATCATACAGGATTCATCCATAACATCATCTACACGTCGGCTGTATCTTCCCTTATGTCTTGTTCCTGCTGGGAATATGAGGAAAGCAAGGGAGCATCGTTCTGAAAATACGAAACAAATCATAAATTAGAATCAATTCATTCAAAACGGGATCGAGGGGTCAGACTCACTGGCTGGTTGGTTGGTTGGTTGTTTTACGTCGCACTCAGCAATATTCCAGCTATATGACGGCAGTCTGTAAATAATCGAGTCTGGACCAGACAATCCAGTGATTTACATCATGAGCATCAATCCACGCAATTGGGATACGATGACATGCATCAACCAAGTCAGCGAGCCCGACCACCCGATCCCGTTAGTCGCCTTTTACGACAAGCATAGTAACCTTTTATGGCAAGCATAAGGCAAGCATGGGTTGCTGAAGACCTATTCTACCCCGGATCTTGTCATGCTCACTGACTTGGTTGATGCATGTCATCGTATCCCAATTGTTTGGATCGATGCTCATGATGTCAATCACTGGATTGTCTGGTCCAGATTCAATTATTTACAGACCGCCGTCATATAGCTGGAGTGAGTGAGTGTGGTTTTACGCCGCTTTTAGCAATATTCCAGCAATATCACGGCGGGGGACACCAGAAATGGGCTTCACACATTGTACCCATGTTGGGAATCGAACCTGGGTCCTCGGCGTGACGAGTGAACACTTTAACCACTAGGCTACCCGACCACCCCATAAAGCTGGAATATTGCTGTGTGCAGTGTCAATAAAACAAACAAACAAACAAACCAGCAATATACCTAACATGTAAACAACCGTTTCGGGATCAGACAATCTTGTGATTGGTAATATGAGCATCGATCCACGCAACTGGGATACAATGACATACATCAACCAAGTCAGCGAGCCTGACCACCCGATCATGTTAGTCGCCTCTTACGACAAATACTGTTGCCAGTAATGGCAAGCATGGCTGACCTGGATCGCCACAGGTCTCACCAGTTATAATGGCATATCAGCTTAATGTGGGAAAATCCAAAAAGTCGTGCATGTTTTCAAATCACAGATCAACAATCATACTTGTAGTTATTGAAACCAAGGACCAGCGGGTCCTGGTATGACAAAGGGAGAAAACTCAAAAGTACAAGGTACCAAAACACTCACCAGTCGTGCTGCTCGTTTCACTACAAACTCATAAGCCCAGTGGTGCATCTGTAAGAACAGAATATAATCAACGAAAATGGTGGATCCTTTTCCTCCTAGAAGCTCCAGACAGTACAATCTCAATCAGTTCTCACTACTGTGAAACAAAGATTAGGAGATATCCCATCGTTAGTCACATCAGAACAACCTTTCATACGACCAATCAGAGCGTTGGTTACCAGGGCCCTGTTCCTCAAAGCGATCTTAGCACTACGATGATCTATACCTATGTTAAAGTATGGGACTTACGATCACTTTAGTGCTAAGATCGCTTTGTGGAACGGGGTCCAGATCAAGAAAGTGACAGTCACAATGTGTTTTTTTAATCGTGCAACCTCGAAGAGGTTAATACATTGTACAGGGTATTCCAAACGACAATTAGGCCCAGTAAGATTCATTCCGTGAAAATCATTGTCTATCTCTCGCTTCAATGGGATAAACATTTGAAACGGAAGAGACTTTGCATAGCCCGTAGAAAGCACTGGCATACAATCTCGGCCAATATATTAGACATTCCAGAATGTTCTTTTGTTCAGTTTTCAAATTTGTAATCGAGAACTTTGTCAACAAATTTTTGAAACGGAAGTCGCGAGTTCGAAGCTAGTGCAGTAAAGCTCGAGGAAGCTGCTTTCTGATTGGTTAATGTCGACTTCTTGTTAGTCATTATATTGGTCGGCTCAGTTTGCGAAAGGTCGTTCTGATGACACCCGTAATGGGATGTCCTAAGACCTTTGTTTAATGGTAGTGACGACTAAGATCTGATTTTATGAGATTGCAGACCTTTATGACCATTAAGTCATGTCTTAAGATTAATATCTTCAATAGTTATAGATGTAACTAAGGCAGAATGGCATCACAAGACCTGGGAAAAATGTATTGTATAAATTGCAGCCTTCCACTGCGTTGATGCTGGATGATTATAATGGAGCGATTTGGAAATTATGAAAAAAACGAACAGGCCAAAATCTGAAAATTTGTTACATTTATCCCAGATTAGCTGCACTCTTGAAAAAAAATACTGGTGTTTTAAAAGCCAAATTATCATGACGTGTAATGATCTAGTGTCCTAGAAAAGTATATATAGATTCAATGAGTGAGTGAGTTGGGTTTCACACCACTTTTAACATTATTCCAGTTATATCACGGCGTGTCAGCTTAATGTGGGAGGAAAGCCCAAAGTGATGCAGGTCTCAGACGTTTACCACTTCGGTGAAACCCACGAGCACGGGTAATTGCGGCACCTAAGACAACTGGGCCACCCGTGCCCCACTATCATCAATAAATGTAAAATTGTGATAAAACATTCTTTTCACAGTTTGCGTACCATGGACATTTAGTTCGAGTGAGTGAATATTGTTTTACGTCACGCAATATTCCAGCAATTTCACGGCGGGGAACAACAGAAATGGGCTTCGCACATTGTACCCATGTCGGGAATTGAACCTGAGTCTTCGGCGTGAAGGGTGAATGCTTTAGCCACTAGGCTACCCGACACCCTGACCTTTTTTGAAATGATGGAAGAGGCAGAATTTGGGTTACCTTGACCTGGGTGGGGAGTGCCACGCCCTGGACACGCTGGAGCTGTCCGTGCTCTGGACACTCTACCGGGTGAATCTGAAATGAGTGAGTGAGTGAGTTGGGTTTAACAGTATTCCAGTTATATCATGGCGTGTCAGCTTAATGTGGGAGGAAAGCCAGAAGAGACATCCACGGGCACAGGTGTGGTGCTGACAAACCTAGAAACATAATCGGGGCGAACCGGGATTTGAACCCACAATCTTAGGTTTCTGGTGGCCCAAGGGCCGCAACTCTGCACAGCGAATCGCAGCGCCTTAAGACCACTGGTCTACCTGTGCCCCCCCCGAATCTGAAATAACATCACAACAATTATACAGATTCACAAAGTTTTTCTCTCTCTTTCCTAGGAATGCTCAACATCTAATGGAACCGGACATTGTGACATTGAACTCACAGCTGTGACATTGAACTTACTGCTGTGACATTGAACTTATTGCTTACTGAATACTGCTGTGACATTGAACTCACCGCTGTGACATTGAACTCACTGCTGTGACATTGAACTCACCGCTGTGACATTGAACCGCCCGATCTGGCTGGTACTGGCTATAAGTGGTCCCCGGGACATGTCAATGTGTTCGCCCATCTTGTACAAGGTGACCTTCGACCCTGTGTTGGATTTGGCTGCAATTTGTGGTACTTGACTTTTCTTGAATAGATTGTCCTCAAACAGCCTCTCAGCCACCGAGGCGTCAACCTCGAGACGTTCAAACTTGAGGTCATCTAGTCGAAGTTTGTACGCGATTCGGCTGAGACAGTTCAGTTCGACCTGAAACATATAGAGAGATGATGGGATATCCACAAATAAATTTACCAGAACAGCAATAACATTTGTCACGCTGAAGGGGCTACCCCCAAATGTACAATTCCATACTTAACTTATCAGTTCTAAATTTGTGCATTTTCCTTCATTGTAACACATATGCAACAAGATTTGTTTAACAAAAATGTTTCTACAAAACCAAAACGCTCCTTTCCCATCCACCATATCTCCAGGACTCGGAAAGCGTACATTGACCTCTGAATCCATATCTGTGATTCTCACGATATCAAATTACTAGTAGTGGGATGATACACCGATGCATTGGTGGATCGCGATTCTTTACTTCTCAAAACAAGTATCAATCACAATCTCACATAAAGTAAAAAGTATCGATTCTTTCCTTAACTGTATTCTTCAATAAATGTTACACCAAACACAAATAACTAGTGAAAACGAGTAGTGAAACCGTAAATATCTTCATACTTGTCACGGCCAACTGTTATCATCAGTGTGCCTGGTATTTGGCCATCCTGTCTATGAAATGATTGCTTACGCACCACAGATAAGAGCACATGCAAGTATTGTAATACGTATCGGATCGCGCAGTTGGTGTATCGTCCCAGCCCTACAAATTACCCGCCCTTGATTTTCATCAACACTGTTTCGACCAATCAAACGCTGAGAAAAGGAAAAGAGGAAAAATGTGTTAGGGAGGACATGAAGACATCCTTTCCATCCCAAAGATCTTTGAGGGTTTTCTTTTGTGTGCGTGGCCGTCAGTTTTTCAGTGTTTAATTCCTGTTGAATTGTCAGGCCGCCATGTTGTTGATATTGCCAGCCCAACATTGAGATGGTTTGTAACTTGCATTCTGATTGGCCCGTTAGTCTAAGTAGCGTAACAAATTTAATTGGCTGATGACAATCAAGGGCGGGTAACTTGAGACTGCGAGAACCATGGGAATGGATCCAGGGGATTGTGTAGGTTTACTGAAATGTGACCTGGAGATACAGGGGATGGTTTCTCCCGATTCAGCTCCTGTCATGTACATTCTTTCTTCAACTGGAATTCATGCTGCAGTTGACCTAACAAGTTACTGTTTCTTAACAACAACATACTGTGGTGGATCAACAACAATTTACTATGGTGGGTTCCGAAACAACAACTTTATGCATTGGGTATTTTAAAAGCAGCTTACAGGGATGGGTTCCAAAACAACAACTTACTTTGGTGGATCAACAACAATTGACTATCATAGGTTCCGAAACAACTTTATGCATTGGGTATTTTAACAGCAGCTTACAGGGATGGGTTTCGCAACAACAACTTACTTTGGTGGGTCAACAACAATTTACTATGGTGGATCAACAACAACTTACTGTGGTAGGTCAACAACAATTTACTATGGTGGGTCAACAACAATTTACTATGGTGGGTCAACAACAACTTACTGTGGTAGGTCAACAACAATTTACTATGGTGGGTCAACAACAATTTACTATGGTGGATCAACAACAACTTACTATGGTGGGTCAACAACAACTTACTGTGGTAGGTCAACAACAATTTACTATGGTGGGTCAACAACAATTTACTATGGTGGATCAACAACAACTTACTTTGGTGGGTCAACAACAACTTACTGTGGTAGGTCAACAACAACTTACTGTGGTAGGTCAACAACTTACTGTGGTGGGTCAACAACAACTTACTGTGGTAGGTCAACAACAACTTACTATGGTAGGTCAACAACAACTTACTGTGGTAGGTCAACAACAACTTACTGTGGTGGGTCAACAACAACTTACTGTGGTGGGTCAACAACAACTTACTGTGGTAGGTCAACAACAACTTACTGTGGTAGGTCAACAACAACTTACTGTGGTGGGTCAACAACAACTTACTGTGGTGGGTCAACAACAACTTACTGTGGTGGGTCAACAACAACTTACTGTGGTGGGTCAACAACAACTTACTGTGGTAGGTCAACAACAACTTACTGTGGTAGGTCAACAACAACTTACTGTGGTAGGTCAACAACACCTTACTGTGGTAGGTCAACAACACCTTACTGTGGTGGGTCAACAACAACTTTCTATGGTGGGTCAACAACAACTTACTGTGGTGGATCAACAACAACTTACTGTGGTGGGTCAACAACAACTTACTATGGTGGGTCAACAACAACTTACTATGGTAGGTCAACAACAACTTACTATGGTGGATCAACAACAACTTACTATGGTGGGTCAACAACAACTTACTATGGTGGGTCAACAACAACTTACTGTGGTGGGTCAACAACAACTTACTATGGTGGGTCAACAACAACTTACTATGGTGGATCAACAACAACTTACTGTGGTGGGTCAACAACAACTTACTGTGGTAGGTCAACAACAACTTACTGTGGTAGGTCAACAACAACTTACTGTGGTAGGTCAACAATAACTTACTGTGGTAGGTCAACAACAACTTACTGTGGTGGGTCAACAACAACTTACTGTGGTGGGTCAACAACAACTTACTGTGGTAGGTCAACAACACCTTACTGTGGTGGGTCAACAACAACTTTCTATGGTGGGTCAACAACAACTTACTATGGTAGGTCAACAACAACTTACTATGGTGGATCAACAACAACTTACTATGGTGGATCAACAACAACTTACTATGGTGGGTCAACAACAACTTACTATGGTGGGTCAACAACAACTTACTGTGGTGGGTCAACAACAACTTACTATGGTGGATCAACAACAACTTACTGTGGTGGGTCAACAACAACTTACTGTGGTAGGTCAACAACAACTTACTGTGGTAGGTCAACAACAACTTACTGTGGTAGGTCAACAACAACTTACTGTGGTAGGTCAACAACAACTTACTGTGGTAGGTCAACAACAACTTACTGTGGTAGGTCAACAACAACTTACTGTGGTAGGTCAACAACAACTTACTGTGGTGGGTCAACAACAACTTACTATGGTGGGTCAACAACAACTTACTGTGGTGGGTCAACAACAACTTACTGTGGTAGGTCAACAACAACTTACTGTGGTAGGTCAACAACTTACTGTGGTGGGTCAACAACAACTTACTGTGGTGGGTTAACAACAACTTACTGTGGTGGGTCAACAACTTACTGTGGTAGGTCAACAACAACTTACTGTGGTGGGTCAACAACAACTTACTATGGTGGGTCAACAACAACTTACTGTGGTGGGTCAACAACAACTTACTGTGGTACTTAACAACAACTTACTGTGGTAGGTCAACAACTTACTGTGGTGGGTCAACAACAACTTACTGTGGTAGGTCAACAACAACTTACTGTGGTAGGTCAACAACAACTTACTGTGGTAGGTCAACAACAACTTACTGTGAGGGTCAACAACAATTTACTGTGGAAGGTCAACAACAACTTACTGTGGTAGGTCAACAACAACTTACTGTGGTAGGTCAACAACACCTTACTGTGGTAGGTCAACAACAACTTACTGTGGTAGGTCAACAACAACTTACTGTGGTGGGTCAACAACAATTTACTGTGGTAGGTCAACAACAACTTACTGTGGTAGGTCAACAACAACTTACTTAGGTAGGTCAACAACAATTTACTGTGGTGGGTCAACAACAACTTACTGTGGTGGGTCAACAACAACTTACTATGGTGGGTCAACAACAACTTACTGTGGTGGGTCAACAACAACTTACTGTGGTGGGTCAACAACAACTTACTGTGGTAGGTCAACAACTTACTGTGGTGGGTCAACAACAACTTACTGTGGTAGGTCAACAACAACTTACTGTGGTGGGTCAACAACAACTTACTGTGGTAGGTCAACAACAACTTACTGTGGTGGGTCAACAACAACTTACTGTGGTGGGTCAACAACAACTTACTGTGGTGGGTCAACAACAACTTACTGTGGTGGGTCAACAACAACTTACTGTGGTGGGTCAACAACAACTTACTGTGGTGGGTCAACAACAACTTACTGTGGTAGGTCAACAACAACTTACTGTGGTAGGTCAACAACAACTTACTGTGGTGGGTCAACAACAACTTACTGTGGTGGGTCAACAACAACTTACTGTGGTTGATCAACAACAACTTACTGTGGTTGGTCAACAACAACTTACTGTGGTAGGTCAACAACAACTTACTGTGGTGGGTCAACAACAACTTACTGTGGTAGGTCAACAACAACTTACTGTGGTGGATCAACAACAACTTACTGTGGTAGGTCAACAACAACTTACTGTGGTGGGTCAACAACAACTTACTGTGGTAGGTCAACAACAACTTACTGTGGTGGGTCAACAACTTACTGTGGTAGGTCAACAACAACTTACTGTGGTGGGTCAACAACAACTTACTGTGGTAGGTCAACAACAACTTACTGTGGTGGGTCAACAACAACTTACTGTGGTAGGTCAACAACAACTTACTGTGGTGGGTCAACAACAACTTACTGTGGTGGGTCAACAACAACTTACTGTGGTGGATCAACAACAACTTACTGTGGTAGGTCAACAACAACTTACTGTGGTAGGTCAACAACAACTTACTGTGGTGGGTCAACAACAACTTACTGTGGTAGGTCAACAACAACTTACTGTGGTAGGTCAACAACAACTTACTGTGGTGGATCAACAACAACTTACTGTGGTAGGTCAACAACAACTTACTGTGGTAGGTCAACAACAACTTACTATGGTGGATCAACAACAACTTACTGTGGTGGGTCAACAACAACTTACTGTGGTGGGTCAACAACAACTTACTATGGTGGGTCAACAACAACTTACTGTGGTGGGTTTCCAGTTATGCAAGCTGAGATTGACGTCATGTACGAAGCTCCCACTTGACACTGAATCATGAGAAACATGACAATTATGATAATATTGACACACATGACAATGACGATAATATTGACTCGGACACATGTGACTATATTGACACACATGACAATATTGACAATCTTACAAACATGACAATCTTTACAAACATGGCAATATTGACAATCTTTACAAACATTGCAATATTGACAATGTTTACAAACATGACAATCTTTACAAACATGGCAATATTGACAATCTTTACAAACATGACACACATGACAATATTGACAAACATGACAATCTCTACAAACATGACACACATGACAATATTGTCAATCACCAAAACCATGACAAACAATCATCATGAACCTCATCACTTTCAATGCCATCCAGTCTCTTATAATTCATGACGTTCTATTGAACACTATTACAATAACAGGACTGGATGTCAGCTTGACGTGGGAGGAACTCCTGAAGTTATACAGGTCTTACACGTTACCACTTCAGTGAAACCCTCCCACACAGGCATGGTGGTAAACCCGTGAAGATCCGGGTTAGAACAGGTCTTCAGCAACCCATGCTTGCCGTAAAAGGCGACTATGCTTGTCGTAAGAGGTGACTAACGGGATCGGTGGTCAGACTCGCTGACTTGTCATCGTATTCTAGTTGCGTTGATCGATGCTCATGATGTCAATCACTGGATTGTCAGGTCCAGACTTGATTATTTACAGACCGGCGTCATATAGCTGGAATATTGCTGAGTGTGGAGTTAAACAACCAACAAACAAACAAGGTATGGTTCTGACAAACCTAGAAACACAATCAGGGCAGATCAGGGATTCAAACCCTTGATCATAAGTTCCTGTCATACCTAAGGGACAGAACTCTCCACATGGAACCTAAGACAACCGCCCCTGACCAGTGAGTGAGTATAGAGCTTTTACAGATAGAAAAAATTGCAATTAATATTTTTTCATTTCATATTAACGGCAAAGAATAGTCTACATTGACAAGTGTGATTACATCGTTGGTTGTTCTCGTAACATGTCAGGTAAAATAACAACAGCCGGAGACATACACTTTGGAGACTATCTGAACCTGGCTCTCAGCATCATCTTATGTAGAACTTGGTGTTATGTGGACATTACTGACTGAACTGACTAGCCCAAAACAGAATTTTACTAGACCCAGGCTTTGGACTAGTGGCTTAAGTCGCAGACTGTAACAAGAGCACATATTTCACAGTGTTTCTTGTCTTTTCATTACAAAACGTGAGTGCAGCTTTCACAACCATCAAAACTGAGTCATTGTCCACTTACTAAAAAGAAGTTTTTCAATGGTTGATCATCTTCCCGAGAAGGGAGTTAACAGACTCAAAAGTCCAGTTTCCACCCTTGCCGAACTAGGCTGGAATTCCTGGGCTCCATCGTAGCGCCACCAGTGGCTACTATGAGTTATGTCCCTTCTATGTCTCTCCTATGGACCAATCAGATTCCACCTCTCACATCACATGCATTTGCTTCGAACAAAATGGCGGCACCCTGTCAAGACGATCTGATCGATGATCAAGATCTATATTGTAATAAAACAGGACTTGTGCAGTACCTTGATTAAAAAGATGAAGAGATTTAGAAAATATCTGTCAACAACCAGTTGACGGTACACATGCTTTGCAGTCCTACACTCGACGAAAATCTGCAGGTTTGAATCCATGTTGTTTACAAACCAGTTGTCAATTTCGTTACGCGAGTTTGATTTTGACTATGCATAGACGTCAGTCCATTCAAAATATAACTCCATAATTCCAGCCTAGTTCGGTAAGGGTAGAAACTGGACTTTCACAGTCAGTTGACTCCCTTGTCTCGGGAAGGTGATGGCTTTTATAGACTGTCATTTTGTTCTAAAGCTGCCACAACAGCTGACACAACTTACCGGATGGTTTGGGAAAGCTGACCAAATCCACCGTTACATCGTCTTTGAACGCAGTTTCCATCACATGACCCAGGACGAAGGAACAGGTACGCCAGAACGCCTGCAGACAGAGTGGGTGAAAGAGTAAGAGAGTTTAGCAGCTGGGAGCATGGATATCATAATCAGGGCAGATCTGGTATTCAAACCACAATCATCAGATCCTGGTACAACAAAGGGAGACAACTGTAATAAGAACAAGACACAAATATGTCAATAACCAGTCTCCAGGGTTTTATCAGAAGCAAACTATTACATGCTATTCTGAGTATGGTTTTATGTTGATTTTAGCCATATTCCAGCAATATCACCAAGGGGATGGGGGTGTGGGGGGGGGGCCCAATGGGGCTTCACACATTGTATGCATATTGGGAATCGAACCTGGACCTGGATGGTGAATGGATGCATAAACCACAAGGCTCCCTCGCCATCCTCACCTATCTTGTGTCCTATATGTATAATACATTTACTACAGCACTGTAGCTCACCTGATCGTGTAATCAACCGTTTAAAATGTCAACAAAGATAGCCACTAAACAAAAGTTGATGTCAGCTCTGATGTTCACAACATTTAAATACTTTCTGAATGAATACTGAAGACAAATGCTGTAGTGGCCATATTGAAAATCGGATTTGAACAATCTGGGGTGTCATCATTGGCAGGAACAAGCCTGAAGTTTTTGCAGCTTTATTGGTCCAGCAGTTTCTAACGAAATGATGTTTAATCCATTCTGTAAGAATGTTAACACAGAAGATTGACGAAGATGCTAACCACTAACTGTAATTTCATTAATCTGTCCTGGCTCATCATGTGACAAAGTCTGTCGCTTTTATTGAGGGCATGAGTATATGTACGTATCTTGTTACCATGGTGACAGACCAAAAGTGTTATATGGAAAGTGACAGTGTTATTTCTCTTGAAATATTGATTTTCCGTTTGCAGAGATATACCGGTATTTTATCACTAACTGCATGACAAAAGATAAATGTGAGTTAAAACAAGATTCTAACTTTATCTTATCTCGTATTAACCGTAACCATGGTAACAACCTCTATTTCTCACACTATCACTGTGAACAGTGGCGATCAGTGTTTGTTTGTCACACAGAGAATACAAGCCTTGTAGGTGTGTTTTCGCTATAACCCTTGAAGACAATCTTAGCACACTGAGAGCTTTGGGAATTGACTGCCTAAACAATACTGTAACATAATTTTGATGCAGCACGCGCCAACATCGCCGCTCCAGTTGTGTGTCTGTTGTTTAATGCCGCACTCAGCAATATTCCAGCTGGATGAAATCGGTCTGTAAATAATCGAGTCTGGACCAGACAATCCAGTGATTGACATTATGAGCGTCAATTGCAACAGGGGATGCATTTGGGATACGATTTCAAGCATCAACCATGTCAGGGAACCTGACCACCCGATGACGATTGCCTCTTACGACAAGCATGGGTAGCTGAAGACCTATTCTCTACCCGGACCTTGACGATGGGGGGAGGGGTGGGGTGTGGCAGGGTGGTGTGTTAGTGGTCTGATGGGGTTTGTGTAAAAACTGCATTTTGCCCATTGACATAGCTGCTCTCTATATTTAAATTATCTGTGCAGCTACGTTTGATAGTGAGCTGCTTCAATATAAGGGTAACGCCAGTTTCCATATAAAGCTGAGAAATCATCATGTAACTCCATTTCAAGGACTGTATTCGACGTAAAAAGCGCCCAGGGCGCTGTCAAAATTAGAAATAGGGGGGTCTTATTAGAATATTATTTAAGTGGGGAAAAAAACAGAGTTAAAAGATAAATTTTGTGGTTTATGCTGACAGCCTGAAATGTTTATGTACGACAGATATATTTTTCCAGAAATTAATTGCTGATAATTAAGTGTGCATATATCACATGAGTGCGTATTATACGTGAATAAATAAGTCTTGTGTACATTGATCAATCGGAAGGGCTGCTAATTAGGACTGTTCACTGGCCAATATATTAGCAAATGTCGACCATGGGCACTTATTAGAGCGGGGCGCTTAATATGTCGAATACGGTATGTGAAGTATAGTGAGTGAGTGAGTTTAACGCCGCATGGAACAGTTCTCCAGTTTCATCGCGTTAGTGAGCTTAGAGTGAGTGAGTATGGTTTTACGCCACTTTTAGCAATATTCCAGCAACATCACGGCAGGGGACACCAGAAATAGGCTTCACGCATTGTACCAATGTTGGGAATCGAACCTGGGTCTTCGGCGTGTCGAGCGAATGCTTTAACTGCTAGGCTACCCGACCGCCCCTAGTGAGTTTAGAGAGGTAGTGATGAGGACGGTCTTTTATGGAGTGCCCAGTGACAGATGATGTATATCTTTTCATATTACCGTATTCGACTTTATAAGCGCCCCGCTCTAATAAGCGCCCACGGCGATATTTGCTAATATATTGGCTACTAATGGCTAGTGAACAATCCCAATTAGCACCCCTTCCGATTGATCAATGTACAAAAGACTTATTTATTCACGTATAATACGCACTCGTGTGTTATATACACCCTTAATTTTGGGGAATCAAATTCGGGAAAAATATATCTGTCGTACATAAACATTTCAGGCTGTCAGCATAAACCACGAAATTTATGTTTCAACTCTGTTTTTTTCACCAAAATAACATTCTAATAAGAGCCCCCTATTTCTAATTTTGAGAGCGCCCAGGGCGCTTATTACGTCGAATACGGTATATGTTTTCATATTAATGTGTATTACTTTGCAGGTTAGCAGTAGATGTTTTAAGGTAGGGCTGCAACGATAAACCTTGATCACGATATGATACGTATCTCGATACTTACATCACGATTCGATACGTATCTCGATACGCTACGATACACATAGTGACAAGAGAAGACAAGATAAATGAATTAAACTTAGTTTATTAAAATGAATTAAATAAATGAAAGTGAATGAATGCTCATGAGTCATAAAATATATACTGTAATGAGTATTTTAACTTAAAGAATCATCTGCCATTTCCATGTAATGGTTAGCAAACACAAAAGTAACAGTCTTACATATTTGTGAGTTGTGTCGTGCCTCGTTTATACGGACACTTGCGTCATTTCACAATTCGTCCGTATAAACAAATTTCTGGAAGAGTTACTTCCCTTCAATTATGCAACTCATGACAGATGACAGAGCAAACAGATACATCCACTCAATCTTTATTCAAGACATACACGTTTAAAAAAATCTGTCTCTGACCTCCACAGACGCAATATTTATTAAATGGGATTACATGTACAATAAACAAGCTCGTCTCAAACGTAACTCAGTGTCACTCGGTTAATTGACTTCTCACGAATCAAAGGATTACCACCAGCGGAAGTGTATTGTCCGGGTAAGTGAGACAATTTTGTGTGCATTTCAGTGTTTTGTGTATGAAAATGACCGTCCGGTTCCGGGAACTGAATATACGGGTAAATTTATAGAGTAATTATTTCGTTTCGAATGAAAATCGTCCGAACCGAGGTTTCCGGATATCTGAAGTCTGTATAAGCGGGACATGACTGTAGTAATGTATATAATTGGGTGATGGCGGCGTATGTGTGTTGTCATGTTTGTCGTGCTGCCCGTGTATTTCAACCTTGCGTGACACATGCGACAGCACGTTTGATCTTTGCACACGTGTTTGATTCCATCTTCAAATGTTACTAGAACCGAAATGTTCCCAAACTACTGATTTGTGAGTCTCCAGCAAAGGATGAGCGTCTGCTTTTTCCGACATGTTTGAGTTAGAGACCGCTCAGTCAATCAGAAATCATGAACTGCAGCTGATATACAAAGTTAGCATAGCCGCTGTATTTTCAAAGACGTACGTGTGTGTAGCGAAAATTATATTTTCCCTACTTTTTATGACTCGGTCGAATTTGAAATTAATTTAAAACACATTTAAAACGTATCTGTGATGAGAGTTTATTTTAAAAAATGTATCGTGAAAATTCAAGATACAGCACCTCACAAATCGCGCACCGTATCGTATTGAGTGAATCGCGATGCATCGGTGTCCCGGGATATCTCTCAGTCCTATATTAAGGAGTAATAATAACAATAATCATAACTCACATTGTTGAGGGTCCGGGGGTCTTCGTCGCGGAAGTGGAGAAATTGGATCTCACAGTCCTCCTCAAGAGGTCGATGCATATCCCAGGGCTGACTGTTGACCAGCGCCAGGGCTGAACGGGTCATCAGTAGTTCTTGTATATCTGTATATTAACAAAATTCTTCAAACATGCGAAGGTTTAACATGCACAAAATGTTTTCATATAAACATAAGTTTCACACAAAACACTGAAGGCGAGACCTTTTATATATTTGTTTTACAAGTTCAGAAAACCCTAAAAATGAGGAGTGGGGTAAAAATAAAAACTTTCAATGACTAATTCTTCTTAGCATGCACCTTCCACTACTTGGAAGCAAATGGTTACCATGGTTACAACAGGTGAAACAGGCAGACATCCTTATATCACAATTTGGATGTCTTGGGAATTGATGTTACTGTAAAGGTTTAATGACAATGCTGTAGCGATACAAATTTATGATTATCGATCTTAAATTATTCATTTACTGCCCTAGACATGTTTACATATACCGTTGTAGGTGATACACTTTGGCCATTGACAAACAATTCTGTACACTGTCTTGAATGGTTTATTTTAAACTTCTGCATAGATTGATGCATATATTCTTGATTAAGTCTTGATTGATTGTGACTGATATTATGTATTATGTCTTTCCTGACATTCCTAAATTAAACTCTTTTACTGGCCCTTTAATTGTAAGGCCTATTGTTGACAGGTACAAGCTATAATAAAAACAAATGTGAAATATTACAACTTGTAACTAAGGTAGTTAGTACACGTTATTACCAACATTATTTTCCGGATTTTGAACGAAACATCTGTGATTCACACTTCAACCTTTTCAACATGCAATTTACCCTTTTACACCATTTACATTTGTTATAGCATTGCTAGTTATGATTTACATGTTGTTTTTTATATATTTTGTTAATACTTACAAATTTTATGGGCCCTTTACACCCTACACAAGTTCATGTCATATTCTGTTTACATCCATGTGCTTGTCCATGCACTGACTAAAACCCGGATGATTAACCAGGACAAACCAAAGAAAGTAGAGAATTAAATGAAGCACTCATAAAAGAACTAAAGTGACTTATCCTCACAAGTGGTAGCCTACAACCGTATTCGACGTAATAAGCGCCCAGGGTGCTGTCAAAATTAGAAATAGGGGGCTCTTATTAAAATATTATTTTGGTGGAAAAAAAACAGAGTTGAAAGATCGTAAATTTCGTGGTGACAGCCTGAAATGTTTACGTACGACAGATATATTTTTCCAGAATTTAATTGCCCATAATTAAGGTTGCATATAACACACGAGTTTTCATATTATACGCGAATAAATAAGTCTTGTGCACATTGATCAATCGGAAAGGGTGCTAATTGGGATTGTTCACTAGCCAAAATATTAGCAAATATCGCTTATTACGTTGAATACGGTATTAATATAAATATGGTTAAGATGGACAATCAGTAGCAGAACATTCACTTTTAGACATTAAATGTATCAGCCAGTTCATATAACAATAAATTAATTAGTTACTGGTCCGCATGTTATCTTGATCTACATACAGAAAAATTCACTTTATTATATACAACAGTGTGAAAGTGATATTTTCATTGCAGTGAACTAACAATTGATATTTCACTGCAGTGAACATAAGACTTTTATGGAACTAGTGTCATACCAGAGTTACTTCCCCTGAAATTGTCTCCCTTTAATGTAAGTGTCTAGCCCTTCAAATACCCTCTATTCATTATTAATCGGTATATTGTGAAGCTTACGGTAATAAACAACATATTGCTACCAAAATGGCCAATTAATGAAGCCCCATACCTCACACACATGACAACATATTCAGAACTTTTAAACAAAAATATACATATTTTCATATACATTTTCTCCAGATTCCGATCAGAATTTATAACAAATTAATCTGTAAACCAAGGAATAAAGTCCTCAGTGACGTACGCATGGCACAGTTGAAGGGTGTGGAGAGGCCGCGGTTCATGACGAGGGAGCAGTCCTCTGGGGGTCCAACATGCTCCACCTGAATCTTCTCAATCCGCCTGATGAGAGACAGTTGTCTCTTCCTTTCTTCATCAAATATTGCATTTCTCTTTTTCCGGATTTCAACATTTGATAACTTTGTCTGGGCACAAAAGGATCCTGAAACAAAGAAAACAACTGATGAGGGACTTCAGCATGGCTCCTGATAAACCGCTTATTGTGTAAAAGAACAGAACAATTACAATTTGAGCTGCTTGGGAACCAATATCGATGAAAAATTTCAATTTTCAAATACAAAGTAGACACAATTTATAGATAACAACTTCTTTATTTACTGTTAAGATGACGTTTCGGTAAAGAAGTTAATACTGTTGTAAAGCAAGTCTTGCTTGACAACGGTATAAGGATCTATACCGAAATGTCACCTATACAGTAAATAAAGAAGTTGTTATATGTCAATGTGTCTAAGTAGTCAGTAAGGCTCAAATGGATACACTGACACATCTGCTCAATCTGATGACTGTGACTGTCACTCAGGAACTTTAGCATTTGTTTAGCATGCTTCAGGTTACATGTTTGACACAGGACGCATTTCATGATTTGAGACATGCTCTATGTTCATCAACTTGATGAATGTATCTTCATGCAGATTGTTTCTTTACAATCTGTCAGTCACACAAATTAACATGCATCCAACTTCGAATTCAAGCTTCGATATTTGTTTTAGAAAGTATTCGTCATTGGATATTTGGGAAGAAAAAAAAAATTCGACATTTGTTTTGAAATCCATGGCTGTCACTCGTATAAAGGGTGTGTGGAAATACGTATGATTTCACGGAGTACATGATGTCATAGTCTGCTTCAAACAACTTGGAACATTGGCAAAGGGTATTGATTGTTCAACGCTAAAACATGCTGAAGGCTGTGAAGCTACGGAATTGGTTTTGACTGACAAATTAACCGGTGACTATTGTTGATACAAATCTATACCAAATTTGCAGATAATCATATCATAAAGCCAAAAAACGCAATCGAAAAGCATCTTGGTAAGTGCGTGTAAATGCTTACTAGACCATCGTTTCCTTAGGTAGGCATTCCGTAGAAGCAAGGGAGCTGTTCTGCACGTGTTAGTTGCCATTTTTGTTGCCGGAACTGGGCTGTCAGATGAGAGTTGTCTACTCTTGTCCCTAGCCGGAAATGCAGCTTGGCGCATGCCCAGTGTCCATGGTTACGTTCAATGTAAATAACTTGCAGGACAACGAATGGTAAATCTGAGAACATTTGGAAAAAAGAACGGGGTGTAAACACGGTTTTAGGGGCGGAATCATACTTATACATTGAACAATCATGGTAAGTGTATGTTCATATATACTATGACATCTAATTTTACGATGGTTTACTGAAGAGTTTTACATTTATTCATGTTGATGAGTCTTGTGTTACTGTTAGGTTGGACATTTTCAGCGGCATGTGTGAAGTTTCACTTGCTATTCTGATCTGAATTTATCATTTAGACCCTGCAATACTGTCGTTAATATTACGCTTAACCGCAAATATTACTCTTTTTTGCTATAATCGATCAGTATTACATATCACACTGTTTCTAATCCATTTGAACCAACTATATTTCCCCGCAAAGTGTTGTAGTCAAAACGGCCTCCTATCAGAAAGGACTCAAAGTCCTAACGGCCACAAAAAAAAGTAAAAATGACCACAAACCCCAAACGTATGTGCTCAAACCAGTAGATACGGAATCCATAAAGCATAATATGCATAATATTCCAATTCCAATAGAGTCTTAGGACTGACAGAATTTCAGATTGGAGTTTCGGAGAACCAGGCATGAAAAAAGCCTCCCAGGTAGCCGAGAACCGCGATGGGGTCATATGGTCAAGACATGACCCAACATCACGGCCGAGAACGCCACCTTCATGAATCCTATTCAGACTGTGGTGGCGATTTACCCTCTCTGTTTCTGAGATTAAAAAAAAATCAAAAAATTGCCGTCTACTAGTAGCAGAGAATTCTGTGTACTGTAAAATTTGCCTGTATTGTCTGATGTTTTCTTGTGAACACTGTATGAATTGGGGTAATAATTCCCACATCATAGCATGTTATCACTGCACTTGTATTTTCTTGATTTCTTTGCCGATTTGTCGGGAGGCAAAATGAAGTAAAAAGATGTAAACAAATGTTTTGGGTTCATTTGAGAGGTTAATACCATTTACAAAAATTAAGCTGAACATATTTTTATATAAATAAACGATAAAGTTATTGAAGAATCATTCTTTAATTAAAATGTAATTTTTTCTTGCGCTGCAGTGGGAAATAAATATGAAAAGATGATGGTGTAGGATATTGTTTAGAAATAAAAAAATGTCTGTGTCTGAAACAAGATTACTTTTGTCGCTGTGTAATCATGTCGGTATATTTAACCCAGTTTACATGTTGATGTTTTCCAGCCTGGCAGCGCTATCTCAGCCTCCAATAGTTCAACCTCCTCCGCATCAAAGAGAGCCAAGACACGCCAGTATCGGGTGATCAGTAACACCTCTCAGATCGATGAGTCGCTGTTTGGTCAGCCCAACCGGGTGGCCAAGAGGAACGAGATGCTGAAGGACATGTGGACTGGCGAGAGGACGCAGGATGTTTCCCTGGAAACGCTGGCCAAACAGAGAAGCGACAAACGTAGAAAAGGAAAATCCAGTAACCGAGAAACAGTACAGGTCATCACTAAGGATCTCATCCGAAACCTCATGTAAGAATCTTTATTTAATGTGAAATTAAACGTTATAGCTTTTCCACTGGACGAGAGTCTGGTTGCATGACCGCAAAACTGATGTTCATAAATGTAGGAACGACACATTTCTAATTCTTCTTTCGATCATAAGTGGAAATGTTTCTAAACAAAGGTTTCCAGTTTCTAAAAACAATCCTGCCGATTTGTTAAATATATTCAGATTCAATAAATGAAGATTCATTTGGAGGGAGGAAGTTATTCTCCTTATTGTAGAAGTTTTATCTTGTCTCGTGGTGAAAATTGAAAAGTAATAAAACTCCCCAAAGCGTTACCGGGTTCCCTACAAGGAAGTAGTCACATAGAATGTTCTGGTTTCAAAGTGACTAGTGCCTTTCTGTTTAAAGTACCGTATATCGCTGTGTATAAGGCGAGTGTTTTGTACCTAGAATTAGGAGGCTTTCAAGGGGGGTCGTCTTATACACAGGGTTGAAGAGTTTTAGTGTTTTTTACCCAACACTACTGTGAGCGAGTAACACCGGAAATACATCCTCAACAAATCCGTACTGAAGTACGCAAATTAATCATGTAATTGTACTGTCTGGTTTTAAAAAATGTTCATTTTATATCTGGACTTACGTTTGTAATATACTTGATTAATTTCAACATAAAATGACCGCAAAACTGATGTTCATTAGTGTAGGAACGACACATTTTGACTTTCATATGTTTTTAACAAGACTGTATTCTTGGAATGACAAACAGTGACAGACTACTTCCACATTACTTGGGAATTCCCTTGCATTATAAATACAGAAGCGTTGTTTCTGAATTTAGACCCTTTAGTCTTGAACATAGCGTTTCAGCATACAGAGGGAATAGTCAGTGAGTTTGACTGCATACCCATTCATGAATATTCTCACTACGACCCATCCTAGTGAACAAAACGAAGTAATGCACCTCCATACTGGGATATTCGTACAGCTTCTCCTCACACTGTGAAAGTCCATACGCCAATGATTCCAGGGTAGAATAGGTCTTCAGCAACCCATGCTTGCTGTAAAAGGTGACTATGCTTGTCGTAAAAGGCGACTAATGGGATTGGGTGGTCAGGCTCGCTGACTTGGTTGATGCATGTCATCGATCCCAATTGCGTGGATCGATGCTCATGATATTAATCACTGGATTGTCTGGTCCAGACTCGATTATTTACAGACCGCCATCATATAGCTGGAATATTGCTGAGTGCGGCGTTAAACAACAAACCAACCAACCAACCATTCGCCAATCAGCTCACACAAAGTGAAAGTTAATTCCTGAATGAAGGTTTGTGTCAGGATCTTGCTTAGGTTTAAGTTCAAACAGGAAGTGATAATTACCTGTATGTTCAGCGATAGAATTTGACGTTGTTTGTCCACTAGTCCTTACAATGATAACAAATGGCAAAACCCTGAGAAATGTCAAATTTCTACTAGTCCTTATGATACCTTAACTATTGGCCAGTTTGGCAAGTACTACAGGACTAGTGCCAATTTCTAACGCTGATGTTGGGTACTGATGGGGTGCAACATCCCCAATTACCGTGTATTATCATAGTTGTTCCTCCACTCTATTATCATAAATACCCAGGACCCATTTCCCACCATAACTTTAGTTTGGAAGTGACGTGACCAGATCTATTTCTCTTATCGATAAATATATATAGCGCATAATTTCTCTTGCTAATACAGTGTTTGAAATATAAAAAACTGCCATCAGGACCCACAGACTTTCGGGAAACTCAGACGATTTTGTCTAGTGGGATTACAATCGTGGTCAATGTAGTGACAGATTCTGCTGTATTGGATCAAAATGGTAACAATGTCCTGTGTTGTCTGGATGGTGTCCTGTGGTTCGGGATGCTGTCGTGATGAACAGGCGTGAATTGTTCATTAAAGTTTCTTGTCGATTGAGTCCAGATTGCGTCCAGATCTTAACGAATGCAAACCGTCTTTGTCGGTTCACTGTCCGGTCACTGTCTGATCTCTGTCAGATCGCATTAGGGAGAAGTGGGACGCTGTCGGGACAGATTCGGTCATTTTTTACCATGAGGAAGACACAAATCGGATCAGATTCAGATTGAAAACGGGGGAAATTGGAATGAATTTGGCTGGAAAAGGCTGAACCGGTACGCTTCCTGAACACTATCTGATTGTTTGTGAATTTCCCGCCACGAATCACAGGATCTTGATCAGACTTTTGACAAATATTAATCGGGAATGGTCCTTTCAAGGAAGTCAGTAAGAATCCTGAATGTGTGACTGAGCCCTTATGCTTGAATCAACAAATAATCAAAGTTTTCGGCATGAATCTACATCCAAACTTGTGGTCATGGAGAGCTAGCCGTTATATTTTTAGTCATGTTAGAAGAATGTTATGAATGAGTTTGTAGCTGGAAAAGGTTTTTACTGGGTATTAGGAGTATTAGGAGCCTAAGCTGGTTGTAGGAGGCAACCAAATGGATTGGGGGGTCAGGTTCGCTGACTTGGTTGATTGTGTTTCATCGTACCCAAACGGCACGGGTCATTGCTGAAAATATCGATCCGCATTATTTGGTCCAGACACAATTGTTTACCGGCTTTTGTCACATGGCTGAAAGGGTAACAAACAAACAAACTTTGTGACAACATCAACGGTAGAAACTAACAGTTTTAGTCCACTAGTCATAATAATGATAACATATAGCCAAACCCTTAATAATGGCAAATTTCTAATGGTCCTTATGATACCTTTACTATTGGGCAGTTTGGCAAGGACTACAGGACTAGTGCCAGTTTCTAACGCTGTGACATAAAAACACGGTCAGTCGCGTACTGGTGCTATTGCAACTTGTTTCAATAATGAAAAAACTGTGCAATAACGCCGGATGGAACGTCTTTAGTGCTGTGTAAATCAAACCAAACTCAAAACAATGGTGCGAAGTAGGTTCCATTGGCCAACCTTGGACTTTCATTTCCATGCTTGTGACCACCTGAATAGGTAAACACTGTCTTCATCACCTTCATCATGTTTTTTTATCTACTTCAGCGTCCCCACAGAAGATCCATCTGGCCAAACCATGATTCTTTCCCGACGCGACTTTGAAAGAATACTGCAAGGAGCTCGCACTTTTTCCAAATCTGAAAAAGAGGCCCGCAGTGATTCAATCAAGATGGCAAAGGAAGCTGCTATGGTAACTCATTTCAGACAAATCATCAAGTGCGCAATCCAAGTTATTAAATCCCACAATGAGGCTTGCTATCATGGTAATATATTGTACTCGTGTACTTTCTAACTGGCAGTTTTAACACTGGTGTCCTATGCAGACACAGAATTCCAATATGACATGTTGAGGTCACATGCTAATTTAGGTCTGCCAGTCTCTAGGTGTTGCTTGATAGCTTCCTTTTAGTGACCTTCCCTGTGTCTTGTGTTCCAGGACGCAGCCCAAGAGAGGAAGAATTACATGAAGGCCATGGACCTGGCTCGCCAGAAGAATGAGAGGCTAAATGACCTTGAGGAAGAGGCCAAGGACAAGGCCGAGCATCTTCTATCCAAGGCCAATGAGATGAGGCAGGAACAGGAGGATGAGATCAAGCATCTCAATGAGGTCAGTTGCTGAGGTCATGCTGACTGATTACTTGTCTTTAAGTCATGGCTGTTTGTTTTTCTCAGAGTAATGTCTGGCATTGTTAATGTGAGATTTTGGAGTGGACACTTGCACAATGGCAGGTCAGTATCATTAATTAGGGCTGGGGCGAATTTACTACCTGGGTACCAACCCCCCTATTACCCGACCCTACCCGGGTACCCACTGTAGGTCTCAAGAGATACAGAATGTCCGATTTGGAATTTGTTTTATTCAACCATATGAAAAGTCAGAAGGAATGGGTGCATAGTCAGAAAGAAATGCGAACATGTGTGACTTGTAGTGTAACCATAGAGTTCTAGATAATTTTTGTCATTAAACAATATATCACGTGACTAACCATGGGTCCGGGTAGTCCTGGGTACCTGGGTCCTACTCAGACCCACCCGAGCCGGGTACCTGAGTTACCCGTCCCAGCCCTATCATTAATGCAGAATATTGTATGACTATCTCTGTGGTCTAGTAGACAGGGTACATCTCGGAGTTCGGAAGGTCGGTGGTTTGATCCCCATCCTCATCCTGCCAAAAGACATTAAAAGATGGTACTTGTTGTTATCCCGGCTGGCACTTGGCATTAATGGGATAAAACTGGTCTTTTCGGTGTCGGTATACTATCTATAAGTTGGGTATCCATGTTAAACTATGGAATGGCAGGGGTAAATTTAACAACAAATTTGTATGTTACAAAAAGCCAGCAGGGATGGCTCCTTTAAAAAGTTACTGGCATTTCTCCAAACTAACTGACCTACAAGAAAATGGAGGATGCCGCTAATCGGCCAAACCTGAGGTCGTGTAGCCAACTAGCAGGACTCTGAAAGTTTTAGAACTCCTCATCCCTAAAACCCCTTTTCATGCACTCCATTCCATTTGCCTCATCAGCAAATAAAGATGTTGGTGTACATAACATTACAAAATGGCAGCTGGTTGTCATTCAACCGAGATGACTGACATATATCATTCTTTGATTAATCCATTCACACGACCTCATTCCCCCCTATGAAATAAATCGAGCGTACAAATCGAGCGTACAAATCTTGAGCATGACGTTAAACCCCATTTCATCCCACCCACCTGTGTTGTTTTGTGTGTATAATGGGATGTCCTGTGGTTCCAGCTTATCTTGAACGCCAAGTGCCATGCTATCCGGGACGCGCAGATCCTGGAGAAGGGGCACGTGAAGAGGGAGATGACGGAGGAGGAGAAGAGGCTTGACATCATGATGGAGGTCGATAGACAGAACGCCATACGCATCCAGGAGGAGATTGAAAGAAAGAAGAAGGACGACCAGCTGATTGGGGCGGCCAAGCTGATGGAGCAGATCCAGGAGAACGAGCAGGAGCGTCTGTTTGAGCTGGAGAGGAAGGACCAGGAGAACATCCAGATGCAGAAGTACATCGGGAAGCTGATGGAGGAAGATCAGGACATGAAGGACAAGAGGAAGGCAGAGCAGACCGACCTCAGGGTGAGTAGGGGGTTGAGTAGACGGACCTCAGGGTGAGTCGGAGGAATGGAGTAGACCGACCTCAGGGTGAGTAGGAGGGGTGGAGTAGTCCAACCTCAGGGTGAGTAGGGGGTTGAGTAGACGGACCTCAGGGTGAGTAGGGGTGGAGTAGACTGACCTCAGGGTGAGTAGGGGGTTGAGTAGACAGACCTCAGGGTGAGTAGGAGGGGTGGAGTAGACCGTCCTCAGGGTGAGTAGGAGGGGTGGAGCAGACCGTCCTCAGGGTGAGTAGGAGGGGTGGAGCAGACTGACCTCGGGGTGAGTAGGAGGGGTGGAGCAGACTGACCTCGGGGTGAGTGAATGGGTAGGGTGAAGGTTAGAGACATCAGAGTGAGTAGGAGGGGTGGAGGAGGGTGGAGCTTTCAGACCTCAGGGTGAGGGAGTTGTTGGGTTGTGGCAGGGAGGAGTAGTGCAGATTAGAAGCTATTTTCCCTCTTCAGGTGCTCCTTGATTTACTTGCTACGAGTAATGATTATTTAAACCTGAAGTAATTCCCCGGTGTGAGCGTTGTGGTGATGTACCATGTGTCTTTCACAGGAGGAGCTCAACAAAGCTAACGATGACATCATCCGTCGCCGAGATGTCAAGAAACTGCAAGAGCAAGCGGAAGAAATGAAAGTGCTGGAATACCAGAGACAGAAAGCTGTGAGTTCCGAGTATCAAATCCCATTTGTACATTCTTGTTTGATGCACAATATTTGTAGTTTGATGCTTTCAACAGTCTGCTGGGCATGCTCAATGTACATCTGGACTTTGTAATTTGTGCATTGGGTGAAATTGCCCCGTCGTCATGAAACTTTCAAAATCGGCTCTGAAAACAGAAAATATGTATCAATATATCAAGGATTTTAATTCTTTGTATTAGAGTGAAGTGCCAATGGCATGCTTAAAATCAAAATAACACAGTTAAAATACTTTACTGGTGCTTAAAGAGCACCTGTAGAAATAATGAAAAAAAAAATTTGTTCACAATGTTTTTTGTATGAAGCCAGCTTGTGAATGTACTTCCACAACTCGACGAACACATGGAAAATAAACATGCTTGGTGTACAGTGTGACTTACACTATAAACCTAGGGATTCAAAAAGTAAAAATGGTATTATCAATCTCAATGAAAAGGAAGGGTTCATACACTCTAAGTTACATCAATGACGATCTAACAAGAGATTCCCTAGTTTTCAGTGAGTGAGTTTGGTTTTACGCCACTTTTAGCAATATTCCAGCAATATCACGGCGGGGGACACCAGAAAAGGGCTTCACACATTGTACCCATGTGGGAAATTGAACCCGGGTCCTCGGTGTGACTAGCCAACGCTTTAACCACTAGGCTACCCGACCGCGCCCTAGTTTTCAAGACAGATTAACAGTATTGTTCTTGTTGACACAGTTAAGTTCCAGAGGGCACAGCTGAGCATGTGTATGGGTGCGCTAGGCACACATGTAAACCAACTCTATCCCTGTTATATGTTCCTTAGGAGAGAGAAGCTGCATTTGAAAAGGAGCAGGAGAGGATCCGCATTGAGAAGGAGCGGGAGGTTGCCAGACTTCGAGCTTTGCAGGAGCGGGCAAGGGACGAGCAGGCCGAGCGGGATGCTTTGCGGGCCAAGCGTGCTCAGGAGCAAGCCGAGCGGGAGTGGCGCAAGAAGGAGGCAGCCGAAGCATACAAGAAGTCGGAGATGGAAGCAATGCTCAAGGGCGCTCGCAGTATGCAGATGTCACAGAAGGAGCACTACCTTGCAGTGCAGGCACAGAGAGAGAGATCCGAGTTTGAGAGAGTGCTTAGGTAGGTGTTGCTTTTGTGTATAGGAGAGTGCTTGAGAGAGTGCTTAGGTAGGTGATGCTTTTGTGTATAGGAGAGTGCTTGAGAGAGTGCTTAGGTAGGTGTTGCTTTTGTGTATAGGAGAGTGCTTGAGAGAGTGCTTTGGTAGGTGATGCTTATGTATATAGGATAGAGTTTGAGTGAGTGCTTAGGTAGGTGATGCTTTTGTATGTAGGACAGTGTTTGAGTGAGTGCTTAGGTAGGTGTTGCTTTTGTGTATAGGATAGTGCTTGAGAGAGTGCTTAGGTACATGTTGCTTATGTGTACAGGATAGTGTTGAGGGAGTGCTTAGGTAGGTGATGCTTATGTGTATAGAACAGAGTTTTAGGTAGTGCTTAGGTAGGCTGTGCTTATGTATGTAGGATAGAGTTTGAGAGAGTGCTTAGGTAGGTGTTGCTGTTGTATGTAGGACAGAGTTTGACAGAGTGCTTAGGTAGGCTGTGCTTATGTATGTAGGATAGAGTTTGACAGAGTGCTTAGGTAGGTGTTGCTGTTGTATGTAGGACGGTGTTTGAGAGGGTGCTTAGGTAGGCTGTGCTTATGTGTGTAGGACAGAGTTTGACAGAGTGCTTAGGTAGGCTGTGCTTATGTATGTAGGATAGATTTTGAGGTAGTGCTTAGGTAGGTGTTGCTTATGTGTATAGGACATTGTTTGAGGTAGTGCTTAGGTAGGACAGTGTTTGAGAGAGTGCTTAGGTAGGTGTCGCTTATGTGTATAGGACATTATTTGAGAGAGTGCTTACGTTGGCATTAATGATAATGTAGCCAGGACAGTGTTTGGCAGAGACTTTGGTCACCAAATGTCAGAGATCCGTATTCCAATAGGCTCCACATTCCACCCCTGCTAAAGTCTCATTGTATGGTTCTCTTCTCCAGGGCCCAGAAGGAGCTGGTGGAGAAGGAACAACGAGAGGACGATGTGATGCGCAAGAAGCGTCTGACACATGCGGAGGAAGTGCGTCGCCAGATTAGGCAGAAGGAGCACGAGAAGGTCAAAGAACGAAACAACTTCTTTGAGGAAGGTGTGAAGCTTGACGAAGAGGCACGTGTCCGTCGAAACAGACTGGAGGAAGTGAAGAGGAAGAAGCTCCAAGAACTCAGGTCTGTACCAATAGTAGTCTGTCTTTGTAACTCAGATGTTAAGGAAGGGCTTGTGCTGGTTGGGATACTAAGTTGCAGCTAGTATGTGACTGAATAATTGCAAGACCGTTTTCGACATGTATGCTTCCATACCTGGGCTCACTTGCACAAAATGATCTTAGCGCTAAGACTGATGTAGGCCTATGTTAAAGTTTGGGGCTTATGATCATCTTAGTGCCAAGACCGCTTTGTGCAAGTGGGCCCACTTCCTTCCAACAGTTAAATCCAGTCTGTAGATCCTCCAAAAATCTGTTTCTTTAATACTTATTGTTGTCAATTTACAACAGGCAGTACTAAACAGTACAGAAAGTCTTAAAGGAGCTATCTCTGCTACGTGTCTGTAACAATGCAGTCTGTGATGCCAGCAGATTTTGACAACTTCATCTGATAACAGCCCATATAATATCATTAAAATGTACTGCAAATTCAAAACATGTTCTGGCCTGCAGACGTTTGAAGTATCTTTACAGACTGCAATGTTACTGGTATTATGTGCCCATGGTTGCTGATGCGATACATCTTTGACATTCTTGACTGTCATCAAAATTGTATTTCCAGTGTTCATTTTCTTCTTGTGAAAATCTTACCTACTTGACAGAGAAATTGCAGGCAATTCAGAAAATCTTTCAAATGTTTGGACTATCTTTCAGTTCAACAATGTTCACAAATATATTTTTTTTCCTACAATATTTGACATATAGTAACACATTTTACAACTTTTGTTTCCCATTTAGTATCATTTTTCAATTATTGTGACACATTAAGGATGTATTGCATCAACGCGGGTGAATAAGAATTAACCTTGACCTACATAGACAGCTGACCTCTAACCTTTAACCTTGTTTCTTTACTAATGAATCCTTCCACAGTTGATATTGCCCTACTAACATGTTTCCCGTGAGAATTAGCCTTGACCTACATAGACAGCTGACCTTTAACCTTGTTTCTTTACTAATGAATCCTACCACAGTGGATATTGCCCTACTAACATGTTTCCCGTGAGAATTAACCTTGACCTACATAGACAGCTGACCTTTAACCTTTCACCTTGTTTCTTTACTAACCTCCTCCCTGCATACAGGGATATTGGCATCCCTGAGAAATACCTGCGCCATGTTGTCCACCAGGCGAAGCTGGAGAACCCAGAGTCGGTGGCCGTGTAGCGTCCAGCGGTGGGAACCATCTTCACAGTGCAGCTCTGTCTTGTACAGGCCATCCTCCTTTATCCAGGGTGTTATGTCTCCATCCTATTTTGAAACATACATGGACCTAATCGGGGGCGGTCGGGTAGCCTAGTGGTTAAAGCGTTCGCTCGTCACGCCGAAGACCCGGGTTCGATTCCCGACATGGGTACAATGTGTGACCCCATTTCTGGTGTTCCCTGCCGTGATATTGCTGGAATATTGCTAAAAGCGGCGTAAAACCATACTCACTCACTCACTGGACCTAATCGCCAGGGTAACTTCGTTTTGGAATGACGTCCCAACTGACGTGGGTCCTCACCTACTGAGAAGACATGCTCTCAGTCAGGAGAGTAAATTAATTGGGTAGCTTATTATAATTTTCGCTTGAGGCCATATGAAATAGACTCACACACTGAACTGTGGCTATTATTGAGTCCAGGGACGTAACATAATGGATTGGAGATATAATACCCATGATAAACGAGGATGTGTTAGGTCTACCAACAAAAACATGCCTAAGATGATATTGAATATAGAATTGTGAACATTATTTGTTGAATTTGAACAGACCAACAGCACATACATCCAGTTGGCACACCTGTCTGGAGGTTTAACCACTGGTCTGAAGCCTGTGTCTAGTAAAATTTCATCTGGTCTTGTTAGATCAGCTTATATAAGTCCATATACTAGGAATAAAATATACTGAAACTGCTGCCAAAATTCAAGTTCGAGGTAGTAGATACAAGTATTTGTCATAGGCTGAACTACGCTATTAAGTAAGCCAGCCAAGAACTTAAGGTCCTCAAAAAGGAAGCCTAATTGTCCACCTGTGTGTGTACGAATTCAACATATGCCACAATTCTATCTGTATGAAAACATCTTAGATTTGTATGTTGGTAGGCCTGTGATAGCCGATGTCCTAACTGAGTGTGTGTAGAGGTCAATGCAAGGGTTCAAAGTGCATTTGCATCTGTTGATGATGATTATGAGGATGTCAGAGATTTAGCTCACCCCACCTTGTCCTGTATGCGCTTAGGACAGTGAGAGAATTGTTGCCACAGAGTCTGGATGACGGTAACCCTTGCCGTGACCTTGACCTAGTTTAGAACCTGTCGTTTCCATGTGCTTGACATTGCTGGCATCCAAAGCAGCTTTAGAAACTAACAGTTTTCGTCCACTAGTCCTTATAATGATAACATATAGCAAAACCCTTAAAAATGGCAATTTTCTACTAGTTCTTATGATACCTTTACAATTGGGCAGTTTGGCAAGGACTAAAGGACTAGTGCCACTTTCTAACCCTGCAAATACCACTGGATGGGAAGATGAATAGATTGTTTTCCTGTATATATAATACTTGGAGCTCCGCCAGTTTGATTGCGTATTGACGCATGGGAGGCCCACTTGCCTTAGGTGCCGCAATTCATAGTGAAGCGTTGCACCCTTAGAGGTGCCAGAAACCTTGATAATAGGTTCGAATCCCGGTTCGCCGTGATAATGTTTCTAGGTTTGTCAGCACCATACCCATGCTCATGGGTTTTACAAAAGTGGTAAAGTTCTAAGACCTGCATCACTTTGGGCTGTCAAGCTGGCATGCCGTGATCTAACTGAAAAACTCTTCACAGTGGGGTTAAACTCGATTCACTCACTCACTCACTCACTCTACCAATGGTACTACCTTTAATGGTGTGAGTGAGTGAGTTGGGTTTAACGCCGCTTTTAACAGTATTCCAGTTATATTGCGGCGTGTCAGCTTAATGTGGGAGGAAAGCCCGAAAGATGCAGGTCTCAGACGTTTACCACTTCGGTGAAACCCACGAGCATGGGTATGGTGCTGACAAACCTAGAAACATAATCGGGGCGAACCGGGATTCGAACCCACAATCATAGGTTTCTGGTGTGCCCAAGGGACGCAACTCTGGACAGCGAATTGCGGCGCCTTAGACGACTGGGCCACCCGTGCCCTCCTTTAATGGTGTGAACCAAACACTTTGATGATGTCAGCACTAGCTATGGAAACAACAAGTTATTTGCCAAGTATGTGTTTGTGTTTTTCAGCATTAGTCCTCTGTATGTACGCTGTATTAGCTGTGTGCTAGACCTTAGACTCCCTTCTTTTGTTTCTCCTGCTATATGGAGGCACTAGCACCTGAACGACTAGCCGACTAGTCAACCAGCCTACTAGTCACTGATATCCGGGGTAGAATAGGTCTTCAGCAACCTTCTTGCTGTTAAAGGTGACTGCTTGTCGTAAGAGGCAACTAACGGGATTGGGTGGTCAGGCTCGCTGACTTGGTTGATGCATGTCATCGTATCCCAATTGTGTGGATCGTTGCTCATGATGTCAATCACTGGATTGTCTGGTCCTGACTCGATTATTTACAGACCGCCGTCATATAGCTTGAATATTGCTGAATGAGGCGTTAAACTACAAACCAAAGCAAAAAACTAGTCACTGATAATCTCTCCATGAGAAATTTATGCGCCTATTGTTATGAGGATCCTTGGCTAGTCGACTAGTAAAATGTTAGTTGTTCCCGGGCGATTGTGTACAGCATGATTGTTGTTGTGAATAATCATATACTGGATGCTGTTTATAATTACCTGATGCAGTTTTTTAATTTAATTTGTTAACTATCTTATGTGTTTTTTATATTCTTTCATCTCTTTGAACACTGATAGATATGGAACTTATCACTCTTTTCACTGCATGCACCAACACAAACACACATTAGGTGTCAAGACGAAGATGCTGAAATATACATAAAAATATCATCAATATCATTGATTCTAAAAAGTGATAAATATTTAGCTTCCACCAAGCTGAACACACACTGGATATTTAATCTCAAGAAAGGCATCAGATATCAAAATCACTCGGGATTAATTCATGTTTACAAAATATTGTTTATTTTTACAATAATATCTTATTGTAAGGTTCCAATTTTCTGGACTTCATTGGTATTGAATTCTCAGCATCATTATTAAAGGGTCACCTAGGTATGGAGGGTGCCATGTATGATATGAACATTTGCCAACATGCTTTATCAGGTCTGAGTATGTTGACAATGTGATTATAAGTTCAAGAACATGTTGTTTATGCCCATGTCTCACAGAGTGGATGATTTTATAAACTGGAAAAAAAGAAACCAACTACCGTATTCAACATAATAAGCGCCCCGGGCGCTCTCAAAATTAGAAATAGGGGCGCTTATTAGAATATTATTTTGGTGAAAACAACAGAGTTGAAAGATTGTAAATTTCATGGTTTATGCTGACAGCCTGAAATGTTTATATACGACAGATATATTTTTCCAAAATTTAATTGCCCATAATTAAGGGTGCATATAACACACGAGAGCGTATTATACGTGAATAAATAAGTCTTTTGATCAATCGGAAGGGTGCTTATTGGGATTGTTCACTAGCCAATATATTAGCAAATATCGCCGTGGGCACTTATTAGAGCGGGGTGCGTATTACATTGAATACAGTATTAAGAACAATGAAAAGTGCAAGGTTAAAGTGAGGGAAAAAGCTAACCAATACACACGCCTGGACGCAATGGTTTAACTCATGCTTGTGCAATACATATCAAGTAACAGTTGATGTGGGTAGAAAATGGTTCATTCCAGACGCCACTGAACTCTAAGAAGTTGAAAGTGGTTTTTTTAAATACTTTTATCTCTAAATATCTGCATGACCCCTCAATAACGATGCTGAGTATATTTTTGAAATTTGAAATAAATAATATTAACATGTTCTCTTCTTTGTGTTCACAGGGAAGCTGGGATCCCCGAGAAGTATCTTTCCCAAGTCGAGAGAAAGGTTAACCAACCAGCGAAAATCATGGCCTAAGTTTTGGTTACCATGGAAACACCTCTTCCGTCCAAAGAAAATTGTGATATACTTTTGGAAATATTTGTGTAATGATAAACACAATATTTATGAGAACACAGTACTACAAGTACTTGTGATACTATTGTTGAATGTTGGTATTTTAATAGGCTAATTTTGGTATGTGATCTTTTCTGTTATTGAAAACACGAAAGATTGGTTAAGATTTGGCTTGAGTGAAAATATGACAAAACTATTGCTTGTGGTTGGATATATTGTCTAAACTGGATTTTGTCAAAATGTTTTTGGAAATATCTGATAGTCCTGTCTGGCATGGCAGAAGCGAACCTGACCTCGATGACCTTGGTAACTCAAGGTCATGGTTATATGTAAAACAATCATCAGTATTCTATATGTTATTGTGCAAATAGTGTTGTTTCCAGTATATTATTGTACATAATGGTTGTCCTGCAAACACATATATATATATATATATACTACTACAAAAAGTTAAAGAGCACCAAATGTTTTTCATGACTATACTTAATGTCAGGCCATGACTGGTTAGCGATAATCATATGAAAGAAATCTGGTGTTCTCGAACTTCTTTTGAGTAGCATACATCATCCATCCAAATTTTCAATGCTGTTTGCTTTTCAAGTAGTATTTTCACGTTACATTAGGTAAATTTATTCAATACAGAAATATCCAAATTTTCTCTTTCGTTAGGATTATTCTGTTGAATCATGGCACTTTAAGTTACTGTGATCACATCCTTGTACATATCATCTACTTTCCTCTGCGTATTGATTGATGAAAACACACAAATTTAGACTTGTGTTAAACCACTAAGAAATAAAATTCTTCATTACATCGGTGTTTTCGTTGCCTCTCTTTGTGGCTGATCAAGCTGGTAATGGAGTTTTTGGTTCATTGAGAAATCCTGACCTGACAATTGACCCTACAAATGTGCAGTCAACAACAACAACAGCAGGGATGCTTTGTGACAGAAGCTCGTGAGGCTGCCAGCCAAATCATGGCACTCTCTAGTGAGTGAGTGAGTTGGTTTTAACGCCGCTTTTAACAGTATTACAATTATATCACTTCGGTGAAACCAACGAGCACGGGTATGGTGCTGACAAACCTAGAAACATAATAGGGGCGAACCGGGATTCGAACCCACAATCATAGGTTTCTAGCGTGCCCAAGGAACGCAAGTGATGCAGGTCTTGGACGTTTACCACTTCGGTGAAACCCAAGAGCACGGGTATGGTGCTGACAAACCTAGAAACATAATCGGGGTGAACCGGGATTCGAACCCACAATCATACGTTTCTGGCGTACGCAAGGGGCGCAAGGAACGCAAGTGATGCAGGTCTCGGACGTTTACCACTTCGGTGAAACCAACGAGCACGGGTATGGTGCTGACAAACCTAGAAACATAATCGGGGCGAACCGGGATTCGAACCCACAATCATAGGTTTCTGGCGTTCCCAAGGAACGCAAGTGATGCAGGTCTTGGACGTTTACCACTTCGGTGAAACCCACGAGCACGGGTATGGTGCTGACAAACCTAGCAACGTAATCGGGGCGAACCGTGATTCGAACCCACAATCATAGGTTTCTGGCGTACGCAAGGGGCGCAAGTAACGCAACTCTGCACAGTGAATCTCGCCGCCTTAGACGACTGGGCCACCCGTGCCCCGCTCTCTCTAAGTTGACACAATTTATGGATAACAACTTCAATACTGTGAGACGACGCTTGGTGTGGTTCCTTATCCTGTTGTAAAGCAAGACTGAATGGGGATGTTGTTGTTGCATTGAGTGTTTAAGAGGTCGCCTTCTGTCTTAGCAATTTCGGCAGACCTGTCCCTCTTTTGGACTCCTGTGTGTGAGTAGGGTGAACATAAATATTGCGAATTTGGTATTCACATAATTTCTGTTTTTGTATTGATATAATTTCATTTTTAATTTTGGCTGCCGTTTAATGTTTATATGCATTCTTGTAGCTGTCCATCTCTCAGAAATAGAGTTAGTTTGGCCTTTGCTATTGCATCTCTAGGCTTTAGGAGATCTATGACAGATAGTGGGTCCAACTAATTCTTGTTTTAACCTAGCCCGGGCTGGGGCGTGGTCTTGACACTCTAGTAACAATTGAGCAATGGATACAGGTTGATTGCAAGACGGACAAACCTTGTCATAGTGCTTTTTGTGACTGAGTCTGAGGCGTGAGATAGCAATTTCAACTTTCCTTTCATTTGAGTATGAGTTTGGCTTTTGTTGGATCTTGGGTTGAATTTTGTATAGCCTTCTGCCGATCTTACTTGCGTCTCACTGGGCTTGCCATCTTGGTCTATAGAGGCTTTGATTTTGATTTTGATCTCTAGTTTACTAAAGGGAATAGGCTGTATATCCGCTTTGTCTAGAGCTAGCTTCGCCAGTGAGTCTGCTTTTTCATTTCCTTGAATATCTATGTGAGAGGGGATCCAACACATCTCCACCTGTTGCCCTTGGTCCGATAGTTTTGTATATTTGAATGAGTTACTTACTTACTTACTTTGGAGATTTAACGTGCGCTTTCCGACTGATGCGTATTTCGCACACGGGCCCGGCCAAGCCATTTAATGTGTTTCCGAAAGGGGCGAAGGTGGTCTGTGCAACCCAAGAGGGGGGTTTTAGGGGTTGCTTATATAGAATTTGGGAATTTTGAGATTTGGAATAGATGCCGATGGGATTGGGGAGGAGAACTAAGGGAGCTGGGTATGGTGGATGTTTGTTTGTTTATGTGATTTTGATTTGGTAGGTTATTGTGTTTTTAGATGCGTTTTATTAGTTCCATTTTTATTAAGAATACGCCTAAGGCCTTGAAGTTTTCTAGTTTATTTTGTGGGTTTAGTATTGCTTCTAGAGTTAGAGCCTTGTTTAGATTGAGGGTGGTTTGTAATGCGGTTCGATGTGTTAGGTAGTGTGTGCAGTGGATGAGTGCATGTTCTGGGGTTTCTGGTTGTTTGCAATGTGGGCAGTTACCTGTAGTGTGTTTTTTAAATTTTTTGAGGTGGTTATTTAGGTTGGTGTGTCCTGTTTGGAGTTTAGTGATTACTCTGTCGATTTTTTTCGATGGATTGAGAATTTTGGGTTTGGTTAGTGGTTTGCTGAGCACTTTTTTGATTTGGCTATTTGAGTTTAGATATAGGTTGTCATTTTTTTGTGAGTTTTTGCTTGTTTACACTTTTAATTTCTGATTTTGAGATGGGTAAGTTTAAGCTTATTTCTGGGATTTTGAGGGATAGTTTAGCTGCTTTATCGGCGTTTTCGTTACCGTATATTCCTACGTGGGCGGGTATCCACAAGAAGGTTATTTGTTTGCCTGCCTTAGTTAGGTCGTTGGAGCTTTTAAGTATTTGATTTATTAATTTAGGTCGGTTTTTGGTATTTTTGTTTTGAAGGGCTTGCAGTCCACTTAGGGAGTCGCTAAGTATTAGGATATTTTTGTGTTTTTTGGATTCTTGATTATGGAGGGCTGAGGCCATGCCCATTAGTTCTGCCGTGAATATTGATTGGTTGTTTGGGAGTCGGAAGGATCGTGTGGTTTTAGTTGGTTGTGTGGTATGGACTCCGAAACCTGTGTGTTTGGAGGTCGGATCTGAGGATCCGTCTGTGTAAATGTGACACCAATTTGGCCAATTTTCGTGTATGTATGCTAGTGTGGTAGTTTTACCTATGTTTGGGTCGGTTTGTTTATTTATTTGGCTAGCTAGTGTTGTGTCTATTTTGGGTATTTTAAGTTTAGGGGTGAAGATATTTGATTGTTTGCAGTTTTGTTTAAGATTTTTAATTTGGTGTTCATTTAGGTAGTTTGTTATTCTTTGGGATATTGGGGTAAGTAAGGGGTGTTTACGAGCTAGAGCTTGGTTTTTGGGGCTGATGTTTTGGTTTATTAAGTTTTGGATGAGAGGGTTTGATTGGGACGCGGCCCAGAAATTTAAGCTTAGCTGTTCCCTGCGTAGACTTAGTGGCATTTCTCCTGTTAAGGCCTGAAGTGAGGTGTAGGAGGTGCCATGTTGGGTGCGTGTAATTAGTTTGAGAGCCTGATATTGTATTGAGTCAAGTTTTTATCCCCCGCCGCGGGAAAGCGCGAAGCGGGGGATATAGTATTCACGACCGTCCGTCCGTCCGTACGTCCGTCCGTCCGTACGTCCGTCCGTACGTCCCACCTGTTTGTTGCCGCGATATCTCAAGAACTAAACACTGGATTGTCTTCATATTTGGAACTATAGTGTATATACAGACTCCGCAGACACCAGTCGGTTTTGGTGACCTTGATCCCATTTTCAAGGTCACAGCAGGCAAATCTACTTTTAGAGTTGGAAAACGGTGTTGCCGCGATATCTCAAGAACTAAACCTCTCGATTGTCTTCATATTTGGAACTATGGTGTATATACAGACACCGCAGACACCAGTCGGTTTTGGTGACCTTGATCCCATTTTCAAGGTCACAGCAGACAAATCTGCTTTTAGAGTTGGAAAACGGTGTTGCCGCGATATCTCAAGAACTAAACACTGGATTGTCTTCATATTTGGAACTATGGTGTATATACAGACTCCGCAGACACCAGTCGGTTTTGGTGACCTTGATCCCATTTTCAAGGTCACAGCAGACAAATCTGCTTTTAGAGTTGGAAAACGGTGTTGCCGCGATATCTCAAGAACTAAACACTGGATTGTCTTCATATTTGGAACTATGGTGTATATACAGACTCCGCAGACACCAGTCGGTTTTGGTGACCTTGATCCCATTTTCAAGGTCACAGCAGACAAATCTGCTTTTAGAGTTGGAAAACGGTGTTGCCGCGATATCTCAAGAACTAAACCTCTCGATTGTCTTCATATTTGGAACTATGGTGTATATACAGACACCGCAGACACCAGTCGGTTTTGGTGACCTTGACCCCATTTTCAAGGTCACAGCAGGCAAATCTGCTTTTGGAGTTAGAAAACGGTGTTGCCGCGATATCTCAAGAACTAATCGCTGGATTGTCTTCATATTTGGAACTATAGTGTATATACAGACACCGCATACACCTGTCAGATTTGGTGACCTTGACCCCATTTTCAAGGTCACAGCAGGCAAATCTGTTTTTGGAGTTGGAAAACAGTGTTGCCACAATATCTCAAGAACTAATCGCTGGATTGTCTTCATATTTGGTACTATGGTGTATATGGCGGGGGATATTTCGTCACTCTGTGACAAATACTTGTTTAGATAGAGAGTTGTTTAGGGTGTTGTATATGGCGCAGCCGTAGTCTAGTTTTGATCTAATTAGTGATATGTAGAGAGAGAGGAGGGTATCTTTGGATGCTCCCCAGTTAGAGCCAGTTAGGCATCTGAGGGTGTTTAGGTCTTTACTGCATTTAGTTGTTAGGTTTTGGATGAGAGCATCCCAGGTGAGATGTTCATTGAAAATTAGTCCTAAGAATTTGGTTTGTTTTTGAAATTTGATGTTTGATTGGTTAGCTGGAGGATTGGGGAGGCGGGTTTCATGTTTTTATGTTTGAATACTATTCCTGTTGTTTTTTCTGAGTTAAGGGAGAAGCCCCATTTGTCAGCCCATTGTTGTATTTTATTAAGAGATTTTTGGAGTAGATTTTGGACCATGTTCATGCTTTTAGTGCGGATCCAGATGGCTCCATCATCCGCGAATTTTGATGTGTTTACTTTAGGGCATAGGCCCTCGAATAGATCGTTTATCATTATATTGAAGAGGGTGGGGCTGAGGATACTGCCCTGTGGAGTACCATTTTCTAGGGGACATTGGTCCGATAGAGTTTGGTCTATACCCACGGTTATTTTACGATTGTTTAGTTTATTATCTGACCATTGAGTCCTATTTTTTTAAGTTTTTGTATTAGCCCATCGTGCCATACCATGTCGAAAGCTTTAGAGAAGTCTAAGAAGATGCCTGTGGTATATTGTTTATTTAGTTGTCCTGTCTTAATATCTTGTTCTAGTCGGGCGAGGTTATCTAGGGTTGAGCGGCCAGGAGTGAAACCGCTTTGATCTGGGTTTATGATGTTATTTTGGGTTAAGTAATGTTGTAATCTATTTTTAGCCATTGATTCCATTACTTTACATAAGTTTGAAGTTAGGGATATTGGTCTATATGAGTTAGCTTGATTAGCTGGTTTATTAGGTTTAGGGATTGGTATGACTAGGGCCTGTTTCCAGGGAGTAGGAACCTGTCCGTTTAGGTAGATGAGATTGTATAGTTTGAGTAGTGCCTGGAGTAGTTTTAGGGGGAGTTTTTTAATTATTTGGTAAGAAGTTAGGTCTAATCCTGGGGCTGTGCCCTTTTTCCTGTTTTGGATTACGTAGAGGAGCTCCTCCATTGTGTAGGGTTGATTTATTTCTAGATTGTTATTGTTTGGTTCTTTTGTGGGTTTGTTTTCTGTTTTAAGTTTATCTTGGAATTTTTTACTGAAGTTGGTGTTACTGCTAACGGCCGAAAAGTGGTTGGCGAGATTATTTGCTTTTTGGGCGGGGTTGGTTGAATTGTCAATGTTAGGGTTTTTTTTATGTCGTTTTAAGCCTCTGATGGCGTGGATTTTGCGCCAGACCATTCTGGCATCTGTACGGTTATTTATACCTTCGCAGAATTTTTTCCAGTCTCTACTTTTGGCTATTTGGACTAGTTTTTGAACCTGGTGGTTTAGTTCGTGGGCTATGTTTAAATATTTGTAGTCGCGTTTTGCTTTATTGAAGGCTGATTTACGTTTGTCTAGTCTGTTCTATTTCCTCATTCCACCATGGTACCGTGGGTTTGCCTGTCTTAGATGTTTTGAAGGGGATGGAGGTTTTGGCTGCGTTTATTATATAGTCTGTTAGGTTTTTACAATAGGTTTCTGGATCATTATTTTCTATTTCGTTTAAGTTAGCTTCGTTGCAGATATCTTGGAATTGGTCCCAGTTAGCTTTATTGTAATGGAATTTTGGTTCTTGGTTTTCAGTTTGGATTGGTACGTTTGTATTTCCTATGGTTATGTTTATGGGGAAGTGGTCACTACCTAGCGGGACGTCGTGCACTTCCCATTGAGTACTTTGGGCTAGATCTGCGGTGCATATGGTTAGGTCGATAGCCGACATTTTTTGGTTTATCTTATCGTACCTCGTGGGTTGGTTGCTATTAAGGAGTACTAGGTCGTTTGTTTCTATCCATTCGGAGATTAATTTGCCATGATTATCTATTTTATCATCTATGCTCCATGTAGGATGGTGAGCGTTAAAGTCTCCTAGGAATATAGTAGATTTATCGCTTATTTGGAGTAGTTTGTTTAGATCCTCAGGTTGGACTTTTTGTTCCGCCCAGTGGTAAATATTTATGATGTTTATGTTTCGGTTATTTACTGTGATTTTAATGCCGTTGGCTTCTAGGTTTGGCGTGTCTATTTTTATTTCTTCGTAATTTATATCTTCCCTGATAAATATGATTAGTCCTCCTGCGGCTCTTCTTGTTTTTGCTTTAGCTCTGTCGGTTCTAATTGAGTTGTAGTTAGGTAGTGTGAATTTGGATTTTTTTTAGAATTTGGTTTCCTGTATACAAGCAATGTGAGGGCCTTTATTTAGTTTAAATTTAGTTTTTAGTTCATGGCCGTGGGAGGTGAGTCCGTTGGCGTTCCACTGAAAAATATTTAGTCCTTCGAATATTGGATTTCGGATGATTGGTGATTTAGTTTTTAGTTTTCATTTTATTCGGCGAGTTCTTTTAGATGGAGGTTAAAGAGGAAGAAGGGAAGATCGGTTATTTTTAGATTAAAAGCTACTTTGTGGAAGGATTTCATGCCAGCTTTTGGTGAGTTTTGACTATGCATTTATGCTAGGAGTAAGGTGAGGTTATTTAGGTTTTGGGTGTTGGCTGGTTGGGGAGTTTGGTTTGTTTTAGTTGGAGTAGTGTCTATTGTTTCCTCAGTAGTGGAGAAATCTTCGTCATCGGTTAGATTAGTTTTAGCTGATTGAGTTTCCATGGGGGAGGTATGTGATGTGGAGGATTGTGAAGGTGTTTGTGGGATGGGTGTAGCTGATGATTTCTTAGTGTTTGTGTTTTGTTGTTGTGCTTGCTTGTGGGAGAGTGTTGTTACCATATGGGCTGTAGGGTGCTTGGATGAGGGTTGTGTTGTGGTGGTCATTTTGAGGTTTGTTTTGCATGCGGGGGTTGATGTTTTGGCTATGTGAGATGTGGGAGGGTTCGTGGTTGGTTGAGTGGCTGCTTGCATGTGTGAGGTGGGTGCGGTTTCTCGGTAGGGGTCCCAGACAGAGCTGTCGGTTATGGGTGTGGTGTTTGTTTGTGGGATGGTGTTTGGGTGTGGTGTAGGGAGGAGTTGTTTAGATGCAGGTGACAATGGAGGTTGGGACCGTTTTTCCGTTTCTAGTTGAGGTTATTCTACGCGTGCTGGTGATTAGGGGTTGAGGGTTTTGGTCTTGGTTTATGTTAGCTTCTAGAGAGTATAATTGTAAGTCCTCATTTGTTTCCCTTGGGTTAACCCTAATTACGCCTCGTGTATATTGTTGCCAATTAAGTGTTTGTTTGATTACCGTGACGTGGAATATTTGAGTTATTTTATTTGCTGCGTTGTAAGATTCTCGGTTAGGGAAGATTATCTGGTATCCTTTGTTGGCTTTTTTAATATTGTTGTAATTTATTTTTTCTCTTTTAAACCAAAGTCCTATTTTATCTGCCGAAAGTTCTAGTGAGAGAGTGGTGCCTGAGCCTGCTGAGAAGAAGTAGAGGGCGAAGGTGGTGAGGAAGGCGGCCGGGGAGGGTGTGGGCGATGGAGGTGGAGTGGATGTGTCGAGTTTGCGTTTTTTTGTGTTTTGAGGTGGCGAGTTAGCTGGTTTGGTGGGGGTGGTGTGTGTCGTGTTTTCGCCATACTCAACTCTTATAAGTAACCAACACCTTATCCTCCCCCATCTCCCTAACACAGCTCGCACTCATTTCTACTCGCTACCCACACCCACCACTCAAACACACCCTTTGACCCAACTCCTAAAAACAAAAAAACAGCTAATCCCCCCTTCTTCTTAACACAACGCACGCTCTTTCCTACTCACCACCCATGCCCACCACTCACATACCTCCACTCCTTCGACTAAATATCTCCTAATCCCCGCTTTCCACTTGTCTCACCTAATCCCAGCCTTCCAGCAACAAAATAAATCTTTAATAATTAATCCATTTCACAAACCCTCCTACTAAAACCAACAACAAATAACCACCGCAACCTCCTCCGCCTCCTAACACAACTCACCAAGTAAAAACAACAAACCAACTCACCTCCCCAAAACACCACTCCCACTCCACCACCACTCACCACAACACACGCTCTCCAACTCTCCAACACAACACCCAAACAACATGACTGACACCCGCAACGCCACACTCGCAGACATTCCAGCTCCTTACTCACCCACGCCTGCGGAAGCGCACAACACTTCCGGGAGGTCACTCGAAAACATCATCCCGACCGAGTATTTGAATGAGGAACATTGTACAGAATATATATAGTTGGTGGAGGATTAATAGTAGAGGATTAACAGTAACAACAATTGCATACATGAGTGGGATAACATGAGTAAGTAATGACAACAGAAGGATAATACTGCCACAACATGGTGGACAGAGAACACATACAAATGTAGTCGGAAGCCAATGTGACAGGAAGCCAATTAAACAGGATAAGTTTACCTTGGTGTGATTATTGCTTAATGAGTTCATAGTAGGCAGATGGGATGAAATAGCCTTGATCTCTGTTGACTGATTTTCATCAAATAAATAGTGTCTACTTTGTAATCCATCAACGTCCAAGTATGCCAATCAAACAATTCATGGCTCTCTCTCTCACACACACGCACACTTCCACAGACAATCTGCGCAGTCAAAGAAAGCTAATCATACAATCAATTACTTCAAGTGAACAGGTACAGTACAAGTGTTCCATAGGATGGCACCCTGTCAATAATTGAACCTGGATCAGACAATCCAGTGATTCACGTCATAAGCATCAAGAGAATAGGTCTTCAGCAACCCATCCTTGCCGTAAGAGGCGACTATGCTTGTCGTAAGAGACGACTAATGGGATCGGGTGGTCACGTTCGCTGACTTGGTTGATGCGTGTCATCGATCCCTATATCGTGGATCGATGCTCATGATGTCAGTCACTGGATTGTCCAGACTTGATTATTTACAGACCGCCGTCATATAGCTGGAATACTGCTGAGTGCGGCATTAAACAACAAACCAACCAACCACAAGCATCAATCCATTGGGAAATGATGTCACTCCATCAAGCAAGTCACCGAGCCTGACAACCTGATCCATTTAGTCACCTCATACGACAGGCATAGATTGCTGAGGGCCTATATTCTCACCTGGAATCGGACAGTCAGTTGGTCTTATCACTTATCAGCTGACCAGTTGATCGAAAACAACGATGCCACCATGAAATTCAAATATTTATTAAGAGAAAATCAGTACATCTAAATGATGGATGACAAAAATGAAGGACATGGCTCAACTCCATCAAAGGATGTATGACATTCAGCAAGTAATAACATCAAGTATATATATATATAACAAAGCTTGATAGATCATGTGACATCCCCTCCCCTCACTCGCTGTAAACATGGCATGGACTGTGATAAGTGTCAACATTACATGGATTGTGATAAGTGTCAACATCTTCATTTTCATGATGATCTCGGTCTCCAATTCATAACAGGGCTTTAGTGCTGTGATAATTGTAGTTCCAACATGAGGATCTTAGTAATAATACTAGTGTAGGTCCAACATGAGGATCTTAGTAATAATACTAGTGTAGGTCCAACATGAGGATCTTAGTAATAATACTAGTGTAGGTCCCAAACCAGGATCTTAGTACTTATACTAGTGTAGGTCCAACAACAGGATCTTAGTACTTATACTAGTGTAGGACCAACAACAGGATCTTAGTACTTATACTAGTGTAGGTCCCAAACCAGGATCTTAGTACTAATACTAGTGTAGGTCCAACAACAGGATCTTAGTACTTATACTAGTGTAGGTCCAACAACAGGATCTTAGTACTAATACTAGTGTAGGTCCCACAACAGGATCTTAGTACTAATATTATTGTAAATCCCACTATAGTATCTTTGTGGTATGAGTATTGTAGGTCCCATAACAGGATCTTCGCATAAAGACTATTGACCACAACAAAGTATGGGAAGTACCAACAGTTATTGACTAAAGGAATTCTTTATACCACCCCCTCCTTAATACTTTGCTGGTATAGATCCATCCCAAGCCAACTTGCATTTTTTTGCCACCCTTCAAATGCAGCAGGTTTTCCCCAAGAGAATCAATAGCCAGTCTGTGATAACATGCATTCACTTCTAAGAGCCTTCTTAATGCACATCTCACATCTCAAGCCAGACACGTCAAAAATTTCATTCTGTCTTAAGATAAACTTACAGCGATAGAAAGTAACAGTTTTAGCCCACTAGACCTTATAACGATAACACATACCCCTAGAACTAGCAATTTTTACATAAACTGTTGGGCAGTTTGGCAAGGACTACAGGATTAATGCCAATTTTTAACACTCACTTTCAGACAAACTCATTCAACGTTATTATTTCCGTTTCATACAGTGAGTGAGTGAGTAGGGTTCGACACCACATTTAGCAATATTGACATTGCATCCATTGGACAAGACCAACCACACCTTCTTCCAGTGAATGTTTCTGTAGCATGACAATGTCAAATAATCACATTTGACCTGATGAACACACACCTTAACACAAACATGCAAACACAACAGAATTTATGCAAGAAAAGAAGGTAGCAAAATATATTCTGATGATATCGCGGCATAAATGTCACTATAATGCAAACAATATTGTGACTGTATCACTTATTATGCTATGTCACTATACGGTGTTGGTATGTGTTAGGATGTCTGTATGCTGTGTCAGTTCATGTGTTATACAGACACAGGAATGCTTCTGTATGTGTCCATCTGTAGCAAACACTCAAGGAATTAAAATAATAATAATTAAAAAAAAATTATGAAAATATATGTTTGCTCCAAGTGCTTTATTTGAGAGTAGGGAAGTCATCTGGCAGCAGGGCGTGGACGCGACAGTTGGGGCAGGTGCTTTGTTCCTTAAACCAGGTCCGGATACACTGAAACACAACACAAGCAGAGGTGAGGTGAAATGGGTTTTACCTCGCATTCAAGATTATTGTACTTATATAGCGACTGCGTGCGTGTACTAGTCTGGACTGATGCCGATTTATAGGGATAGCCCACATAGAGACCATGCCGCAGGTTAACATGAATATCCCACTCAGATACAGTATACTGACTCTGAGCCGACCAGTTCTTGTTTTAGCCCCTTAATGCCGGTGCCAGGGTTCCAACAAGTACCATCTTTTAACATCTTTTAGGTGTGACCACCCAATCCTGTTAGTTGCTTGTTACGACAAGCATAGTGGTCTCTTACGGGAGCATCTATGTTCAGTAAATGCTCTATCAAGGACTACAATGCAGTAACACTAAGAATTCTCATAGGTTAACATAAGTCACAGACCCCTATAGTATCTTGTGCACAATATCTTAGAAATACATCTGTTACACATCCTTGTGTGTTAGCACAGTCTAATGAAGGTGTGTCCACAGTCCAGGTCTCGGGTCTACTACAGAGATACGTGTACCAGGTACGCAGAGATACGTGCACAAGGTACGCAGAGATACGTGCACAAGGTACGCAGAGATACGTGTACCAGGTACGAGGTGTGACAGCCCTACCTCCACATGGAAGGTGTGTCCACAGTCCAGGTCTCGGGTCTCCTGGTTCTCCAGCTCCTCGTGGCAGATGGCGCATGGGTTCTCCTCCACGTCTAGGAACAGGTCCAGCTGCTTGTAGCTGCTGCTGTTAATGCCGCCGCCGCCGCTGCCGAGGTGCACGCCCCAAGAGTTGCTGAATCCTGGAGGTGGAGCAGTAGGGGTCTGTGGAACAAGCATGAACATAATTCATTATTCATGAATGACCTTCAGAGTGGGTCAAGGACACTGATACGTGGGTCATTGACAGTGTGGGGCGTGAGTGACTGAGTATGGTTTTACGCCGATCTTAGCAATATTCCAGCAACGGGACACCAGAAATGGGCTTCACACATTGTACCCATGTCGGGTATCGAACCCGGGTCTTTGGCGTGACGAGCTAACGCTTTAACCACTAGGCTTTGCTCATAAACAAAGTATAATAATGAGAGAAAGTATAACATAATGTACCTATATGGAAATCAATGCACCAACTCAAACAGCAAAATGACCTTCACTGACACCTTGACCTATACGCAAAAGAACCTTTACCAATTACATGCAGTAAAAGCTTCGATACTGTTAAAGAATTTTTTCTTCACAATGGATCAACTAGACCCTCTCCACATAATATATGTGAGATAATAATGTGACAAAAGCATTTCCCAGGGACAGAAAGCCAACATACTTTAAATGATATCCCCAAGATGTCCAAGTGCTGCAGAGTGTGGTGGCAGCAGTCAAATATCAAGTACAGTGACTGACTGACATGGACAATTACCTGTGTGTTGAGGGGCGTGCCCTCTCTCTCCAGCACTGTGTGAATGACCCACCTATCTATGTGATACAAGTACAGTGACTGACTGACATGGACAATTACCTGTGTGTTGAGGGGCGTGCCCTCTCTCTCCAGCACTGTGTCGGTGACCTACCTATCTATGTGATACAAGTACAGTGACTGACTGACAGGGACAATTACCTGTGTGTTGAGGGGCGTGCCCTCTCTCTCCAGCACTGTGTCGGTGACCCGCCTATCTATGTGATACAAGTACAGTGACTGACTGACATGGACCCATTACCTGTGTGTTGAGGGGCGTGCCCTCTCTCTCCAGCACTGTGTCGGTGACCTACCTATCTATGTGATACAAGTACAGTGACTGACTGACATGGACAATTACCTGTGTGTTGAGGGGCGTGCCCTCTCTCTCCAGCACTGTGTCGGTGACCCACCTATCTATGTGATACAAGTACAGTGACTGACTGACATGGACAATTACCTGTGTGTTGAGGGGCGTGCCCTCTCTCTCCAGCACTGTGTCGGTGACCCACCTATCTATGTGATACAAGTACAGTGACTGACTGACATGGACAATTACCTGTGTGTTGAGGGGCGTGCCCTCTCTCTCCAGCACTGTGTGAATGACCCACCTATCTATGTGATACAAGTACAGTGACTGACTGACATGGACAATTACCTGTGTGTTGAGGGGCGTGCCCTCTCTCTCCAGCACTGTGTCGGTGACCTACCTATCTATGTGATACAAGTACAGTGACTGACTGACAGGACCCATTACCTGTGTGTTGAGGGGCGTGCCCTCTCTCTCCAGCACTGTGTCGGTGACCCACCTATCTATGTGATACAAGTACAGTGACTGACTGACAGGGACAATTACCTGTGTGTTGAGGGGCGTGCCCTCTCTCTCCAGCACTGTGTCGGTGACCCACCTATCTATGTGATACAAGTACAGTGACTGACTGACAGGGACAATTACCTGTGTGTTGAGGGGCGTGCCCTCTCTCTCCAGCACTGTGTCAGTGATGTTCTTCACAATGTCCTCCAACCCCATGCCTGTCAGTGACCCCCCACGGGACTCCCGCAACTCTCGGATCAGACCAAGAAACTCCGACCTGGGGGACAAAATGCAGCAGATAACAGCTAGTAAACTTAAATAACAAAGCGACATTAATTTTGTTTCGCAAGTGATGGAAGCAGATAACAACTTATAAGTGACCCATTTTTTCATCAAGTTGTGGCCACAGATAACACCTGATCAACTATACTACTCAAAAGAAGTTAAGGATCACCCGATTCTTTCATATTGGTAATGTTAATCTGTCATGGCATGAGAGATTAACTATTGTAATATGAAAGAATCGGGTGATCCTTAACTTCTTTTGAGTAGTATATAATAATAAAGGAAGAGAATTTATGGCTGTCAACTTCTTTATCAATGTTTATTATGAGGACCACCATGTTTCCCGAGGGTGAAATCGGCAACACTGGAAGCTCTCGTTAAATCATCATCATCATCATCATAATTACTCCCTCATCAGATGAATAATTGCTATGAAGCAGAGAACATATAGATGTACCTGTAAGGACAACAAAAGTAATAAGATAACAAATGTGCAAACTTAACAAGGGAAGTCAACAGTATTGGCACTGGAATTCAACAGTATTGGCACTGGTAGTCAACGATATTGGCACTGGTAGTCAACAGTATTGGCACTGGTAGTCAACAGTACTGGCACTGGTAGTCAACAGTACTGGCACTGGTAGTCAACAGTATTGGCACTGGATGTCAACAGTACTGGCACTGGTAGTCAACAGTATTGGCACTGGAAGTCAACAGTATTGGCACTGGTAGGTGATTACTAGGGCTGATACCATTCACTCACGTATTCGGTGAATCTAACCGTATCCATTTATGAATTGAATTCGTTATTCGTGGCCACTAGAATCGAATACTTATGAATATGCAATCATGTGCATTTACATACCTTTTACCTAAAAATATCCATAAGAACATATTATATGCATAGATTTCTTCAAAAGACAATACTCTCATAATATTTAATTTGACAGTATTGTGGTCACTGGTCATTGTAGCATTTGTGCAGGTACTAGTTCCTGGATAAGTGCAGTATATAAATGTATAATATATTAATAATTAACAAACCATGTCAAATAATTTATGTTGTTATTGTTTCGGTGAATATAACAAATAATACATCAACTGCTGACTTGCTATTCGTACTCGTTACCCTATATTCGGGATAAGAATCGTATTCGTCTCATAGTGTACTCGTTGCAGCCCTAGTAATTACCAAAGGATAAATAATAATAAAGCTCTTACTTGTTGTAGTTGGGGAATATACTCTGCAAGGCAGCGATCAACTTGTCATAACTGTTCCTGCTTTGTTGCGGAGATACCATCTTGGCCAGCGTGGGAGGCTGCAGGGACGGGCTGTTCAAGAGGCTGGCATGGATCTGGGCGGTCGTCATGGGAACCCGGGCAGGCTTTGCGAGGGCCACCTGCATCCCCCCTGCAAAGCCAAGAGGCTGGATAGGCTTAGGCTGTAACATAGTGCCGTTGTGGAGGCCATTGCTGGACTTCGCTGCCTGGGAGGTGAGGGTGGTGGCAATAGACTTCGGGGCCTGTTGGGGGGTGCCCCCATTGCTGGCCTTCGCGGAGTGGGAGTTGGGGGGAGACTGGAACATCTGTAGGGACTTGCTGCCCGATTCAGTTGGTGACAGGCGCATGGAGAGCTTGGAGCTGTTGACTGTACCTGTACCGAAGATCTGCGACATCTGAAAAACAAAGTGTCCATTTGTCAGCCTTCGCAAGACAAGTCCTTCATGTTTCTTGTCCAATGGGTTTATAGAGATGTAGGACTCACTTGTGTCTATACCATTGCAGCCATCTGCTCTGGCTAGTGTTCCTTGACTCGAGTTACCTCACTCATCAGTGCCCATTTAGGGGTGTCCGAATTGGGGGCCCATTTCGGGTTGTCTAGCTAAGGGGGTCCATTTAGGGTTGTCTAGCTTATGGGGCCAATTCGGGTTGTCTAGCTTAGGGGGCCGCCCATTAGAGTTATATTCCTTAGGGCCCATTCAGGTTGTCTAGATTGGGGACCCATTTAGGGTTGTTTTGACTGGGGGCCCATTTAGGGTTGTCTAGCTTATGGGTCCAATTCGGGTTGTCTAGATTGGGGGTCCATTTAGGGTTGTCTGGATTGGGGGCCCATTTAGGGTTGTCTGGATTGGGGGCCAGTTTAGGGTTGTCCAGTTTAGCAGGTCCATTTAGGCTTGTCTAGCTTATGGGGCCCATTTAGGCTTGTCTACCTAAGGGGGCAATTGGGGTTGTCTATTGGGGGCCCATTTAGGGTTGTCTAGATCTGAGCCCCTTTTAGGGTTTAGCCAACACCATATAAACAAACAAGTAAGTGGTGAATGCTAATTTTCTTTTAAAATTACTGAATGTTTTCAGACCCTAATAACATGACTTGGGCTTTGGGACTCAAAACTCCTCAAAAGCTTTTTTCCAGTAACATATGTTGTGGTCACTATATTATATGGCTATTTCCTCACAGTACACACAATCTGTCCACATCTACAAATGCATAATAATTGTATCTACTGAAGTGATTTTTATAAAAATATATACCGTATTCGACGTAATAAGCGCCCAGGGCGCTCTCAAAATTAGAAATAGGGGGCTCTTATTAGAATATTATTTTTGTGAAAAAAAAAAACAGAGTTGAAAGATCGTAAATTTTGTGGTTTATGCTGACGGTTTGAACTGTTTATATACGACAGATATATTTTCCCAGAATTTCATTGTCCATAATTAACACACGAGTATTATACACGAATAAATAAGACTTGTGTACATTGATCAATCGGAAGGGATGCTAATTGGGATTGTTCACTTGCCAATATATTAGCAAATATTGCCTTGGGCGCTTATTACGTGGAATACGGTATGTATATATATAAAAGCATTTATTATTATCAGCCATAATAAGCACCTTGGGCACTTGAAAACTGAACCATACCTAGACTGAGCGGTACTGAAGGAGCTTAGCTGAAACAGTGATAAAATGATCCACGCAGTGGGGATACGATGACATGCATCAATCAAGTCAGTGAGCCTGACCGCCCCATCCCGATAGTCGCCTCTTATGACAAGCATAGTCGCCTTTTACAGCAAGCATGGGTTGCTGAAGACCAATTCAACCCCGGATCTTCACGGGTCTGGTTTGAGTGGCGGGAACTTATAAGGAGTACCAGCAGATTGGTCAGGTCAGGGACTCTCATTTCAGCAAGGTGCTCACTATGGCAAATACGGTAATAATGTTTCAGAATTATCGTTGGATATGAGTGTACTGACCAGTGCAGCTATCTCCGGTGGCATGGGAACTGGGGGCGTGGCCACAGTGAAGGCTGGGAGGTCACCAAGAGTCTGGCCTTCCTTGAGCAGTTGGACGTTCTTCTCATACTGAGCCTAGACAATAACAAGGTTATCAATACACACTGTAACTAGACAATAACAAGGTTATCAATACATACTGTAACTAGACAATAACAAGGTTATCAATACACACTGTAACTAGACAATAACAAGGTTATCAATACACACTGTAACTAGACAATAACAAGGTTATCAATACATACTGTAACTAGACAATAACAAGGTTATCAATACACACTGTAACTAGACAATAACAAGGTTATCAATACACACTGTAACTAGACAATAACAAGGTTATCAATACACACTGTAACTAGACAATAACAAGGTTATCAATACACACTGTAACTAGACAATAACAAGGTTATCAATACATAATGTAACTAGACAATAACAAGGTTATCAATACATACTGAGCCTAGACAATAACAAGGTTATCAATACACACTGAGCCTAGACAATAACAAGGTTATCAATACATACTGAGCCTAGACAATAACAAGGTTATCAATACATAATGTAACTAGACAATAACAAGGCTATCAATACACACTGTACCTAGACAGCATTATCAATACACACTCAGGCTAGACGTTATCAATACCCACTGTAACTAGACACCGTTATCAATACACACTGTAACTAGATAACGTTATCAATACACACTGTAACTAGACAACATTATCAATACACACTGTAACTAGACAATGTTATCAATACACACCGTAACTAGACAATGTTATCAATACACGCTGTAACTAGACAATAACAAGGCTATCAAACACACAAGTTTGCTTATTGGAAGCTGAAACCACAGCATTACTGTCTGTGTTAACTCACTAGGAACAGTATTTCAGTTCACCATGGCATGGCATGGCACGGCACGGCACGGCACGGCACGGCACGGCACGGCAGGAGGGAATTAAAGGTACAACCCAACCATGAAGCATCGTGAAGGCAAATCTGGGTTTCAACCTTGTGATCATCCGTGTTAACTCTACAGAGTAGCTCTCTCACCTTAATGTCTGCTATCCTGGCGTCGCAGGTCTCGATTACGCTTGAGAGATGTGACAGGATCTGCTTCACCTTGGCGGGGAGGTCGCGTTTGTCTTCCTGGAATCTGACAACACAGGCAGAGAAAAGGTGAGTGACTTGGGCTTAGGAGGTGAGGTGAGGTGAGTTTAGGGAGGTGAGGTGAGGTGAGGTGGTTTGAGGTGAGGTGAGTTTAGGAAGGTGAGGTGAGGTGGTTTAAGGTGAGGTAAGGTGAGGTGAGTTTAGGGAGGTGAGGTGAGGTGAGTTTTGGGAGGTGAGGTGAGTTTAGGGAGGTGAGGTGAGGTGAGGTGGTTTAAGGTGAGGTAAGATGGGGTGGTCATGTTTGTCTTCCTGGACAAACAGGCAGAGTATAGGTGAACGACTTGGGCTTCAGAGGTGAGGTGAGGTGGTTTGAGGTGAGGTGAGACGGGGTGGGGCGGGGAGGTCATGTTTGTCTTCCTGGAATGTGACGTGACGTGACGTGACGTGACGTGATGTGTTAGGTACGGGGTTAGGGACATGGGGTTAGGGATGGGGTTAGGGACATGGGGTTAGGGACATAGGGTTAGGGATGGGGTTAGGGACATGGGGTTAGGGATGGGGTTAGGGACATTGGGTTAGGGATGGGGTTAGGGACATTGGGTTAGGGATGGGGTTAGGGACATTGGGTTAGGGATGGGGTTAGGGACATTGGGTTAGGGATGGGGTTAGGGACATGGAGTTAGTTACGGGGTTAGGGACATTGGGTTAGGGATGGGGTTAGGGACAGGGGGTGAGGGACACGGGGTTAGGGACACGGGGTTAGGGACAGGTGGTGAGGGACAAGGGGTTAGGGACAGGGGGTGAGGGACATGGGGTTAGGTACGGGGTTAGGGATGGGGTTAGGGACATGGGGTTAGGTACGGGGTTAGGGACAGGGGGTGAGGGAAATGGGGTTAGGTACGGGGTTAGGGACGGGGTGAGGGACGGGGTGAGGAACGGAGGGAGGAACTGGATAAGGATGCAAGCACAGGACAGATTTAGGGATGACATACTTGCGGACGTAGGTGAGGACGTGGTGGTGGTGAAATGTCGCTTCTCTCTTGGCGGCGCTGAAGCTCTGTAAGGAAACCTGCATCTTCAGCTGGACGTATTCTTGCTGTGAAGGAAAAAGGAAGAGTTGGTATTTTGATTTTGGTCAAACAAGGAAATGAATAGGTTTCCTTTGTATAAATAGTATACACACATGCAGTTCAGCCTATTGTAAATACCCGTGACACATTCCCCGTGAAGATCCGGTAGGATAGGTCTTCAGCAAACCATGCCTTCTGTAAAAGGCAACTATGCTTGTCATAAGAGGTGACTTAAGGGATCGGGTGGTCGGGCTCGCTGACTTGTTTGTCATGTCATCGTATCCCAATTGTGTAGATCGATGCTCATGACATCAATCACTGAATTGTCTGCTCCAGACTTGATTATTTACAGACTGCCTTCATATAGCTGGGATACTGCTGAATGCGGCGTTAAACAACAAACAACAGTCCCTACCATGGCTTATTTTTTAATCTTATTTCAAATGACATGACGCCAAAAAAACATCAGTCATCCAGTCGAATTAGATTTACGCACAAGTGACATTTGTTGTATGTGACCATGTCCAATTTATTTGTTTGTATAATTCAGAGAACAAATTACGTTTTCCACCATTTTGGGGAAGACTATTAAAAGAATATCCCAGAGAGACCTGTTCCCTGTTCCACAAACCGAAACTTAGTGCTACGACTATTGTAAGCCTAAATTAAAGTGTAATCACCTTAGTGCTTAGATCCCAGTTCATCAGAATACCACAGAGAGACCTGTTCCCTATTCCACAAACGGAAACTTAGTGCTACGACTATCATAAGCCTATGTTAAAGTATAATCACCTAAGTGCTAAGATCCCAGTTCATCAGAATATCACTGAGAGACCTGTGACTTAGTGCTACGACTATCGTAAGTCTATATTAAAATATTGGAGTTACGATCACCTTTGTGCTAAGATCCCTCTGTGTAACGAGGCCCTGGCGCCATTTCCCAAAAGAATATAAGTACCATGAAATGAAGGTTGAATACACTGGATTGTAGGCACCATAAACTGAATATTTCATGAGAACCAGGGATATGTTTTAATCAGTTTTGCGTCTCCCTCACCTCTGCTGCGATGGCTCTGTCCCTCTGAGAGATGTATTTACCCTGCAGCTCTGTCAGACTGGCCACCATTTCTGCCTTCTCCTTCTGGAACGTCTCTCTGTCAACATACACAGTTGGTTGGTTGGTTTGTTGTTTAACGCCGCACTCAGCAATATTGCAGCTATATGACGGCGGTCTGTAAATAATCGAGTCTGGACCAGACAATCCAGTGATTGATATGAGCATCGATCAACGAAATCGGGATCAATGACATGCATCAACCAAGTCAGCGAGCCTGACCACCCGATCCCGTTAGTCGCCTTTTACGGCAAGCATGGCAACATACACAGTAGTCAGCTATGTCGCAATATTCCACCAATATCACTGTATTCACATCAGCCTTGTGTGTACAACAGGGCTTTACCAGATGCAGAATATTACACGGGTCTCCTGTATACAATTGTGAGTAAGTGAGTTGGATTTAACGCTGCTTTTAACAGCATTCCAGTTATATCGCGGCGTGTCAGCTTAATGTGGGAGGAAAGCCCGAAGTGAAGCAGGTCTCAGACGTTTACCACTTCGGTGAAACCCACGCGCACTGGTACGGTGCTGACAAACCTAGAAACATAATCAGGGCGAACGGAGATTCGAACCTACAATCATAGGTTCCTGGCATGCCCAAGGGACGCAACTCTGCACAGCGAATCGCCTGTATACAAACTGAATGGAAGAAATATAATAATCTAAGTTAAAGAACACCTGATTCGTTCATATTACTATAGTTAATCAGTCAGGCCATGGTTACTGTGTTAAAACTTCCTTTGTCCACCCTACCTCTATTACATCATAGAAGTGTACACAAGCGACTGGTGGGATCTGTTCTTTGTGGTATTCTGACATATCATGACTTGTTCAATGGATACAGTGTTCCATGAAGCCAGACCTGTGGCGAGACCTCTGATTTCACGAGTGTGGGTGGAATCAGAGGCTTCTTCCAGACAAAGAGGATCCAGTGTAGCGGACAGTTTAAAATCTAAAGCGTTTTTAGCGTGTTTGGAAGCCAAATCAGGAAGTTATGGCTATGATGTAGTGAGTGAGTGAGTTGGGTTTAACGCCGCTTTTAACAGTATTCCAGTTATATCACGGCGTGTCAGCTTAATGTGGTAGGAAAGCCTGAAGTGATGCAGGTCTCGGGAATGGTGCTGACAACCCTAGAAACATAATTGGGGCGATATGGCTATGATGTAATAGAGGTAGGGTATTCAAAGGAATTATGGGCTTCGCACACTGTACCCATGTGGGAATTGATCAAGGCTTTTCGGCGTGATGAGCGGATGCTATTACTACTAGGTTACCCTACTGAACTAACTCTACTTGAGGTTGGTATTCACCTGGTGTCTACATTCTTCTTCAGGTACTCCTCAGTTCTCAACCTCTCCTGCTTCAGCTTCTCTTCCATGCTGTAACAGTGGTACATAGGTCTGTCAGAGGGTGTGTGAGTGGGTGTGTGAGTGGGTGTGTGAGAGGGTGTGTGAGAGGGTGTGTGAGAGGGTGTCAGTGGGTGTGTCAGTGGGTGTGTCAGTGGGTGTGTGAGAGGCTGTCAGGGTGCGTCAGTGGGTGTGTGAGAGGGTGTGTGAGAGGGTGTCAGTAGGTGTGTCAGTAGGTGAGTCAGTGGGGGTGTCAGTGGGTGTGTGAGGTGTCAGTGGGTGTGTGAGAGGGTGTCAGTGGGTGTGTGAGAGGGTGTGTGAGAGGGTGTCAGTGGGTGTGTGAGAGGGTGTCAGGGTGTGTCATTGGGTGTGTCAAAGGGTGTGTGAGAGGGTGTCAGTGGGCGTGTGAGAGGGTGTGTGAGGTGTCAGTGGGTGTGTCAGTGGGTGTGTGAGAGGGTGTCAGTAGGTGTGTCAGTGGGTGTGTGAGAGGGTGTGAGAGGGTGTCAGTAGGTGTGTGAGAGGGTGTGTGAGAGGGTGTATCAGTAGGTGTGTGAGAGGGTGTGTCAGTGGGTATGTGAGAGGGTGTCAGTAGGTGTGTGAGAGTGTGTCAGTAGGTGTGTCAGTGAGTGTCAGTGGGGGTGTTAGGGTGTGTCAGGGTGTGTGAGGTGTGAGTGGGTGTGTGAGAGGGTGTCAGTTGGTGTGTGAGAGGGTGTCAGTGGGTGTGTCAATGGGTGTGTGAGAGGGTGTCAGTGGGTGTGTGAGAGGGTGTGTCAGTGGGTGGGTGAGAGGGTGTCAGTGGGTGTGTGAGAGGGTGTCAGTGGGTGGGTGAGAGGGTGTCAGGGGGTGTGTGAGAAGGTGTGTCACTGGGTGAATGAGAGGGTGTTTTAGGGGGGGGGTATGAGGGGGTGTGTGAGAGGGTGTGTGAGAGGGTGTGTCAGTGGGTGTGTGAGCGGGTGTGTCAATGGGTGTGTGAGAGGGTGTCAGTGGGTGTGTGAGAGGGTGTTTGAGGTGTCAGTGGGTGTGTCAGTGGGTGTGTGAGAGGGTGTGTGAGAGGGTGTGTCAATGGGTGTGTCAATGGGTGTGTGAGAGGGTGTCAGTGGGTGTGTGAGAGGGTGTCAGTGGGTGTGTGAGAAGGTGTCAGTGGGTGTGTGAGAAGGTGTGTCAGTGGGTGAATGAGAGGGTGTTTTAGGGGGGGGTGGGGGGGGAATGAGGGGGTGTGTGAGAGGGTGTGTGAGAGGGTGTGTGAGAAGGTGTGTCAGTGGGTGTGTCAGTGGGGGTATCAGTAGATGTGTGAGAAAGTGTGTCAGTGGGTGTGTGAGAAGGTGTGTCAGTGGGTGAATGAGAGGGTGTTTTAGGGGGGGGGGTATGAGGGGGTGTGTGAGAGGGTGTGTGAGAGGGTGTGTCAGTGGGTGTGTGAGAGGGTGTGTCAATGGGTGTGTCAATGGGTGTGTCAATGGGTGTGTGAGAGGGTGTCAGTGGGTGTGTGAGAGGGTGTCAGTGGGTGTGTGAGAGGGTGTCAGTGGGTGTGTGAGAAGGTGTGTCAGTGGGTGAATGAGAGGGTGTTTTAGGGGGGGGGTATGAGTGGGTGTGTGAGAGGGTGTGTGAGAGGGTGTGTGAGAAGGTGTGTCAGTGGGGGTATCAGTAGATGTGTGAGAAAGTGTGTCAGTGGGTGTATCAGTAGGTGTGTGAGAAAGTGTGTCAGTGGGTGTGTGAGAGGGTGTGTGAGCGGGTGTGTCAATGGATGTGTGAGAGGGTGTCAGTGTGTGTGTGAGAGGGTGTGTCAGGCGGTGTGTGTGAGAGGGTGTGTCAGGCGGTGTGTGAGAGGGTGTCAGTGGGTGGGTTAGAGGGTGTCAGTGGGTGTGTGAGAAGGTGTGTCAGTGGGTGAATGAGAGGGTGTTTTAGGGGGGTGTATGAGGGGGGTGTATGAGGGGGGTGTATGAGGGGGGTGTATGAGGGGGTGGGTGAGAGGGTCTCAGTGGGTGTGTGAGAGGGTGTGTGAGAGGGTGTGTCAGTGGGTGTATCAGTAGGTGTGTGAGAAAGTGTGTCAGTGGGTGTATGAGTAGGTGTGTGAGAAAGTGTGTCAGTGAGTGTGTGAGAGGGTTTGTCGGTGTATCAGGTGTTAGTGGGTGTGTCAGTGGGTGTGTGAGAGGGTGTGTCAGTGGGTGTATCAGGTGTGTCAGTGGGTGTGTGAGAGGGTTTGTCGGTGTACCAGAGGGTGTCAGTGGACGTGTCAGAGGATATGTCAGTGTTAGTGGGTGTCGCAGAGGGTGTCCCTGGAACAGAGGGACAACCTCAAGAAAGTCCCTACTCAGAGGTTATTCCATGAATGGTAAAGGCAATAGGATAACGCACGAGAAGGGTATGAGGAGAGACAGACGTGGTGCTGACCTGTGGTTGAGCTGTTGGAGGGCCACCATCTGTTGCTTCAGCAGCTCCACCTGCTGCACGTAAATCTGCTGCTCCTGCGTTGTCTTCATCTTCTCCAGCATCAGCTGTTTGGTGGCTGCCTGCATTACAAGACGGGTTTACTTACTGTCTCATTATCTTTGTTTTTTTGGTTTGGTTTGTTGTTTAACGCCGCACTCAGCAATATTCCAGCTATATGACGGCGGTCTATAAATATCTTGTATGCATGGTATAAATTTGAAGCAAGTGCTATTTATTAGCCTGTTTATTGAACACATTGCCGTCTGCTTTCACTGCAGTCTGCTCATAACTTAAAGTTGCACAAACCGATATTAACTTGCATCAGAGCAGCGTTGTTTGTTGTTTAACTCCGCACTCGGCAATATTCCAGCTATATGACGGCGGTCTGTAAATAATCGAGTCTGGACCAGACAATCCAGTGATTGACATCATTAGCATCCATCCACGCAACTGGGGTCGATGACATTCATCAATCAAGTCAGTGAGCCTGACCACCCAATCCTGTTAGTCGCCTCTTACGACAAGCATAGTCGCCTTTTACGGCAAGCATGGGTTGCTGAAGACCTATTCTATCCCGGAATCTTCACGGGTCCATTATCTTTGGTATAAATATCAAATCTGACATACACAGATCAAGACACACTGACTCCAACATTATATTCTAAAACAATTTGTTTATATATTGAATCCCATACTTTAACTTTTGCTGCCTGTTAACAAATACTCCTTTGATGGTACTCTTGTCTGGGTGCAGATGCCATCGTGCTCCATAACAAACCCACAACAAAAGGCCAGATTTCTAAAATGATATGTTTCTGTTCACAGATTTTAATCAAAGCTAGGTCAAAGCGATTTTTAAAATTATACGAACGAACGAACGACGGCTACAAAAATACTTATGGCACTGTGTATTTGTATTCAAAAGTGGCAACTTACGTTGATTTTGTACATTCAGAAATCAGACATGCTGCTATGAAAGCATTGTTCACTGGAATGGAGAAAGATGGTTGTAAGCCTATGCTGAAGTGTGGGAGGAGCGATCACCTTAGCGCTAAATGAGTGAGTAAGTGAGTGAGTATTGTTTTATGCCGCTTTTAGCAATATTCCAGCAATATCACAGCGGGGGACACCAGATAATGTGCTTCACACATCGTACACATGTGGGGAATCCATCATGGGTCTTTGGCGTGACGAGCTAACGCTTTAACCACAAGGCTTTGCTCATAAACAAAGTATAGTGAGTGAGTGAGTGAGTATGGTTTTACGCCGCTTTTAGCAATATTCCAGCAATATCACGACAGGGGACACCAGAAATTGGCTTCACACATTGTACCCATGTTGGGAATCGAACCCGGGTCTTCGGCGTGACGAGCGAATGCTTTGACCACTAGGCTACCCGACCGCCCCTCCTTACCGTAAGACTGATCTTCTCCTCCTGGGCTTTGTGCAGTGTGGCGACGAGCTGCGTGTGCTGCTCCTGCATCGTCTTGTAGTGGAGGAACAGGCTGTTGATGTCCAGGTCCGTGTTGGTCGACACCGACACGCCGCTGTACATCGTCTGCACTTGCACATCCACCGACGACTTCGGCTTCAGCCAGTTGTGGTCCTGGGAAAACACTGAACTCTTGTCCAGTCCAAACAACGAATACGACTCGGACGTGTTTGCAGCTGTGAAACTGGAGGCCGTGTTAGGCTCGAGTCCGTCCGCTGGCGACCATGTTGAGCTGGTGTTGTCCTGGGACTGAAGAGACGCGAGGCTGGGGAAGGGGGTGTACACTGACTGTTGGGCCGTCTTGGTCAGCCTGTCCTGGAATGTGTTGAATCCGTTATCCTGGGAGGCTTTGGGGTAGATGGGGGTGGGGCTACTACCCCAGATACTGGTCACACTGCTCTCTGATGCGTCGCCACCCCCATGGGTCAGGGGGCTATCACAACTGCTAGGTCGGGAGTCAAAGGAACCAAAAGCATCTTTAGATGAAGAACTCAAAAAAGGACGTGGAGGAATGATAGTTTTATCCAATGAATTTTTGCGTTTGGTATCCAATAAATCTAGGTTTCCATGCAAGCTGTCAGAATTGTGAAACGAACTGGAAGAAAAAACATCATTTGAAACCTCCTTCTGCACAGTGGTTCTGGAATAGGCTGATTTGAAACCTTGACTCTGAAGAGCTGGGGATACAGTGCGATAACCAAGTTCAAATTCACCTAACTCAGAATGAGATGACCTTGAACTGCAACGGCTAGGGTCAAGGTCATCCGATTTGACACTACTGGGTGCAAGAGCTGAATCCAAGATTTTAGAACCCACACCACGAATCTTTGCCAAAGAAATACTTTCCGACACACTGTCACTTCCTCCCTCCCAACTTTCCCTGCTCCAATCAGCTTCACAAAAATTGTTCGTAGTCTCTAAGTCATCATCTAAATCGTCGGCACACAACTGAAAATCGTCTATGTCGTCCATGTTTTCTAAAAGCGTCTTTTCCGCACTTTTGCTACTATTTGGCTGCGAGGGAAGAGTAAAGTCGTCCAGAGAATTATATGTGGATGGTTTAACCCTGGGGGCTGCACTGACAGTTTTCACAAGCTTATCTATCTCACATCCAGCTTCACACGAATTCATAGCATTAATCACAAAAGGATCCTTATTGACACAATGTTCCACAAACACACCAGCACTAGGCTGTGGCTTGAACTCCTGGGCAGCAGGGTTCAGCGACATCTTAGAAGCTTTATTCACATCCGACGACACAACACTATTCACAGCCCGCGGTTTAGTTTTCACATCACTTGGAACAGTCTGTTTAGCGCCCAAGGTGGGATACTCGGTCTTGTGGGCCACGGCCAGCGACCGAGCATGCACAGCGTCTTTTAACAAACACACATAGTTGTCTATAAGTCCGAACTTCAGCGACTGCTGCAGGAAGCCTCGAAGACCTCCGTAAGTGTCTATGACCTCTCGGGCCTCCATGGGGAAGTCCTCCAGCTCCTTGGTCAGCACAGAATCGTTCACATGCAGAGGGCCGTGCTCACCTAGCAGCTCCGCAAAATACCTGAGGGCAGAACATTGTACATTCAAGTTGGTTTCTTCGTCTGTTTGTTTGTTTGTTGTTTAACGCTGCACTCAGCAATATTCAAGCTATATGACAGCGGTCTGTTAATAATAAAGTCTGGAACACACAATCCAGTGATTGACGACATGCGCATCAATCTATGTAAATGGGATATAATGGCATGCATCAACCAAGTCAGCAAGTCTGACCATCCGATCCCGTTAGTTGCCTCTTACGACAAGCATGGGTTGCTGAAGACTACTTCTAACCCGATCGTTCACATGCAGAGGGCCATGCTCACCTAGCAGCTCCGCAAAATACCTGAGGGCAGAACATTGTACATTCAAGTTGGTTTCTTCGGTTGTTTGTTTGTTGTTTAACGCTGCACTCAGCAATATTCAAGCTATATGACAGCAGTCTGTTAATAAGTGAGGTGAGGTGAAATGGGGTTTAACGTCACGTTCAAGATTATTGCACTTATATAGCGACATGCGTTTGTGTGGCTGCTTGTACTAGTCCGGACTGATGCCGATTTATAGTGCTAGCCCACTGAGATACCATGCCACAGTTTAACATGAATACCCCACTCAGACACAGTATACTGACTCCAAGCCGACCAGTCCTTGTTTTAGCCCCTTAATGCCGAGCACCAGACAGGGCAACAACAAGTACCATCTTTTAATGTCTTTTGGTTAATGCGGTCGGGGCTCGAACTCCGGACCTTCCACTCTCCGGGCGGACGCTCTACCACTAGACCACGGAGGCGGTCTCAGTCTGTTAATAATAAAGTCTGGACCACACAATCCAGTGATTGACGACATGCTCATCAATCTATGTAACTGGGATATAATGGCATGCATCAACCAAGTCAGCAAGTCTGACCATCCGATCCCGTTAGTTGCCTCTTACGAAAAGCATGGGTTGCTGAAGACTATTTCTAACCCGATTGTTCACAAGGGGAGACAAGCATGGGTTGCTGAAGACTATTTCTAACCCGATTGTTCACAGGGGGAGACAAGCATGGGTTGCTGAAGACTATTTCTTACCTAATGTTCACAGGGGGCAGACAAGCATGGGTTGCTGAAGACTATTTCTAACCCGATTGTTCACAGGGGGAGACAAGCATGGGTTGCTCAAGACTATTTCTAACCCGGATGTTCACAGGGGGAGACAAGCATGGGTTGCTGAAGACTATTTCTAACCCGATTGTTCACAAGGGGAGACAAGCATGGGTTGCTGAAGACTATTTCTAACCCGATTGTTCACAAGGGGAGACAAGCATGGGTTGCTCAAGACTATTTCTAACCCGGATGTTCACAGGGGGAGACAAGCATGGGTTGCTCAAGACTATTTCTTACCCTAATGTTCACAGGAGACAAGCATGGGTTGCTGAAGACTATTTCTAACCCTAATGTTCACAGGGGGAGACAAGCATGGGTTGCTGAAGGCTATTTCTAACCCGGATGTTCATGGGGGAGACAAGCATTCGATTCACCGAATACTTGCGTGAATGGTAACAGCACTACTACTTACACAAAGAGATTGTTGGCCACTTCGTTGTGCTTGTTGTTCTGGGGGTTGATGGACTGGTCATAAACCGAATTAAAATCCTGAACCTTTTGATGTAAACTTGGAGGGACAGAAAAAGGGTTGTCACTATTATATGTGGCCCTTGGTCTGAAATGAGAGGATGTTAAACAATAGAGATCAAACTGTGGTGGTCCTGTGAACGGTGAAGTCAGTAATGATAGGTTTTGTTTGTTGTTTAATGCCTACTCAGCAATATTCCCGCTATATGACGGCGGTCTGTCAATAATAAAGTCTGGACCAGACAATCCAGTGATTGACATCATGAGCATCGATCCACAGCAATATTCCAGCTATTTGATGGCGGTCTGTCAATAATAAAGTTTGGACCAGACAATCCAGTGATTGACATCATGAGCATCGATCCACAGCAATATTCCAGCTATTTGATGGCGGTCTGTCAATAATAAAGTCTGGACCAGACAATCCAGTGATTGACATCATGAGCATCGATCCACAGCAATATTCCAGCTATTTGATGGTGGTCTGTCAATAATAAAGTCTGGACCAGACAATCCAGTGACTGACATCATGAGCATCGATCCATGCAATTGGGATACGACGACATGCGTCAACAAAGGCAAGGAGCCTGACCACCCGATCCCGTTAGTCGCCTCTTACAGCAAGCATAGCCGCCTCTTACAGCAAGCATGGGTGGCTGAAGACCTATTCTACTCCAGTCTGTCTGTATTGAGAGCACGTTACACACAAGGCGCATCTTCTAACTCTCAACGCCAAGTTTCATGCAGACTAGTGTAGCTTGTCTTACATTCTGGGAGCACACTTGTCGTCCTCCGTGTCACTCAGTACAGAGTGTTCCCCAAGCAGCTGGTCTTCTCTACGGTCGGAGAAATTCACCTCCACATTGAGGACCTGTTTAGTTTTCTTCTTCTCCTTCTTCGGTTTACTCAACTTTGGCTTGCCCTGAAATTTCATGAGGTGAGTGTGTAGGGGTGACTATTGGCCTGGATATCACTAACCAAAACCAATAACTGTTTTTGTTGTTGTTTAACGTCGCACACAGCAATATTACAGCTATATGACGGCGGTCTGTCAATAATCGAGTCGGGACCAGGCAATCCAGTGATTGACATCATGAGCATCGATCCACAGCAATATTTCAGCTATGTGGCGGCGGTCTGTCAATAATCGAGTCTGGACCAGACAATCCAGTGATTGACATCATGAGAATCACTCCATTGGGATCAATGACATGCATCAACCAAGTCAGAGAGCCTGACCACCCGATCCCGTTAGTCGCCTTTTACAGCAAGAAGGTTGTTGAAGGGAGCGTTTACAATATGACAAGTCAGGGCATTCATAATTCCCATCGGACTGCTGTAGGCTTCGAGGTCTTCTTCCTGTGTGCAGGTCAAGATAAATCCCTGCCATGTTCAACATGGCCAGGAACTAAATGAAAAAGTTCTGACCCACCCACCTTGTACAGAGTGGCCTCCTCCGCCTCCTCCTTCTTGTACAGGACTGTGTCGGCCTTCGCAAGGTGCTTCAGATCCGACTCGTCTTTAAGAACTGCCAACACAACAGGGTAGGGGGGACTATTGGTCTGGAGATCACTATTGCTATAACTATTGATATTGAAAGAGTGAGTGAGTGAGTATGGTTTTACGCTGTTTTTAGCAATATTCCAGCAATATCACGGCGGGGGACACCAGAAATGGGCTTCACACATTGTACCCATGTCGGGAATCGAACCCGGGTCTTCGGCGTGTCGAGCGAACGCTTTAACCACTAGGCTACCCGACCGCCCCGATATTGAAAGAAACTATTGCGATAATCATTGATATTGCAAGCAACTACAGCTATAAATATTGATATTTTTCAGTGTATCATTTTAGATGGATTTTAGAGTTGAATTTAACCTTGGAACTGAAGTTTCCTTTGAATGTGATAACAATAAGACTTCCAAACACTCGATTTTCCACCCAAGTTTGTCACAAACTCTGCTTGACTGTTACCCTCCGCTGTTTTACTTTAAGAAAGACTGGTTGCTAAGCATCAAGGGCAGTTAACTCTAATCCTCACACTGCTGCGTTCACAAGCGTGTTTCGGACACTCAATCGCATGACTTGGTAAATACAAATTGAAACTATCGATATTCCTAACTGAAATGGATATTATTGATCGGAAACTGATTTAACAATCCATTTATTTACTTTAAGTGCTTACCAATAGCAATATATCGATATTTCGATTTATCGTGACACCCCAAAGGAGGGTGTTTGTAAGTGAGGTGAAATGAGGTTTAATGTCATGTTAAAGATTACTGCACTTATATAGCAACGTGCATGCACATGTGTATGAATTATAGTGAAACCATGCCGCAGGTAAACATGAGTACAACACTCAGACACAGTATACCGACTCCGAATCAATCAGTCCATGTTTTTAGCCCCTTAGTGTTGAGTGCGAGGTAGGGAAACAATAAGTCCCATCTATTAACGTCTTTTGACATGACGCGGCTGGCAGATGGTAGGGTACTGACAAACCTGCAAACAATGAGGCAAATCTAGGCTTGAAACCCATGATCATAGGATTCTGGTCTGCAAAAGGGACACAACTCTGCACAGCAAATATTAGCATGATTAGAACCTTAGGGTCACCCTGCAACCATGCAGTGTTAGAAACTGGCACTAGTCCTGTAGTCCTTGCCAAACTTCCCAATAGTTAAGGTATCCTAAGGACTAGTAGAAAATTGCCCTTTTTAGGGGTTTTGCTATATCATAGTATATGTTATCATTATAAGGACTAGTTGGCTGAAACTGTTAGTTTCTATCGCTGCCATGCCGAATTGATGCCAGAAGATTTTCTATTTACACTAACCAAAACCTGCCTGAAAGGAGACAAAAGGATATCGCAATACTTGAATCATTATTCCAATAAATTGTTTGTTTGTTTGTTTGTTGTTTAACGCCGCACTCAGCAATATTCCAGCTATATGACGGCGGTCTGTAAATAATCGAGTCTGGACCAGACAATCCAGTGATTGACAGCATGAACATCGATCCACGCAATTGGGATCGATGAAATGTATCAACCAAGTCAGCGAGCCTGACCACCCGATCCCGTTAGTCGCCTTTTACGACAAGCATAGTCGCCTTTTACAGCAAGTATGGGTTGCTGAAGACCTATTCTACCCCGGAATCTCTGATGGGTCAATTGCAATAGTCAGGGCCATACCCGTCACTGTACCCGTTCACAATAAACATACAGAAAATAGTTTTGTGCATACATACATACATACATACATACATACATACATACATACATACATACATACATACATACATACATACATACATACATACATACATACATACATACATACATACATACATACATACATATATATATATGAGAGTGTACCTTGGTTTGTTTGTTTGTTGTTTAATGCCACACTCCAGCGGTCTGTAAATAATTGACCAGACAATCCAGTGATTGACATCATGAGCATCGATCCACACAACTGGGATACAATGACATGCATCAACCAAGTCAGCGAGCCTGACCACCCGATCCCTTTAGTTGACTCTTACGACAAGCATAGTCACCGGATCCCGTTCGTCGCATTACCGTATATGGTTGCTGAAGACAAACATGAAAGTGAGCTGTGCCAGTATTTGCCTTACCTTGCTGTGCCAGAGAGAGGGCATCGGTTGTGTCTTCCTCCTCTTCCTCTTCCTGTTGTTTCTCCACCTCGGCTTCCCGAGCTTCCTTCCTCTTCTGCTTCCGCAGTGCTTTCTTCTCCGCTTTACGAGATATCTTGTCTTGGCTGCAACAGGTGAAGTGAAATGGGGTTAAAATCGTGTCAAGAATGATTCCTTACATGGAGACGCGCACGCACTTGTGAGCTGCTAGTGCTAATCTGGACTTACAGTTTTACAGTGAGTGAGTGAGTGAGTGAATATGATTTAAGGCCGCTTTTAGCAATATTCCAGCAATATCACAGCGGGGGACACCAGAAATGGGCTTCACACATTGTACGCATGTCGGGAATCAAACCGGGGTCTTCTGCGTGATGAGCGAACGCTTTAACCACTAGGCTACCCGACCGCCCTGCAGTTTTACAGAGCCTGCCCAATGAGATACCATGCCGCAGTTTAACATCGATACTCAACTTAGACACAATACTGACACCAAATCAACCAGTCCTTGTGTCAGGCAGGGTAACAAGTACCATCTTTTAACGTCTTTTGATATGAGGCAGCCAGGGATCAAACCCGCTCTCCAGGCAGACACTGTATCTACTAGACCATGGAGGTGGTCCAAGCTGCATGATGAGGTTACCAGCGTATGTTTTACCTGCTTGTTGCGTAACGCTGTCTTCAGCAATATTCAAGCTGTATCATGTCGCCAAACAAGTGGTTGACATTAGGAGCAATATCCCACACTGTCATGGCACAATGTTTGTTTGATATTTAATGCCGCTGTCAGCAATATTCCAGTTACATGACAGCTGCTTGTATGTAATGTTTGGAGAAAACAGTGATTGACATCATGAGCCACATCCCACGATGTCAGTTTGTTTGTTTGTTTGTTGTTTAATGCCGCACTCAGCAATATTCCAGCTATATGACAGCGGTCTGTCAATAATCAAGTCTGGTCCAGTGAATCCAGTGATTGATATCATGAGCATTGATCCACCCAATTGGGAAATGGTGACTCTTCCGTGAGTCAAGGTACATGCAGTGATTGTACAAGATAATTGATAATCAATTATGTATGTACAGCAGTACCCTGTCCATTTTCACCTTGACCAGGGACCAGCTGGGGACCTACCATATTCCCGAGGCAAGAGCGTTAACTGACTTTAAAAAGTCCAGTTTCCACCCTTGCCGAACTCGCCTGGAATTCCTGGGCTCGATCGTAGCGCCACCAGTGGCTATTACGAGTTATATCCATTCTATGCCTCTCCCATATGTACCAATCAAATTCCACCTCTCGTATCATATGCATTTGTTTCAAACAAAATGGCAGCGCCCAGTCAAGACGATCTGATCGACCATCAAGATCTATTTTGTGATAAAATGGTTCTAACTTCGCAAAGTGCATCAAATCACGTGAGCACCTTGATTAAAAACATGAAAAGATATAGAAAATATCTGCTGACAATGAGTTGGCGATGTACATGCTTTGCAAATCCTGCAATCGACCGAACTCTGCATGATAGTTTACGAACCTGAATCCGATTTCGGTGCGCGATTTTGATTGGACTATGCATAGACTCGTTAGTCCAGCCAAAATGTAACTCCATAATCCCAGCCTAGTTCGGCAAGGTTGGAAACTGGACTTTCATAGCCAGTTAACTCCTTGCCTCAGGAAGATGGGGACCTACGTGTGTCAGGCCAAAAACACCAGGGGCCAGGCCAGGGCGGATAGGCGGGTCACAGGTGGGTGGTACCCCCATTCATTGTGTAGTAGTTGCTTTGTTTGTTTGTTGTTTAACGCCACACTCAGCAATATTCCAGCTATATGACGGCGGTCAGTCAATAATCGAGTCTGGACCAGACAATCCAGTGATTGTGATCCTGAGCATCGATCCACGCAATTTGGATACGATGACATACATCAACCAAGTCAGCAAGCCTGACCACCCTATCCCGTTTGCTGACTCTTACGGCAAGCATGGGTTGCTGCAGACCTATTCTTCCCCGGATCCTTGTGGGTGTGTGAGCAAGTGAGTGAACTGGGTTTGAAGCTGCTGTGAAGAGTATTCCAGTATCACATCGCATCAGCTTAATGTGGGAGAGATCCCAAGGTGATGAGGGCCTCAGACGTTTACCACTTCGGTGAAACCCACGAGCTGGTGCTGACAACCTTCAAAAATAATCGGTGCGAAATGTGATTCGAACTCACGATCATAGGTTTCTGGCGCACCCAAGGGAAGCAACTCTGCACAGCGAATTGTGGTTCCTTAGACAACTGGGCAATTTCGACAAAACATCAGGTTGAAAAACTTACCTTGAAGGTTCGAGCTTCAGTAATTTCTTCTGATTTTTAGATTTTTGTAATGGTTTGTCTGATGTATACTGTCAACAAAACAAACAAAACTATTCTTACATTTATTCATGCCTTCAATGTCCAATTGCGTGTTAGGAATTTTCACTATTTTTCTTTCATTGATGAGTAGAAAAAGTAGTAAAAAAAATTCTGAATTAAGTTGGTGTTTTATTCCCAAATCTGAAAAACTCATTTAGCAATAGAACAGATCACAAGCCGTTGTAATGTATGTCCCCATATCAAATTCCCCATGACAGCATTGATCAGGATATAGGACATCATGAGGCAAATTTTGATTGTATTTTTTTAAATACCATATGTTTATACAACACAAAAAACAAAATTTGTGAAGTAATTTTTTTCAAACACCAACTTCAAGTTTTGAGAGAAAGAAATCTGTAAACCAACTATGAACGTTTAACAAAAGTTTCTGAATATCAGCTATTGCCTGCCATTTCAAGGATTCAGAACAGGCCCAACCCAAGACAGTTTGTCTAATGTTATTTGTTGACTTGTTTAACGCCGCACTCAGCAATATTCCAGCTATATGACGGCGGTTTGTAAATAATCGAGTCTGGACCAGACAATCCAGTGATTGATATTGTGAGCACTGATCTACTCTGTTGGGGTACGATGACATGCACCAACCAAGTCACCGAAATTTGACAGTGTTGTATAAATAAAATCAGATTAAAAAGGCAGGTAAATTTGTTTTGTTTCTAAAATGTTCAACATTGACAACGTTCATGTGACAAGGCTTAACAGGTCCACCAAAGAAATGTTTCGTTTGTTTGTTTGTTGTTTAACGCAACACTCAGCAGTATTCCAGCTATATGACAGTGGAGTGTAAATAATCAAGTCTGGACAAGACAACCCAGTGATTGACATCATGAACATCGATCCACACAACAGGGAAATGACATGCATCAACCAAGTCAGCGAGCCTGACCACCCAATCCCATTAGTCGCCTCTTAAGACAATCATAGTCGCCTTTTACAGCAAGCAAGGGTTGCTGAAGACCTACTCTACCCAGATCTTCACAGGTCATAATACTTAGAATAGCAGAATGTTTTTAATATCTTCTGATCATGATAATGTTTAACAATATTTGTAAATGACTCACAACTTTAGGGTCTGCGTTATGCCTGTAGAGACAGATTCTCTGTATAAAAGAACTACAGTCCGGAGTTGGACAAGACTTATCTAGTTGTTCCTGAAACATAACAAGGAAAACAAGGTTACTGTTTGTAGTCAAACGCTTCAATCCAGTATTACGGCTACATTACAGCACTGGGCAGCGATAGTTAGTCCACAAGCAGCCATAGTTAGTCCACTAGCAGCAATAGATAGTCCACTAGCAGCCATAGTTAGTCCACTAGCAGCCATAGTTAGTCCACTAGCAGCGATAGTTAGTCCACTAGCAGCGATAGATAGTCCACTAGCAGCGATAGTTAGTCCACTAGCAGCCATAGTTAGTCCACTAGCAGCCATAGTTAGTCCACTAGCAGCGATAGTTAGTCCACTAACAGCGATAGTTAGTCCACTAGCAGCGATAGTTAGTCCACTAGCAGCGATAGATAGTCCACTAGCAGCGATAGTTAGTCCACCAGCAGCGATAGTTAGTCCACTAGCAGCGATAGTAAGTCCACTAGCAGCGATAGTTAGTCCACCAGCAGCCATAGTTAGTCCACTAGCAGCGATAGTTAGTCCACCAGCAGCGATAGTTAGTCCACCAGCAGCGATAGTTAGTCCACCAGCAGTGATAGTTAGTCCACTAGCAGCGATAGTAAGTCCACTAGCAGCCATAGTTAGTCCACTAGCAGCCATAGTTAGTCCACTAGCAGCCATAGTTAGTCCACTAGCAGCGATAGTTAGTCCACTAGCAGCCATAGTTAGTCCACTAGCAGCGATAGATAGTCCACTAGCAGCCATAGTTAGTCCACCAGCAGCCATAGTTAGTCCACCAGCAGCCATAGTTAGTCCACTAGCAGCCATAGTTAGTCCACCAGCAGCCATAGTTAGTCCACTAGCAGCGATAGTTAGTCCACTAGCAGCGATAGTTAGTCCACTAGCAGCCATAGTTAGTCCACTAGCAGCGATAGTTAGTCCACTAGCAGCGATAGATAGTCCACTAGCAGCCATAGTTAGTCCACTAGCAGCCATAGTTAGTCCACTAGCAGCGATAGTTAGTCCACCAGCAGCGATAGTTAGTCCACCAGCAGCGATAGTTAGTCCACTAGCAGCGATAGTTAGTCCACCAGCAGCGATAGTTAGTCCACCAGCAGCGATAGTTAGTCCACCAGCAGCGATAGATAGTCCACTAGCAGCGATGGTTAGTCCACTAGCAGCGATAGTTAGTCCACCAGCAGCGATAGTTAGTCCACCAGCAGCGATAGATAGTCCACCAGCAGCGATAGTTAGTCCACCAGCAGCCATAGTTAGTCCACCAGCAGCGATAGTTAGTCCACCAGCAGCCATAGTTAGTCCACTAGCAGCGATAGTTAGTCCACTAGCAGCGATAGTTAGTCCACTAGCAGCGATAGATAGTCCACTAGCAGCGATAGTTAGTCCACTAGCAGCGATAGTTAGTCCACTAGCAGCGATAGTTAGTCCACTAGCAGCGATAGTTAGTCCACTAGCAGCGATAGTTAGTCCACTAGCAGCCATAGTTAGTCCACCAGCAGTGATAGTTAGTCCACCAGCAGCCATAGTTAGTCCACCAGCAGCCATAGTTAGTCCACTAGCAGCCATAGTTAGTCCACCAGCAGCCATAGTTAGTTCACCAGCAGTGATAGTTAGTCCACTAGCTGCCATAGTTAGTCCACTAGCAGCGATAGTTAGTCCACTAGCAGCCATAGTTAGTCCACTAGCAGCGATAGTTAGTCCACTAGCAGCGATAGATACCAACAATTGGGGTCCACTAGTCCTTATAATGATAACATATAGCAAAACCCTTAAAAATAGCAAATGCCTACTAGTCATTATGATACCTTAAGTATTGGGCACTTTGGCAAGGACTACAGTACTAGTGCCAATTTTTAACGCTGACTAGTCCTCAAAATGAGAACACAGGATAATTCTAAGTGAGGTCTTGTGATTTTAGCCCCTAAATTGGAAAAAAAGGCCCCATTTTCAAACACAATGGGGCATTTTAACATTGTGCTGTATGGGCAAGTGTGCATGTACCTCGGGAATTTATGATTTCTCACATAAAGGGCCCATGTCAGAATGTTCCTTGAGTGACTCCCGAGAACGTATAGAAAAACCCTTAAAAAGGGCTAATTTCTACCTGTCCTTCTGATGCCTAAACTATTGGGCAATTTGTCCAGGACTATAGGCATGGTACCAATTTCTATTGCTGAGCAGAGTGTAAATAATAGCTACCAATATTCGCACTATGGGATGGAGGGCTGTAAATAATCATGTCTAGAGTGAGTGAGTTGGGTTTAACAGTATTTCAGTTATATCACAGCGTGTCAGCTTAATGTGGGAGGAAAGCCCGAAGTGATGCAGGTGTCAGACGTTTACCACTTCGGTGGAACCCACGAGCACGGGTATGGTGCTGACAAACCTAGAAACATTATCAGGGCGAACCGGGATTCAAACCCACAATCATAGGTGTCTTGCGTGCCCAAGGAACGCAACTCTGTACAGCGAATTGCGGCGCCTTAGACGACTGGGCCACCGGTGCCCCAATGATGTCTAGACCAGACTATCCAGTGATTGACATGTGCAACATCCCAAGGTGCAACAACAAGTTACTGAGTTTAACGCCGCACTCAGCAATATTCCAGCTATATGACGGTGGTCTGTAAATAATCGAGTCTGGACAAGACTATCCAGTGATTGACATCATTAGCATCAATCCACGCAACTGGGGTCGATGACATTCATCAATCAAGTCAGCGAGCCTGACCACCCGATCCCGTAAGTCGCCTCTTACTACAAGCATAGTCGCCTTTTACTGCAAGCATGGCTCCCTGAAGACCTATTCTACCCCGGATCTTCCAGTGTTGTCAATGGGGAAGCACCCTGCAAATGGCACACCTACCTTGTCGGACCCCTTCCCCTTGTAAGACTTCCAGCAGGCTACGTGAAACTCTACCACACAGAGAGACTGACAGTTCACTCGCACAAACCCCTGAAAGAAAGTAGATGGACTTTCAAAGACAACCTGCAACCTTTTCATTCAGAGCACAGGCCAATCTGGTACCTCAAGTTTGAGTCTGGAGAACCAGGATTTATCTGGCAAGTGTCATTAAAAATTCCCAATTCATGTTCTATCCCCGTATACTGACACGAATTAATACCCCACTCAGACACAGTACACTGACTCCGAGCCGACCAGTCCTTGTTCTATCCCTGTATAGTGCTAGCCCACTGAGGTACCATGCTGCAGTTTAACATGAATACCCCACTCAGACACAGTACACTGACTCCGAGCCGACAAGTCCTTGTTCTATCCCTGTATAGTGCTAGCCCACTGAGGTACCATGCCGCAGTTTAACATGAATACCCCACTCAGACACAGTATACTGACTCCGAGCCGACCAGTCCTTGTTCTATTCCCATATACTGCTAGCCCACTGAGATACCATGCTGCAGTTTAACATGAATACCCCACTCAGACACAGTATAATGACTCCGAGCCGACCAGTCCTTGTTCTATTCCCGTATACTGCTAGCCCACTGAGATACCATGCTGCAGTTTAACATGAATACCCCACTCAGACACAGTACACTGACTCCGAGCCGACCAGTCCTTGTTCTATCCCTGTATACTGCTAGCCCACTGAGGTACCATGCCGCAGTTTAACATGAATACCCCACTCAGACACAGTATACTGACTCCGAGCTGACCAGTCCTTGTTCTATTCCCGTATACTGCTAGCCCACTGAGATACCATGCCGCAGTTTAACATGAATACCCCACTCGGACACAGTATACTGACTCCGAGCCGACCAGTCCTTGTTCTATCCCCGTATACTGCTAACCCACTGAGATACCAACATATTAACATGAATACCCCACTCCAACAAAGCATACTGAGTTCGAGCCGATCAGTCCTTGTTTTATCCTGTTGATGTCGAAGTACGGGGTAGCAACATCTTTTGACGTTATTTGTCATATCCACTTGACCATGGCGGCGGCCATTCCAGACACAAGTAACCCATATTCATTGCAATATACCGAAAAACATGTCAACGGTTAGCATCTTTCCGAGGCAAGCGTGTCCACTAGCCTATATCAAAGCCTAGTTTCTACCCTTGCCACATCAAGGCCACTTTTCTAGGCTCGACCATGGCGCCACCCCGTGTAGATCACGAGTTGTGCCTCTTGTAATGAAAACATGATATCTATTCAGATCGCTGTTCTTATCTCGTATAGCTTCACAAAGATGGTGACTACCATAGTTGACGACCAAGTCGATCAGATTTGCGATTTCATCCCTGACACAAAAACATAGGCAATCATTGTGGGGTTAAAAGGATGAAAAAGACAACAAGTCAACAAGACAGACAGTGGTAAATCACTTTCATACGAAAATGTACCAGTCGTGGATGTTGATTTTGTGGAATGTTCTCTGATTGGGCTATCGATATGTGCGATAGTCGAATCATATTTAGCACAGGAAAGTAGGCTTGATGTGGCAACGGAGGTTGGTTGGTTGGTTGGTTGGTTTGTTGTTTAACGCTGCACTCAGCATATATTCCACCTGTATGTCGGCTGTCTGTAAATAATCGAGTCTGGACCAGACAATCCAGTGATTAACATCATGAGCATCAATCCCCGCAATTGGGATTGATGACATGCATCAACCAAGTCAGGGAGCCTGACCACCCGATCCCGTTAGTCGCCTTTACGACAAGCATAGTCGCCTTTTACGGCAAGCATGGGTTGCTGAAGACCTATTCTACCACGGATCTTCACGGGTCAGCAAGGAAAAAACAAGACTTTGATAAAGAGGCTAGTGGACGCTTTTGCCTTGGGAAGATGAAGGTTAGAGGCGTGAGAGGTCCCAACTTCCAAGTCTCCACAATCATCTTCCTGAGGCAAGGGAGTTTACTGACTGTAAAAGTCCAGTTTCCACCCTTGCCGAACTAGGCAGGAATTTCTAGGCTCGATCTTAGTGCCACCAGTGGCTATGACGAGTTATGCCCCTTCTATGTTCTTCTTAATGTTCAATCAGATTCTATCCCTCATATCACTTGCATTTGCTTCAAACAAAATGGCGGCGCGCAGTCAAGACGATCTGATCGATAATCAAAATCTATATTGTGATAAAAAAGCATCAAATCAGGTGAGCACAGGCAGTTTACAAACCAGACGTCAATTGTATTACATGATTTTGATTGGACTATGCATAGACTCGTTAGTCCAGCCAAAATGTAACTCCATAATTCCAGCCTAGTTTGCCAAGGGTGGTAACTGGACTTCTATAGTCAGTTAACTCCCTTGACTCAGGAAGATACTCCACAATTAGAATATGTCAACAATAAAACTTAATGTTCTTACAAGTGTACATTGCATGTAAAAGATTCCACAATAATATATTCTGACCTTAAAGTCTGGATCTGAGAAATATATAACATCTCTGTCCTCCTGACAGTTACCATGGCGACACACAGCGTCTGGAGTTGGCGGACGTTTACAGGTCTGGAGCAGCTCCCGAAGTAGAGCCTGAAATACAAGATGACAGGGGTTGAGTGACGAGTGATGAGTGACTCACAAATATACGAATCATTTGTGAGACATTTCATACCCATGGAACGACAAACAAAAAACGTTCTTGTCTGATGTGGGTCTGGCTATCGACACAGATCATATAGCAGCGTTATAAATTGGCACCAGTCCTGTAGTCCTTACCAAACTGCCCAATAGTAAAGGTATCCTAAGGACTAGTAGAAATTGGCCCATTTTAAGGGTTTTGCTATATGTTATCATTGTAGGGACTAGTGGACAAAAACTGTTAGTTTCTAACCCTGTTTTGAGGTAATTACGCCAAAAAAAGTCCTGAAGAAATGTAGATTTCACTCCACTGGGATTACTTTGTGGACATTGAGGATATAACAAAAACAGTCGCTTTCCAATTTTTAGCAATTGACATAAGCAACATTACTCAAGTCTGTTTCGGTAAATCTTAACTTTATTTCGTCAGAATAGTTTATGTAAGATATTATCAAAGACACAAATATTATATCGATAATAGTTCATTTTTGTTCCCACTGACGATAATTCCGATTATCAATATTCTCGGCCAGCCCTAGTCTGAAGTAAGGAATCCATGGATCAAGTGTCCGTCTCAGTAGCAGTAGTTCACTCATAAACTTGTTCACCAGAAAATGGTTCATGATAAACTTGTTCACCACAAAATGGTTCACGATAAACTTGTTCACCACAAAATGGTTCACGAGAAACTTGTTCACCACAAAATGGTTCACGATAAACTTGTTCACCACAAAATGGTTCACGAGAAACTTGTTCACCACAAAATGGTTCACGATAAACTTGTTCAACACAAAATGGTTCACGATAAACTTGTTCACCACAAAATGGTTCACTATAAACTTGTTCCCAAAATGGTTCACGATAAACTTGTTCACTACAAAATGGTTCACGATAAACTTGTTCACAACAAAATGGTTCACGATAAACTTGTTCACCACAAAATGGTTCTCGATAAACTTGTTCACCACAAAATGTTTCACGAGAAACTGGTTCACCACAAAATGGTTAACTATAAACTGGTTCACCATAAAGTGATTCACCACAAACAGGTTTACTATAAAGTGAGTCATCATAAATTGGTTCACTATAAAATGATTCGTCATAAATTGGTTCACTACAAAGTGATTCGTCATAAACTGGTTCATCACAAAATGGTTCACTATAAAGTGATTCATCATAAACTGGTTCACTATAAAGTGATTCGTCATAAACTGGTTCACTATAAAGTGATTCGTCATAAACTGGTTCACTATAAAGTGATTCATCATAAATTGGTTCACTATAAAGTGATTTATCATAAATTGGTTCACTATAAAGTGCGTCATCATAAACTGGTTCACTATAAAGTGATTCGTCATAAACTGGTTCACTATAAAGTGAGTCATCATAAACTGGCTCACCATATAACTGTTTCTCTCCAAACTGGTTCACTGTAAACAGTTTCTCCATGAAGAGGTTTACTATAAACTGTTTCTCCATAAACTGGTTTACAAGTGAGTGAATGTTGTTATTTATCGAGTAACATGATATCACATGACTTTGTAAAAGATGTCCGACGGTCGAAATCTGTATAACGAACGAGGGATATAACAAACTAAAATTAGTGGTCCCTTTGAGTTCATTATAACCGTAGTTAACTGTACTTCTGTAGTTTCTGAAAAATATGTGTCCCCATTTCATGCAGAATGCACCAAGTTGAAAAGCACGGGGCAAGGGACTTAGGGATAAATATTATAAATCACAAATCATCAAAAGGCACCAGTTTGCCACGAGACTGATCTGTATACCAAGTCTCATCTAAAAATATTCAAAGGTTTGGAGTTCTTCTCCAGAAATAAGCACTATCCTCACTTTCAGCAGAAGTCCAACTTTCTATTTTGAAAGCCATTTTTTATGATAAAAAAACTAAAATCCCAAATCATTAAAAGGCACCAGTTCACGACTTGACTGATGTGTATAGCAAGTTTCATCAAGAAATTTTGAACAGTTAAGGAGTACTGGTCCAGAAATGGAAAATTGATGGAGGACTGATGGATAAATGGACTGACATGCTGATCGCTATATGCCTCCATTTTTCAAAACGGAAGATAACAATTGTTTACTCTGAATGGTTAACCCAATTTTGTAATTTTCTTTTGAAATCTGATGCAAAATTACCTTTTTTCTAGGACAAATTATTTTTCAAAATATCCCAGGTCCAACTTAAACACTAACCAAACGTTAACCAATAGTCTAAAGCCCGAGTCTAGTAAAATTCTGTTTGGTCTTGTAAGTACAGCTGACAAAAGTCCATATGATAACACAGTAAAGGACCCAAAATGAAGCCCAGAGCCCAGTTCGGGCTCGTAAACTCAAACTCAACGCACACACTGCAGAAAATAAAACAGTCAGACCCTACCAACATACCATGGATGAGGAGGTACAGGTACTGCAAGAAATCTCTGAGGTTTAGCAAGAAGTAATCCTCGGCAGAAACAGGAATCCACTGATAGACGACACAGGAGACATGCAACCGTCATGCAATAGAGGCGAGATAAATCAATTCAATGTACCAGGGATTACGAGCACTGGTAACACTACTGTCGACACGTCAAACATTGCTGGGCTCTCCCCAATGTAGGAATCTCCACTCTTTCCAGCACAACATGAGTAAGCCCTGCACTAATTCATGTTATTTTATTTTTTTAACAATATATCCAATTATATACTATTGTTTTACAGAATTATATACCAATAATTTATATACATTCATATACCATTATTGTACACAATCATACAGTAAACTACGGTTATAACGAACACGCTTAAAACGAACTGACTGATATAACGAACTTATTTTTTAGTCCCGGTCTTTTGTTGTATATATGCTGTATATCTGCTTATAACGAACTACGGTTATAACGAACTAAAATTAGTGGTCCCTTTGAGTTCGTTATAACCGTAGTTTACTGTATACCAATATTGTACACATTCATATACCATTATTGTACAGAATCATATACCATTAATGTTTTACACAATTATATACCAATATTTTACACAATTATATACCAATATTTTACACAATTATATACAATTATTTTAAACAATTATGAGCACAAACTTTAACTTGATTTTTGGAAAGTAAAGAAATTTTCAGGTTACCATGACCTGCTGTTTAAGCGGCTACCCTCTTACTTCCTAAACTCAACACACAACTACTCATTTGCAGGACTGAAGGGCAACATCTCTAAACAAACATTAATGGTATATGAATGTGTAAAATAATGGTATATGATTCTGTAGAATAATGGTATATGAATGTGTAAAATATTGGTATATGATTCTGTAGAATAATGGTATATGAATGTGTAAAATATTGGTATATGATTCTGTAGAATAATGGTATATGAATGTGTAAAATATTGGTATATGATTCTGTAGAATAATGGTATATGAATGTGTAAAATATTGGTATATGATTCTGTAGAATAATGGTATATGAATGTGTAAAATATTGGTATATGATTCTGTAGAATAATGGTATATGAATGTGTAAAATATTGGTGTATGATTCTGTAGAATAATGGTATATGAATGTGTAAAATATTGGTATATGAATGTGTAAAATAATGGTATATGAATGTGTAAAATATTGGTATATGAATGTGTAAAATATTGGTGTATGATTCTGTAGAATAATGGTATATGAATGTGTAAAATATTGGTGTATGATTCTGTAGAATAATGGTATATGAATGTGTAAAATATTGGTATATGAATGTGTAAAATAATGGTATATGAATGTGTAAAATATTGGTATATGAATGTGTAAAATAATGGTATATGAATGTGTAAAATATTGGTATATGAATGTGTAAAATAATGGTATATGAATGTGTAAAATAATGGTATATGAATGTGTAAAATATTGGTATATGAATGTGTAAAATAATGGTATATGAATGTGTAAAACAATTGTACATGAATGTGTAAAATATTGGTATATGATTCTGTACAATAATGGTATATGATCGTGTAAAATAGCAGCATATGATTGTGTAAAATAGCGGTATATAAACATGTAAAATAATCCGTGTAAAATAATGGTATATGAATGTGTAAAATAATAATGGTATATGAATGTGTACAATAATGGTATATGAATGTGTACAATAATGGTATATGAATGTGTACAATAATGGTATATGAATGTGTACAATAATGGTATATGAATGTGTACAATAATGGTATATGAATGTGTACAATATTGGTATATGAATGTGTACAATAATGGTATATGAATGTGTACAATAATGGTATATGAATGTGTACAATAATGGTATATGAATGTGTACAATATTGGTATATGACTGTGGTCAGAGAAAGCTGTAATGCTGAACCTGGCCGGCCACATTGTGTCCAAGGCCTCAGCAAGCAGAAGCATCAGCTGTAGGCTATTACCACCTGGTTACAATGGCCAGGTGTGTCCTAATCACCAGGTGAGAAGGTGGTGTGACAGATGACACCTCACTAATGAGGTGTCCATGCCTCACTAATGAGGTGTCCACGATGCTGTTTCTCATCGCTAAGGAAGATAATGTATGGCCTGGTTTCAAATTCAACAAGGTTAAACATAGGTTACAAAAGGCTAGTTCCAGCTGCTCTAGGCCATAATCAGGTCAATGAGGGAAGGATCTTGTTATGGTCTCCTGGTTTGGCTTTTACTTATTTAATTACCATGGTAACCAAGACACACAGTGGAACAATATTTATACCCTTGAAAAGGGACCTTGTCGGTGCTTGTATAAAACTGAGCAGTGACATAAACAAAGACGTTCGACATCAATTTACTTCCGTATATATCATATTTTCCTATTGTTAGTTCATAATGTAATTTAAACGTTATTTTAAAACATTTCAGCATACATGTCTCCTTTTAAATAATCTGACAAAAAATCTAAAAACAATCA